CCAAAATCCACTCGAGAAACATGAATCGAATACCTGGCGGCAATAGAGTAAACGTCGTTCACATCAGCTCCGTTCTCGAGCAACACTCCAATGATCTAATATGAAATAGAAAAAAAGATCATCAAATTGAAAATAAAACAATCTGTAAAGTCTGTGAAATAAGAATTATAGAAAGCCAACCTCGTTTGTCCTTCAGCGGCGGCGCCACCGAAGGTAGAGACGTAGAGTGCTTGGCGAGGCAAAGATTGCAATCGAGAAGCATCTTCGCCTCAACGAAATCACCATCTCTCGCCGCCGCCGACACCAATCTCTCGCTGGACGCCGAACATCCAAACGAATTTCCCCATTTTTTAAGTCTACATCTCTCTTCTTCATATGAGAATGAAAATCTCTCTCTATCTGAAAATCAATTGGGTGTGAAAAATGGGTCAACCATTGTGGAAAGATACAGAGAGGAAAGAACGGGATTTGATATGAAGCATAAACTTACGTTTAATATATGTTTCTTCTTCTTCACTTTCTTCACGCTAAGATTCGAGAAATTCATTCGTCAAGGGGAAGCTCTGGTAACAGCGATTCGTCTGCCACAAACTAATTTTTTTTTTAAGATGAATAGATTTGGGTGGTTCGTTTGCGGCTGGAGATGTGAGAGATTTCATGGTAAAAGTGGATTTATGAGATTGAAGATCGTGAGGATGAAGACGGTTTCTTAGATCGTGGAAGTTACAGAGAAAAAAAAACAATTTGAACAAAAAGAAATAAGAAAAAGTAAAAAACCAACGAAAAAAAGAAAAAAGAAATTTACAAAAGATATTTGGAAGGGACACGTGTCACTCATATAAGCCACGAGGTGACTTCACACTGTTCATAGGTCGCAGATCATGAGACATCTGTATCGGATGGAACAATTTTTAAACCATGAAACTTGTAGTTTATTCTTCACACATGGATTATATATTAAAAGAACAAAATTTTACTCTGTTAGCTCAAACCAAGCCAAATATTTCACATGTTACTACTACTAATACAAAATCTTTTTCAAGTTAAGATACCACTAATCAAAAGAATTGAAGTTAAATCCTTGAATCAGTTCAAAATTAGGCAAAGGCTCAACATTTTAAAAATTCCAAAATCCACTCGAGAAACATGAATCGAATACCTGGCGGCAATAGAGTAAACGTCGTTCACATCAGCTCCGTTCTCGAGCAACACTCCAATGATCTAATATGAAATAGAAAAAAAGATCATCAAATTGAAAATAAAACAATCTGTAAAGTCTGTGAAATAAGAATTATAGAAAGCCAACCTCGTTTGTCCTTCAGCGGCGGCGCCACCGAAGGTAGAGACGTAGAGTGCTTGGCGAGGCAAAGATTGCAATCGAGAAGCATCTTCGCCTCAACGAAATCACCATCTCTCGCCGCCGCCAACACCAATCTCTCGCTGGACGCCGAACATCCAAACGAATTTCCCCATTTTTAACTCTACATCTCTCTTCTTCATATGAGAATGAAAATCTCTCTCTATCTGAAAATCAATTGGGTGTGAAAAATGGGTCAACCATTGTGGAAAGATACAGAGAGGAAAGAACGGGATTTGATATGAAGCATAAACTTACGTTTAATATATGTTTCTTCTTCTTCACTTTCTTCACGCTAAGATTCGAGAAATTCATTCGTCAAGGGGAAGCTCTGGTAACAGCGATTCGTCTGCCACAAACTAATTTTTTTTTTAAGATGAATAGATTTGGGTGGTTCGTTTGCGGCTGGAGATGTGAGAAATTTCATGGTAAAAGTGGATTTATGAGATTGAAGATCGTGAGGATGAAGACGGTTTCTTAGATCGTGGAAGTTACAGAGAAAAAAAAACAATTTGAACAAAAAGAAATAAGAAAAAGTAAAAAACCAACGAAAAAAAGAAAAAAGAAATTTACAAAAGATATTTGGAAGGGACACGTGTCACTCATATAAGCCACGAGGTGACTTCACACTGTTCATAGGTCGCAGATCATGAGACATCTGTATCGGATGGAACAATTTTTAAACCATGAAACTTGTAGTTTATTCTTCACACATGGATTATATATTAAAAGAACAAAATTTTACTCTGTTAGCTCAAACCAAGCCAAATATTTCACATGTTACTACTACTAATACAAAATCTTTTTCAAGTTAAGATACCACTAATCAAAAGAATTGAAGTTAAATCCTTGAATCAGTTCAAAATTAGGCAAAGGCTCAACATTTTAAAAATTCCAAAATCCACTCGAGAAACATGAATCGAATACCTGGCGGCAATAGAGTAAACGTCGTTCACATCAGCTCCGTTCTCGAGCAACACTCCAATGATCTAATATGAAATAGAAAAAAAGATCATCAAATTGAAAATAAAACAATCTGTAAAGTCTGTGAAATAAGAATTATAGAAAGCCAACCTCGTTTGTCCTTCAGCGGCGGCGCCACCGAAGGTAGAGACGTAGAGTGCTTGGCGAGGCAAAGATTGCAATCGAGAAGCATCTTCGCCTCAACGAAATCACCATCTCTCGCCGCCGCCGACACCAATCTCTCGCTGGACGCCGAACATCCAAACGAATTTCCCCATTTTTAACTCTACATCTCTCTTCTTCATATGAGAATGAAAATCTCTCTCTATCTGAAAATCAATTGGGTGTGAAAAATGGGTCAACCATTGTGGAAAGATACAGAGAGGAAAGAACGGGATTTGATATGAAGCATAAACTTACGTTTAATATATGTTTCTTCTTCTTCACTTTCTTCACGCTAAGATTCGAGAAATTCATTCGTCAAGGGGAAGCTCTGGTAACATCGATTCGTCTGCCACAAACTAATTTTTTTTTTAAGATGAATAGATTTGGGTGGTTCGTTTGCGGCTGGAGATGTGAGAAATTTCATGGTAAAAGTGGATTTATGAGATTGAAGATCGTGAGGATGAAGACGGTTTCTTAGATCGTGGAAGTTACAGAGAAAAAAAAACAATTTGAACAAAAAGAAATAAGAAAAAGTAAAAAGCCAACGAAAAAAAGAAAAAAGAAATTTACTAAAAATATTTGGAAGGGACACGTATCACTCATATAAGCCACGAGGTGACTTCTGTTTTATTAGTATAAATAAGATTCCAGTTATTAGACTCATAATTACTGCAATTTAATTCCGGTTTATGTGTCAACCGATAAGAAATTGCAAAAGAGGAAAAGAGTGTAATCAGAGAAGACAGTGTGAAGAAGGTTGCAGCTTGTAAGCAACCCAATTTTCCTTAATAAAAATCAATCTCTCTCGGGAGAAGTAGAGTGAATCCACAGAGAGAGCGTTTTACCTCACGGAAACGATACCACTCTCTCCATTTCCAAATTTCCTGATTTCTCTCATCTACATGCATGGTAATTGGTAAGCATTTCTCCATTTTCTTTCCACAAAATTCGACTTCACTCGTCGCCTACAATTTTCGTTCTCGTCGATTTCGAGCTGATCGGATTTTGATTCTGTTTGATTTTTGTGTTTTGAATCTATTCCGACGCTTCAGTGGAAAAAACCCAAATTAAGTATGATGGAATCAGAAGAAGAAACGGCGGTATGCTTTGCCTCGTCTCTTTCTCTTCTCAGTTCTCACTCATTATATAGCATGCAAATGTACATTTGCTGCTAAAAAAATCGAGTACTGTGTTTTCTGAATTTAGCTGCGTCTTTCAATTGTAGGGGAAATTGATGAGTGGGCAGATTTGCCAGATCTGCAGTGACAATGTTGGGAAGACCGTGAACGGAGATCCCTTTGTGGCTTGTGACTTTTGCTCATACCCAGTTTGTAGACCTTGCTATGAGTATGAGAGGAAACACGGAAACCATTCTTGTCCTCAATGCAAGACCACATACAAGAGACTCAAGGGTACTACTTTTCATTCTCTTTGTTTCTTTGTTTCCTTAATCAGTTTGATCATTGTTACTGAAAAACATATATTATTGGTTTCTCTGGCTTCAGTTTACAAGACTGACGTTCTACCACTGAGCTATACGGGCTCCTTGACTTTCTATTTCCATTTTCATTTATAATGTAAAGAGCCAATAAGACATGAACACAAATTCACAAAGCTCAGAGCCCAAAGGCACTATATGAAGAGAACGTTACATAGCTCTATTTGGAGAAATGTATTATTTCGTTTTCGTTTATATATTTATAAAACCACAACCATTACAAGAAGTCCAAACATAGCCACATGAAGTCACAAACGACGAGAAACTGATCAGTTTCCAGGATTGTTCCAAAGAAACTGAGCATCAACACGAGAGAGATCCTGATCATCAAGCCTCTTCCATGTCCTAATCGACTTCACACCTCCCCATTTCCCATCTCTGTTCTTGTTCAAACCAGCAACCACAACTCTCGCTCTCCTCGGCCACCCAGTAAAACCATAAGCATGATACCCAGCTACACCACCGTAGCACAGATTCACACCTTTGAGCTCACCGCAAAAGTCGTTGTTATGGTCGTGTCCCACAAACACACCTTTCACATCTCCTCTAGCTACCAACGTCGTGAAGAAACCCGAGTTGGTTTTTGCCGATGACGTTTCTTCTAGCCTATCTCCTTTCGTGGCGTTCATTGAGTCGAAAGTCCAATACTCCGGTAATGGAATGTGGAAGTAAGCAAGCCCCGGAGCCACACCTTCTTGAGCATTAGGCTCCGCGTTGTACTCCCTCTGAAGATTTTTTGAAGTGTTGTTGAACCAGAGTTGCTGAGAAGTTTTGATCCAGTCATAGCCTTTGATGGAAGGGACTTTGGAGTAATCTCCACTGTCGAGGAAGTAGAGATTTAGGAGGGATTTGTTCTGTAGGAACGAATCAGCAGCAGCAGCAGCAGCTCCGTGGACTTGGAGGTTGTAATTACCAAACCCATCGATGTAATGAGCAGCCTCGGGAGGATTCACTTGGGACAGAGTGTAGGGAAGCGTCACGATGTGTTTCATGAGTTCTTGTCGTGATAATGTAGATTCTTGATCGTGGTTTCCCAAAACAGCAACCCAAGGGGTCTTAGACGCAATCGCCGGAGCAAATGCAGCGTTCAAGGATTTCACTGGGTCCTTCACATGAGGCCCATAGATGTTATCACCTGAGAACGAAACAGAATCCCAAAATTCAATTCAATTGGTATAATTCAAATTAGGGATTTTTTAATTTGGGGTTTTTGTTACCGGTGAAGACGATGAGGTCAGGCTTCTCGGCGGCGATGAGTCGGGACAAGAAGGCGGTGGTGTTGAGGTCGGAGCAGTGATCCATTTGGGCTGGAAGGACATTGAGACACCGTGTGGTTGCGCCGTTTGCGAAGTGCATGTCAGCTACTTGCAGTATCTTGAACTCGCCGTTGGCATCGAACCTGAGTTTCCGAGGTTGTGCCGATGCCGGAATCGGAGATAAAAAGAGACATAGCAGAGACGCGGAGAGAAGAGAGATGTGGAACAAGCTCCTTCTTCTTCGATTGTCCGCCATTGTGATGTGGAGCTAGAGAGACGATAAGTGCCTTTGGTTTTGTAGTCTCTGTGAGTAGATGATAATGTATCAAAGAAAGTGTGAAGAAACTACAAGAAGAAGACAAAGGAGGAGACCATGAAAATTCAAAGGGAGTGACTTTAAAAAAATTCCAAAAAAGGTTTTACTTTTCGTCCTCTCGTTAAGTCATTTTAGGCGTGATCAATACTCTGGAGTTAAAAAAGTTTATATAAATGCAAAATCTTTTATGAATGATGTCGTCAATTATGTAAATTTGCAAATTATTATTATTATTATTATTATTTTTTTTTTTTGTCATTTAAAATTATATTGAAATTAGATAAATACATGGTGTTATACACCATCCAAACTTACACGACCACAACAACCACATAAAATACTAGTTGAAAATTTAATGATATCTTAAGGATGCGCACCACGTGGTTTACAAGACTGACGCTCTACCACTGAGCTATACGGGCTCCTTGACTTTCCATTTCCATTTTCATTTATAACGAGTGTAAAGAGCCATTGCGCGTTACATAGCTCTATTTGAAGAAACAGAGCAAACCATAGATGATGGATGGTTTTGCTGATGATTTTAGTTATAAAGAAAACCCACAGAAGGAGAAGATTTCAGAGAGGATGCTTGGATGGCATCTTACACGTGGTAAAGGAGAGGAGATTGAGCACTCTGACTCTGACAAAGAGGCCTCTCACAATCTCATTCCTCGTCTCACTAGTAGACAAGAGGTAAGGCATTACTGATTCTCCCTCTTTTCTGGCATTCACATCAAAGCCTATTGTGAATCTTGGGATCTGATTTTCTCTCTTGCTTTTATTGATAGGTTTCTGGTGAGTTTTCTGCTGCTTCACCTGAACGTCTGTCTGTATCTTCTATTACAGCTGGTGTAAAGCAGCTTCCTTATTCGTCTGATGTCAATCATTCACGTAATTACTCTTTGTTATACTGTTTAAACCAACTTGCATACATACTTAAAGGCTTCTAAATTTGGTCAACTCAAAACTCTGTTGTATTGTCCTGGCAGCAAACAGAAGGGTTTTGGATCCTGTTAGGGATTTTGGTTCAACAGGGTTAGGCAATGTAGCCTGGAAGGAGAGAGTTGACGGTTGGAAAATGAAGCAGGAGAACAAATCCGGTCCTGTGAGCACTCAAGCTGCTTCTGAAAGGGATATTGATGCCTCCACTGATGTCTTTGTTGATGAGGCTTTGCTGTGAGTACTAGTTTTGTTTTCTCTTTGGTCCTACAGGGTTCTTTGGAGAAAGATTCATTTTTTTCTTAGAATATGTTACTGTGCAGGAATGACGAAGCTCGGCAGCCTCTTTCAAGAAAAGTGTCGATTCCATCATCACGGATAAATCCCTACAGAATGGTTATAATGCTGCGGCTTGTAATCCTATGTCTCTTCCTGCATTACCGTGTCACAAACCCTGTGCCAAATGCATTTGCTCTGTGGCTGGTATCAGTGATATGCGAGATCTGGTTCGCCTTATCATGGATTCTGGATCAGTTCCCAAAGTGGTTTCCTGTTAACCGGGAAACATACCTTGATAGACTATCTTTAAGGTATGTTACATATCTCTCTATTTTGAAGTTGTAACTCAAGGAGTTTCCTGGTAATCCTTTACATGACCATAGGTACGATCGTGAAGGCGAACCATCACAGTTAGCCGCTGTGGACATTTTTGTGAGTACTGTTGACCCCTTGAAGGAGCCTCCTTTGGTGACAGCCAACACAGTACTCTCTATTATGGCGGTTGATTACCCTGTGGATAAGGTGTCTTGTTATGTTTCTGATGATGGTGCTGCTATGCTATCATTTGAATCACTAGCAGAAACATCCGAGTTTGCACGGAAATGGGTACCTTTCTGCAAGAAATATAATATTGAGCCTCGAGCACCAGAGTGGTACTTTGCTCTGAAAATTGATTACTTGAAGGATAAAGTTCTTCCATCATTTGTCAAAGATCGCAGAGCTATGAAGGTGAGTTTGTACTTTGTAGTTTAGTCATTCAAAACATACCCAATAACCTTTAACATGCTATAAATTTGGCAGAGGGAGTATGAGGAATTCAAGATCCGAATCAATGCACTTGTTGCCAAGGCCCAGAAAGTCCCTGAGGAAGGCTGGGTTATGCAAGATGGTACGCCATGGCCTGGAAACAACACAAGGGACCATCCAGGAATGATCCAGGTGAGAGTGTAATATTGGGATTGTAATATTGTACATTTTAAGCCCATTGTTTGTCAATCTTGTTTCCACTGATTGTCACTGAGGTAGCTTTTGTTGATTTCAGGTTTTCTTGGGACAAAATGGTGGACTGGACGCAGAGGGCAACGAGCTTCCACGTTTGGTCTATGTTTCTAGGGAAAAGCGACCAGGGTTCCAGCATCACAAAAAGGCTGGTGCTATGAACGCACTTGTAGGTTTTCTTATTGATGAATTTTGGTTTTGATTTTCTTATCTAATTTAGCAGCTGACTAGCATTCTCTCTTCATTTGAACAGGTTAGAGTTTCAGCAGTCCTTACTAATGGACCCTTTTTATTGAATCTCGACTGTGATCATTACATAAATAACAGCAAGGCCTTGAGAGAAGCAATGTGCTTCCTAATGGACCCAAACCTTGGGAAGCAAGTGTGTTATGTCCAGTTCCCACAGAGATTTGATGGTATCGATAGAAATGATAGATATGCTAATCGTAATACCGTTTTCTTCGATGTAAGCTCTGCACTTTCCACAATTAATGTCTGGATTTCGATCTAGCAAAAATGTCATCAACTCAGCATTGTTTTATATTTGCTGTAACCTTTCCTTGATGCTCTTCAGATCAATTTGAGAGGCTTAGATGGGATTCAAGGACCTGTATATGTGGGAACTGGGTGTGTTTTCAACAGAACTGCATTATATGGTTATGAACCTCCAGTGAAACTAAAACAGAAGAAAGCTAGTGTTTTATCTAGACTTTGTGGAGGATCAAGAAAGAAGGATTCCAAATCTAAAAAGGACTCTGACAAAAAGAAATCTGGCAAGCACACGGACTCAACCATTCCTATATTCAACCTTGATGATATAGAAGAGGGAGTGGAAGGTACAACTTTTTTTATCTCCTTCTCTTCCAGTTTCTCTATTCTACCGTTTTGTTGATCCAACGCTTTCTACTATTTTCACATTTTCAAAATCAGGTCCTGGTTTGGACGATGACAAGGCACTCTTGATGTCGCAAATGAGCCTGGAGGAACGATTTGGACAATCCCATGTTTTCGTTGCTTCTACCCTTATGGAAAATGGAGGTGTTCCTCCATCTGCAACTCCAGAAAACCTTCTTAAAGAAGCCATCCATGTCATTAGCTGTGGATACGAGGACACAACAGAATGGGGAACTGAGGTACTTCCCCAGTTCTACTCTCTTTTACACATAAGCGTTTCTTTCTATATCCTCTTCTGATCTATTGTTCTGCTTTCTGATGTCATTGTTCAGATTGGATGGATCTATGGCTCTGTTACAGAAGATATCCTCACCGGATTCAAAATGCATGCCCGTGGTTGGAGGTCGATTTACTGTATGCCCAAAAGACCAGCATTCAAAGGCTCTGCTCCAATCAATCTTTCTGATCGACTGAACCAAGTCCTCCGGTGGGCTCTAGGTTCAGTCGAGATTCTCTTCAGTAGGCATTGTCCAATCTGGTACGGTTATGGAGGGAGGCTGAAATTTCTTGAGAGGTTTGCATATGCAACACCACAATTTACCCAATCACCTCCATTCCTCTCCTCATGTATTGCACATTACCTGCCGTTTGTCTCTTCACCAACCAATTCATCATTCCTCAGGTTTTCTCTCTCTTTCTCTCTATCTCTTGAATGTTAGTTTTATCTCACTCTGATGATCCTATCTCTTTTTTTTTTTTAGATAAGTAACTTGGCAAGCATATGGTTTCTGTCTCTCTTTCTCTCCATTTTCGCCACTGGTATACTGGAAATGAGGTGGAGCGGTGTGGGCATAGACGAATGGTGGAGAAATGAGCAGTTTTGGGTCATTGGTGGAGTATCAGCTCACTTGTTTGCAGTCTTTCAAGGTCTACTTAAAGTCCTGGCCGGTATTGACACCAACTTTACAGTCACATCAAAAGCCTCAGACGAAGACGGTGACTCTGCCGAGCTTTACTTGATCAAATGGACAACACTTTTAATCCCACCGACGACTCTGCTTATCATAAACCTCGTAGGAGTGGTTGCAGGAGTTTCTTATGCTATCAATAGTGGATATCAGTCTTGGGGACCTTTATTTGGTAAGCTCTTCTTTGCCTTTTGGGTAATAGTTCACTTATACCCATTCCTTAAGGGTTTGATGGGTCGACAGAACCGGACTCCAACCATTATTGTTGTCTGGTCGGTCCTTCTTGCTTCCATCTTCTCCTTGTTGTGGACTAGAGTCACTGGACCGGACGTGCTGGTTTGTGGAATCAACTGTTGAGAATTGAGATGAGCGTTTTGGTCAACACATATAATAATGTTAATATTATCGGTGTTTTTCTTGTCCTTTGGTATGTGCAGTTTTTGTTTACTTTGTCAATATCAATGAAAGTGTAAAAAGGAAGCCTTAATGTGAACCCTAGCGTTTGCGTTTGACCTAAGGGATCAATAGATAACACGATTCCATCAGTTTCCATATGATCTCAAGAAAGAAACACACAAACAGTCATCGTCAATGAAAGCAAAGCATTTATTTGGCAGAAGAGTTTCAGAAAAACTGACTCAGACGATTACAAAATGACTTCTTAAGAAAACTGGATTCAAACAACGTCAAGGGTTCTTTGTAGAAAAGGAGTGAGTAACTTCATGCTTCAGAACCTGTGCTCCAATTTCTCCTGTTCCTGGAAATGCTGAGCATACCTGCATTCATTTGCATATTTGAAGATTAAGCACAGGAGATGACAAGAGAAACTAAGTAAACCATAATATGCAACACCATAATGCTTAGATGATGCATACACCAACAGTTTCGGACATACTGTTCTCCAGCAATTCATGGCTTCACGAGCAAGAACTCAACATAATGTAACGTTCATGAGGAAGGGTGATTATCGAATGATAATGACGCAATTAAGATTCTCAACACTTCACCAACAATTTTACATGGAAGACTTTTCTAGTCTCTTCACTGAAAACTCAATACTCAGTTTCAAAATCCAAACTCTCAGTTGAGGAATTCTAGAGTTGTTAACACATAATTCCATGGAGATTCACTGGTTCTAGCATCTAGATTAATACTCGTGCTAAATACTCTTCTAACGAAAAATACTTCAAACATTTCACAAGGCTACATCAACACAAATAAAGAAACCTAAATTCATTTGCAACACAAGCCGATGACATGAAAACCGCAAGCCATTTAATAACCAGATCGAAGAACAATCACATAATCACCAGATCGGAAATCTCCAAAGATTGTATTACCAATCGATGAGAATAGGAGAGGGAGAGAGAGAGATAGTACCAGTAGGTTCCGAGGACTGGAGTGACGAGGAGAGTGGCGCTGATCCAATTCTCCGTAACTTTGTGGTGGATCTTCTCCGGGAGATCCTTCCAGAGCCCGGTCATCACCTTCTGCTGAAACGGCGAAAGTGCGTAAATCACCGCCTTCAACTTCACCGGCTGCTTCCCCATTTCTTCTTCTCTTTCTCGACAATCCCAACAATTCACGATACGAGAGGAATCTCCCCAAAATCTGAATAACCTAAAATAAAACAATCTCAACTCGACGAAAGTTATGTTTCAATTCGATTTCGGTTCAGTTACAGTTACAATTTTAACCGGATGACCTGAGTCAAAACAAAATTGTTCATTTGCTTGGTATATTTTGGTTCGATTCGGTTCGTGTAAGGTGTAAACCGAATTGGATAACGACTAGCCTTGTGATTTATCACTCGGCTTGTTCTGGAGTAGGAAAGCCTTTGAGAGAGGAGGAGTCTGTACGAGTACGACGATCGAAAGAGACGATGAAGATCTTCCACGTTCCTTGTCTACAAGACAACTACTCTTATCTGTGAGCGATTCGTATATTCCTTTATTCAGTTTTGTTACTTCTTTTCTGAACCGAGTCATCATCAATTTTTCGATTATTTCATCTGTCGGCAAAACACAGGATAATCGATGAGAGCACCGGAGACGCGGCGGTTGTGGATCCAGTTGATCCGGAGAAGGTGATCTTGTCGGCTGAGCAGAACAATGCGAATATCAAGTTCGTACTCACCACGCATCATCACTGGTAAGTCGGCGGTCACTTATCAAATTTGATTCATTTCTGATAATCTGTTGGTTCCCTATAGCTCAGAGAATTTTTTGTTTTTTTGTAAATAGCCATTACTAGATCTTTGATCCTCGAAATCAACAGTATAAAGCTCGATTACTATTTTCAGAGCTGTCAATTTTCGTTTGAATCTCTCTGTCTTCTGATCATGTTTAGCGATTTTAACGGATTATCCAACATTTTGCCTTCTTATGCTAAAATTTTCAAGCTGACGAGTGACTAATTGAGTCATCTTCGTCAGTTTGGTTCATCTGAAGACTAGTCTTCCTTCATATTCAGATGTTTGGATTCTTTTTGCCTAAGTTATCATCTTCTCGAAGCTGAAACTTTTGGATACTTTGAAAAAAATTAGGAGCTAAAATTTCTCTGTGTACCGTATGATAAATTCTGGTTGCCTTCGATGAATTGGGGTTTGAAGAAACATTTTTCGTTTTACCTTGAAAGGGATCATGCGGGTGGGAATGAGAAGATTAAGCAGCTGGTGCCGGGGATCAAAGTATACGGAGGTTCTCTGGATAAGGTCAAGGGATGCACTGATGCGGTCGATAATGGTGACAAATTGTCTTTGGGTGATAATGTCAACATATTAGCTCTCCACACCCCTTGGTTAGTTCCTTTTTGATGACTTTATATGCATTTAATCTACTCTGATGTTACTGACTCAGGTAATTTTGCTCTTATTATCGCTGATTCCTCTGATATGTTACTGCATGTGTCAGTCACACGAAGGGTCACATTAGTTACTATGTGACCGGCAATGGAGGAGAAACCCCAGCCGTGTTCACCGGAGATACACTGGTATGTGGTAACACACAGATCATAACATAGACACTATATGCTCTCTGTAGACCTTGCTGCTCTTTTATGCTGATTTGGAGAAAGAAATTAGTTAAAAAGGTGCTATTGAATAACATAATGACTCTCCTTCTTTTTCAACTCATGCTAAAGAATCTATAGAGTTTCACATTTGTCGCACAAATATATGTCTTATGTCCTCAAGAATCATGAATCTCTATAAACATTGTGTTTACAGTTCATTGCTGGATGTGGAAAGTTTTTCGAAGGGACAGCTGAACAGATGCATCAGTCGCTGTGTGTGACACTGGCTTCATTACCTAAACCCACGCAGGTTTACTGCGGCCACGAGGTAAAGAAAAGTAATAGCTTTAATATCGTCTCTTGAGTTCTTAACTCATGAAAAAGATGTATGAAAAAGTAATAACCCTCCTATCCGTTTCTTACGATTCCTCAGTACACCGTGAAGAACTTAGAATTTGCTTCAACTGTGGAACCAAACAACGAGAAGATACAGCAGAAGTTATCATGGGCCCGTCAACAGCGCCAAGCAAATCTTCCCACTATCCCTTCAACACTAGAGGAGGAACTCGCAACAAACCCGTTTATGCGCGTTGATAATCCTGAGATACAGGTTACTATCGTCCCCTTCTTGAACTAGGCTATAGAATAATTTGTGTGCAGACTCTTGTTTATTCAGTTTATCACTGTTCCGTAGCTGACACTGATCAAATGTGTTCTTTGTCTCCAGGAGAAACTCGGTTGCAAAACGCCGATTGATACACTCAGGGAAATCAGGAACAAGAAGGATCAGTGGAGGGGCTGAGAGAAATGGAGAGAGCTTCTTGCCTATGCTTTGTGTGTGTTGTGGTTGAACCAGTAAAAACTATAAAGTGTTTGAACCGCTGTTGATGTTTATATTCTGTGTGAGGTAACCGGTTTGGTAAATCAAAATCAGACCGACCTGTAAGCCCGTTTGAAAATTTTCATTGTGGATAATTTTGTGTCTAATCCCGGTATCATCTATTCTGGAATGTTTTGGTCTTTGATTTTTCCGTTTTATAAAAATACAGAAATTAAATTAGAAAAATAAATCGCTTTTGGTCGAAAATCAGGGAGATACATCATCAAACATTTGTGTTTGATAAATCATTTAAACTCTTAAAAAAATCGAATATTAAAGAGTTTCTTGTCCGTATTATTGCCACGTGTGGAGTGTGGCTTAATACGTTTGTGTCCTTGTTCTTTCTCCAGATATCTTCATTTGTCCGATAGATTGAGAGGTGAGAAGAGTGACAACTGACAAGTGAGGGAGAAACTTCAGAATTTTTTTATTATATTTTGAAAAGGAACAAACAGAGAACAATTTCCAAGCCATAACTCTATACATTTTTTTATTGTACTTTATCATCTGTCTGATAATTAGGAAGGAACAATGAATTTATTAAACACCAAAGGCATCTTCTTCTTGTACCAACCAAAGCAGATTCTCATTAATTTCTCTGCCTTATCTTTCAACAACAGTAATCTTAGTTTAACTTGCTCTAGAAACCATATTCAGATGTCTCGCCAGATCTCCGGCCAACCCTCTCGCCGTCCGGTGAAACCTTTCATCGTCTCCAATGCTGCTGCTTCTTCTCCTTCTCTCTCCGGCTCCTCAGGTCTAAACCTTAACACATGTCAAACTTTTCCTTTCTTTCTACTGCTTCTTTAGTTCTTCTCCAAAATTGTCAAGAAATCTTTATAGAAAAGGTTCTTAATTTATGGCATGAAAGATTCAGACTTTCTGGGTTTCTAGTTCTTGGTTGCATGAAAATTAGATTGATGAAGCTCTCTGTGTATCACAAAATTATGTCTTTTTAAAAATCTATTTTAGATGATTCAAATGTAGTCATGAATTGTCAGATCAATATTTGGACACTGGAGCCCAGAAAAACGAGGAGATAGTGGCTGAAGCAGAGCAGGATCCAATGAACTTAGCTGATCCAGACAGCTGTTTCTGTGAGTTTCAAGGTGTTCACATACACCACAAAGTCTTTGATCCACAGACACTCTCCGACGACGTTCCAATCACAAGCCAAGATACTCAAGAAACACAAAAAACAGAGTTCCCTATGATTCTGTTACACGGTTTTGGCGCTTCTGTGTTCTCCTGGAACAGAGTCATGAAGCCTTTAGCTCGTCTTGTCCGTTCGAAAGTTCTCGCCTTTGACAGACCTGCATTTGGCTTGACTTCTCGGCTTCTCCACCCATTTAGTAGTACCAATGATGCAAAGCCACTGAATCCATACTCCATGGTGTATTCCGTGCTCACCACGTTGTATTTCATCGACTTTCTTGCCACCGAGAAGGCCATTCTTGTGGGGTAAGTCAGGTTTCAACTTTCAACACACTTTGCATTTCTTCTTCAAGTGCTACCAAAAAAGCTGAGATTTTTTTGGTTTTTAGGCACTCTGCAGGATGTCTTGTAGCTGTAGATTCTTACTTTGAAGCTCCCGAGCGTGTGGCTGCACTCATTCTCGTCGCTCCAGCTATATTCGCACCTCGTCCTTCGAACACAGCTGGTAGTGAAGATAACAAAAAGGGTCCCAAGAACAAGTTTCTAGGGAGACTAGTTGAGTTAAGCAAAGTCATTACAGGAGCAATTTGGAGAGCTGTAATGGGAATGGCCAGTATGCTGAGTTCTCTCTACAAGAAAGCTTTATCAGCTTTCTTAAGATCCTCTCTTGGAGTAATGCTGGTATGTGCTTCACCCTAATCATCTCATGGTCTAGAAACTCGAAAAGGATCTTGCTTGATGTGTTTATGGTGATGGTTTTTTGCATTAGGTGAGGATGGCGATCAATAAATTCGGAGTAACAGCTGTTAGAAACGCTTGGTATGACTCAAAACAAGTGACGGATCATGTCGTTGAGGGTTACACAAAGGTGAGATTTTTTTCAGGTTTCTCTGGATCTGAATTGTCATGTTCAAATGTTGGAAGGTTTGATTTGTATTTGTTGTAAAAAACCAGCCTTTAAAAGCCAAGGGATGGGACAGAGCTCTTGTGGAATTCACGGTGGCTACACTAACGGATACTAGTGGCTCAGAGAAGAAACCTCCATTGTCGAAGAGGTTACAAGAAATCAAATGCCCTGGTAACATCTCTTTTTCTATTTAACAAATCTGCAATTTCATTAATACCATAATGTTTGAAGCAATGACATGATGACATTTTTATTCATTTTGGTGATTATAGTTCTGATTATGACGGGTGACACGGACCGGATTGTGCCAGCATGGAACGCGGAGAGGCTGGCACGAGCCATACCGGGGTCGGTCTTCCACGTGATTAAGAAATGTGGTCATCTTCCACAAGAGGAAAAGCCAGAGGAGTTCTTATCCGTTGTTGCAAAGTTTCTAGGTGATGTTTTTGGAGGGTCGCAACAACAAGAACAAGAAATGGACTTGAAGTTCCAAGGCATTGCGTCATGAAATGAAACAAGAGGGAATTGGCGCCTAAGTTTTATAAAATCTTGACGTTATTGATTGAACCATTGTTTTTTATAATGTTTTGTTAATCTTGTAGATTAGAAAGTGAAACCGTGATCTCAGTACCTAAATTAATTATCTTAAGTTAATCTCTCAAAAAAACAACAGGCTGCAGTTATTGTAAAAAAGGTTTTTGGTTTGAAAAAAGAAGCTTAATCGTGCCTTTAGAATGGAAGAAGAAATACACTAAGGAGGAAGAAGGAGACTATAATCGTTCTTTCAGGCCAAAACCTTATTAAAAGACCAAACTAGCTAAAAACTTTCCCTCCAATCTTAACATTAAAACCAAAAAAAATAAAAATACCTCTCCCCTCCTAAGTTTGAGTAACAATTTTGAATTAACCAAGTTGTGGAAGCCCCTTAGCCTAGTGGTTGAAGGGATTTAATGCTTTTACACCAAGAGATCTGGGTTTCGAATCCCGGCGGATGCGATTTGCTAATAATTTATTGCTTGCCACGTTCTAGTGCTAAAATTGTGTACTTTCATTTTTGGCATTGCAATATAGTCAAATTTACGTAAAAATATAAATTTATTATGTTTTGAAGACACTTATAAATTTGTGGCGCCAAAGTTCTTCGAGTGCTACCTAATAATTGCTTTTGTAAACTTTCATTTTCTGTTTTTGTAAATTTCAGTTCTCCACTTGCAATGATGATGAGTAAAAGTCTAGATTGCTTAAACGTAGGTTTATGTATTGTTACGTGGAAAATCTATTGAGTCTTAAAAATATTTCGTATGATGTTGGAGATGATCAGGAGTGGAACATGGATTTTGTTAGAGATGCAGCCGCTTCTGGGAACCTCCAAGCGTTGACGGTAGCTTTAAACGAGCTCCCCAACGACCCAAACAGAAGCATCCAGCTGAGAAGTGTTATTTCAAGCACCATACATGGAGGACACTTTGACTGCTTTGAGGTATGTGGGATTCCTTTCAGTTATGTTTTATCTTCAAGTATATCTACATTCCATGTAACTCTGGAAAAGCGACACTGAAATATAACTTTTTCTGTATATGATATTTGTACTTTCGTTGAAAATAAAAGTTTTTCTATCTCTCCTTCAGCTTTTTGTTGACAGTGGAGCATCACTGGACCATCCAAATGCAGCTGGTCAGAGGCCTGTGCACCTAGCCAGTGAAGATCATAATAGGTTGAATTTCCTTATTCTTCTCCTTGAAGTTAGACTAGAGTTGATGGACAGCGTCAATGGTGATGGCGCTACTCCTCTTCATGTAGCTGTTTCTTCCGCCAATGAACTTGGTGTTGAGGTACAGGGCATTTAAAACTTTTTTTTTTGTTCTCCTGAACTTTTGTTACAAACTGACGATTAACTATTGAGCATTTTGCAGCATCTGCTAAACCATGGAGCTGACACTGAAAGGATAAACTTAAACCAACAAACTCCTCTTCATTTGGCGTGTCACCATGGCTTTCCAGTAATTGTCTTCCAGCTTCTCAACGGTGAAGCTGATAGAGAAGCTTCTGATGCAGCCGGCCAGAGACCATTACACTTCGCTTGTGCTCTCGAGTCTTCCCTTTGTGCTGAGGTATGGTAAAAAGAAAGAAAGAAACAATATGTATTTAATCTATCTGATTCTTCATTTTGTTAACTTTCCATCTTTTGTTTTACAAATTTTAGCTTCTTCTTCAACATGAAGAACATGCTGAACATCCTGCTGCTGATATTGAAGCTCTTAATCCTGCTGCCATTCTTTCATAATGATTTGATCTACAGAAAACCTGTGAAATTCACTGATTTTACTACAAATATGCTCCAATTTAAGGTTTTCGTTTCATTTGTGTCTCAATAGCACAAGAAGATTTGGAGTTTTTCAATTGCTTAAAATTATCAGTAATCGGTCCTGATTGGAAAACATTTTGACCGTTATTTTCTTTTTTTAAGTGCCTGTGAAAACTTTGACTTTAAAAGTGAAAATTGTTGCTTTAGAAAATAATTAAAAACCATGTTTTTTGGCTTTAAAAAATAAAATAAAACATTTTGTGAAAAATATAAGAAGAAAAATGTGGTAAGAACTTTTAAGAAACAGTTTAATGACTTTAAATGCTTTAGAATTATTAAAATCTGATTGGGTAAAATATAACTTTAAAGATTTTTTTTTGAAAAGTCTTGAAAGCTTTCAAAATGAAATTGCCAATTAGTACCATACTAGGGTTTGACCCGCGCCCAGCGCGGAGTGATGGTTTCTACATTAATCTTTTATAAAGTTTGATAGTTGTGACATTCACATTCACCGTTGATTATACCGCTAAAATAGCATACCAATTTTCAAAATTTCTTGCCTTTTAGCTGATGTTAATATACCGATTAAAGAATCAAAAATACAAAACAAAAATATATATATGAACAGTAATAGAATTTGTAATAGTAATGAAATTGCAAACTAATTATAAGATTTTATTTTTGTTTTTATGTGAATGTATGCATTTAGAGTTTTATAGTTGTTAGTGCAGCTAATATATTTAATTTGACCTATATATTTTATATTAAATTAAGATATTTTTCATGTTTTAGACTTTTAATAAACTAACCGACGAAAATATGTATTTGTAAAAGCATCAAAATTTTATTTAAAATATTCAATACATACAGAAAAATATATACTTCTTTAGTTTTATATTATTGATTAGTTACTAAAATTACAAATTATATTATAAATCTTTAAATTTTGTATTATTTTTAAATCTTGATAGAATTATTGTTAGAATATATAGTAATACCTTAATTTTTTATCATGAATATTATAAGTCATTTTATCAAATATAATATTTAAAATAATTTAACTTGTTATATAATTAAACTATATTACAATTATGATCAAATTATAATATTCAATTTTTTATCAAATATAATATTTAAAATAATTTAACTTATTATATAATTAAAATATATTACAATTATGATCAAATTTAATAATTATTTATTTGAACTAATTATACAATTTATATGAAAATCAGTTAAATCGAATGAAGAAAAACCTTTACATTTAGATGCCTACTAAGTGAGGCTTTCTACTCAAATGATTGCACATAATATACATTTTTTATAACAGAATTCTAAACCATCACTCAATGACATATCTGATGTGGGATTTTAACATTTTTAGTGATTTATTTTGATTTAAATTATTCAAATCATAGCATTTACAAAAATGGAGATTTTAATTCTAATTTTATATAGATGATTCAAATTCTTTTTTTTTAAAATAAAGTTAAACAAAGATGATAGGAAAAATATAATGATTTTAAAAATAATTAATATGATATAACTGAATTGAGTACCTTCCTTATTTACTAATTTCCGTGACTATCAATTAAGGAAAGAGTATAATTGTTTTTAATTTATATTTAGTATATAAAGACATATTTGATTTTATAACCATAATATATGAGTGGCATTGTTTGTAATTATTCTAGTAAAGTAAACCTTATTTTATAAGTAGCATGAGAAGCTTCCTAGTGATGACACATCAGCATGGCATTTTTGTTAATAACACATCACACAAAGGTTATTTTCAAAGTGTTTTCTCTTTTAATATATTAGGGATGTTGATGGATCTCTGTTCATTCGTTTTTAAGTCTCATATATAGATTTTTCTTCTCTATTTATTAGTTTTTATTTTTTTGAATGCCACATGTAAAATCCCTTTATTTGAAGTCGTTTTGAGTTTTTGGATTGGTTTCAGAGTTAAGAAGTAGTGATTTTGTCTACTTGAGTCTTGATTACAAGTAATTAAAAACCTGTCTACTTGATTCTTGATTCTTGATTCACAAGTAATTTAAAACATGTTTGCCAGGTTGTAGTGCTATAATTGTGCAGTTCCATCTGTGGCATGTCAATATAATCACTTTTACGTTTAAACTATAAAATTTATGTTTAGATGACACTTGTAAATTTGTGGCGCCAAAGTTCTTGGCTGCTATTTGATTATTGCTTAGTTTATGTTTTGTTTCATGGAAATTCTAAATCTATTGATTATACACAACTAACATATTTTGTTTATCATATTTGAGGTGCTGATTCGAATGAAGGCGTGAGCTCCCATATGCAACAAGTACCGAACATATGTGATCCCAAAAGAAAACATGTAAGTCTCAGTGTCGGTCTGGTATATAATATTGTTTTTTCTTTAATCTCTCTATTTTCTTGTCTCCTTAACCTCTGTATTTTGTTTATGCTTCAGGCTTTGCATCGTGTTGTGTCAAGTACCAATACAGACTTCTCAACTCAAGACAGATAATCAACACTGTGCAAATCATCAAGCTGAAACAGTTTCAGGTGAAAGACAATCCGTGATTTGATACTCAAACATATTTGAGTTCTATGATATTATATCCAAAAGAAAGACAAATGAAACACTTTGGATTACTCTCTTTTTGTTTTGTTGACAGTATGTCTTTTCTTTTTCAAGAGGATTATGTTGTTCCTTTAAGAATGAGCCAACATTTTGTTCAGCTGAACATAGGTGTGACAGTAAGATTTTTTAAATTTTGGGACAACAAGAGCTGGCCGGTGATGCCGATTGAGAGAAAGGATAGCAACAAAATCCTTCTCCTTCGGCATCACACTCATCTTCTTGAAACTCTGCTCTTCCTCCTTCTCCATTTTTTTCTGCTTTATCTTTCTCTATCTCTATCTCTCTACACAAGTACTAACAACAGGAATTATAGTTATATATATAATTCTCTTTCTTTTTCTATTGAAACTCATCAAGAGCGTAAAGGAGAGATATATAAATAGAAAAATTGAAATAGCAATCAATCCACATCACAAGATCTCATCAAACAAAGACCGTAAATTTTACCATATCTCTACTCTCCCGATTGAATGTTTAGATTTCCAATCTAAAAACTTACTATTACTGGATGAGAAAGATCGAAGAAGCTTGCTTGGGAGTTGAGAATAATTTATCGAGGTTTTCAAGAGGATGAAGGAGGCAACTTTTATTCACATCTCTTTATTCAATATTTATCAATATTTATGGCTAAAAATTGAATTAATTAATTGTTCACATCTTTTTATTCCAAACCAATCACGTGGTTTGTTTGTCTCACAAGTTAGGTTTAGAGATGGTCAAATACGAAGCACTTTTAGGGGCTTGCATTTATCTTCTTGAAGTTCTTCTCCTTCTCTATATCTAAACATATGCACCGAAATTTTAATCCTATGCAATTCTAATGTCAACCACAATTTTCCGAACTTTTTGCTCCTACGATTGAAGGTTTATTATTAGATCTAAGAATTATTGCGAGAAAGTTAGGTTACGTTTCTACAACTGAGAGTTTTCTCGATCAGGTTTATCAGTTTATCATATATATGCAATTCAATAAAACCAAAATTTATTACCACAGTACGAGGAAGATCCAAGAAACATTCTTTTGACTCACTTTAAAAGTGTAACCCTAGGAATTGTCACTCTCAGCTTTTAATCTTTTATAGTATATCTTTTGAAAACCTTTTGTCTTATTTCACCTTGTCGCAAAACTGCATCAAATTTATTATTCTCTGGACTGGAAAAATACCAGTAACAATTCGGAAAAAGAAAAAGAAAAAAGTTACAGAAAAAGTTACAAAAACCTATCTGCAAAACAAAAGAAGGTCCTAACTCCTAACTCCTAAGAAGCTAATGTTGGATCTGTCAATGTACTTTTGTTTTAGTTTTATTAAATACGCCTGTGAATGTTCATCATTCTAAGCAAAAATGGAGCTAAAATCTTCGCCCGGTTCTCTTGTGTGGTGGTTTCTTGGGCTTACTTTGCTTTGGGATCGTTTCCAGCACTTGTATCGTCCTCTGTCTCTTGGCTGTCGAAAAAATCAAAAACAATGGCATCAACAAATTTATCGAAAATAGTGGAAGTATTGAAATCTCTTGAAAGACTGACAAACCATTCTCATGTTGTTGGTATCTCTCTTGGAGTTTCCGACTTGCCACCTCAAACTTTGCCTCTGAGTCCACCGAGTTGAGTTTCTGATACACACAAGAACAAAGACAATCTGCTATTAGAGAGATCCAAAAAACAAAGTAATAAACAAACATCAAGTCTTTATCAACACACACACATACCCTCACATTCTGTTGAGGTCCAGCAACAACATGCGGTTTCCTTTGAACCGCAGGAGGCACCACTTGTTGTTGTTGTTCTCTGCTCTGCTTTGGTCGCTTTCTAGGCTCATCAACATCGGTCTCTGAGTGCTTCACAACAGGTCTAACAACAGCTTCTTCCCTCTCCATCTGTTGATCCTCATTGTTCCTCTCAACCACATTGGCTTCATTTGTACCTTCGGGGATCTCCCATGAGCCTGAGCCACTTACCAAGCTTCCATCATCGTTAAATTCCACAAAGTTACCAAAAACTGAAAACATGTAACACCATGAGAGTCAATATATGTAGGAAGAGCTTCAAGTAGAGAACATAATACCAAAGAGCGTAACAAACTCAATACCATCGAGGTCGAAGCCATCTAAGATCTTCAAGTAGCCCAACATACAAGGACGAGAAAGAAAACTTGTCAAGACAATCATTTTCATTAATGGAACCTAGAAATTACAAGGAAGAAGAAAAAAACGACAAGAAAGGAATGTATGTTTGATTAATTGTGTATATACCTCAGAGAAATTCATTCCATTAATGGGATCAGGTACATACAGATGAACATCATGTGGAGGAGAAGGAAACGCATCTATTTCATCAATTACTGAAAAGTTTGACTCTGGTGTCCCTTCACCACCTGCATGACCCAATGTATTATCAATCTTAGACACACACACACACACACAAGACTATGAGGAGAGAGATATCTACCAGCAATGTCCTTCTTGGTAGTGTTTATCCAATTGTTCACCAGCTCCTTCCACTCTCTGCACATCCCATTTATATAAAAACACAATCTTGAGAATGCGTAAAGGAAACGAAACACACACAAAAATGGAAGATCAAAGTCCCTACGTGAGAAGAGACTTTGCAAGTTGGCTAATCCTAGAGGAACTGTGTTTCCTCAAGCCATTCACAGTCTTTCCTATTTCAGTCTCCTGCAAGAATGTTGCAAACCATTAAGAAACAATGGGAGATAACGAATCAATTCATTATCAACACAGCAGGGGAATGAGAAACAAACCTGAAGGAGGTCCACAGTCATAGTCATCAAATCCAGCTTCCTCAGGGATTCGAGTATCACAGACTCTGGCTGCAAAAAAATCCAGAAATCAGAATCAAGATTCCAATTTTATTGAATGTGATTCAATCAGAGAGAAATATACCTCTTCTTCTTCGTTCATCAAGATGGCTTTGATCATCATGATCTCATCAACAATTCCCGCACACGCCTCTAGTTCATCACTCAAGCCTTCCACTTCTCCTTCACCGGAACTGTCATTGCCAGCAATCTGATTCTCGTTCAGTTTCGTCTCATCTTCGATAACCGAACCGTCCCCATCGCCGCCGCCGCCGACTTCAACCGTCGCCGCCGTCTTAAGGCCATCATGTTGGGCGGCGTCTTCGTCGCCGGGTATCGACAGCGCGAGGTGGTCACACCCGACGCAGAGGCTCGTCTTACAAGTGAAGAGAAGCTCGGCGATTCCGATTCTCCTCGATTTGAACTCCGTCGGGAAATCTGCGGCGGCCACCATGATCGCGTTGTCGATGATCCGGAAAATGTCGGAATGTCCTCGCCGGAAATAGTCTCTCCAGCTATCCAACGCCGCCGATGGAGTCATTATTGCCATTACCGAGAAATCTATTTGACACCAAATCGAAGATTCCATCAGAGAAACAAACATCTCAAAACAAAAAAATCAAAAAAAATTCCCCAGGAAATTCAATGCTCTATCATCAGCAATTGAATACAAAATCTAGGTTTCGAACACGCCTTTTGCGATATTGATGATCACAAAGACGGCTTAGTAATCTAGTAGAGTTTGATTTCATTCTCTCTACAGTTAAATTTTTTTCCCCTGAGAATCTGACAAAATTCTTGCAGAAAGCCAACATTCCCGAGAAAATTAATGATTTAAAAGTATCAGCCAATTAGAAGTTAGAGAAAGAAAACAAACGAAGATCCAATATTTTTTTTATAAAAAAAAACACACAAATTGGAATAGAGTAACGTTACCTTTTCACTAAAAGCCTCTCAAATTTGATTCAAGAAGAAAAGACTCTATGATGGTGAAGTTGAGATATGTGTTATTCTATTTATATAGATACGATTTATTTTGTGTAATTTTTTCGTAATATTAAGACAGCTTAGTATCCGTTAACTTTAAATTCTTTTCGTAGTTGTAAAAATAGGTTATATAAAGAAAAACAACTGACAAAAAGAAACTAAAAAGTGAAATATATCTTAAGAGTTGATAAAAATTTATAAACCGAAGATTCAATTTAATCTATAAACTCAATTATAATGTGTTTCCTATTAATAAAATTGACATATCAGAATAAAAGTGACAGATGTTATTGAATTATTTGGAATATTCATCTTTAGAAATTAGGATATATCCTAGACTACTCTAAAAGTTAGATCTATTACCATTGTTAGTCATTCAAATAAGCTGAAGAAATCTGATAAAAATGAATGTTTTAGGATGCAAGTAGTATATTTTTGAATAAAATAGAAAGAACAAAAAACTTGGTGTACGAAACATTTGAATTGATCTTATCAAAAGAAATCTTTCAGATGGAAATAGTTCCATTTTGATGAAATATAGAAAACAATTGACAGTATTTCTAAAAACTATTTTGATGAAATGAAGAAGACAATTTAATTTTCCAGTCATAGTGATAAAATTGAAAAACTGCAGTGATCTTAATTTTATTTTCTTATAATTTGTTTTTAGCACTGATATAAGTTCATTTGACTCGCAAGTAACATTAATTTCAAATGAAATATTTGATTTTGTTATAGGAAATTTCATAACTGAATGAAAACTTTTAGTTAGAGCAATTTGACTAGATTTTTGGAAAAAAAGAAATATGTAGAGCAAAAGAACTACCAATTTCATTAGTTTTCAAGTTTGAATATAACAATCAGTTTCTATACATATATGATTTTAATGTTGACAATTTACACATTTATTTGACGAAAATGTATTTATTAACACCTAAAATTCAAATCAGAAACTATATTGTGAAATTGCGTATGTACTTCTGTATTTAAATAAAAGTATATAAATATACAGTTTTAATATCGACAATTTAAACATATATTTGACCAAACAAATATATTAGTTAAAATTTAAATGATAAGCATATACAGTATTGTAAAATATATACAAAAGATTATTATATTTTATTATGTGTAAATAAATGGTATACACATTTGAATTTTATCATGAAGAGTAATACTATTTCATAAATATAATATTATTTTTAATATTTGTTTTATAAAATGCAATATAGATTTCATTTTCAAATAGACAAGTACAGATGATTTATGTGGAAGTTAATACGCTATGTATCAGATTTTGAAGGTTTTAATTAATGTTCATAGTCTTATACTAATAGCTTTCATGATTTTTAGTTTTTTACATTACCAATCAATCATTGACATACAGTTTGTTAACCATATAAATCAAAGATTAGTAGAGTAAACTGTTGTTTGTTCATGTTTTTTTCCGGTATTTTCCGCTTAATCACGTGGTTTGACTTTTCGAGATACTTTGACTCTTTGTTCAGCAAAAGCCACATGTTCCCTTTGTAGAAGCTGTCTTTCATCTTCCTTTGTCATTGTCATCCGATCCTCGACTCTATTAATACTTACGTAAAAGACTTTTCCTCTTCTAGTCTTCTTCCTGATCTTTCATTTCTTTCTATTTAGTCTTCTTTCGCACTTAAGAGATTCACGAGTCTGTCGGTCGATCCATTTTATTCGGGTAAGCGATGTTTGATTCGTTTCGTTCCACTAACCACAAGTTATCGTTTATGCTCCATAGCTTAATATTTGGCCCAGGATCTTGTTTCTGAATCACGATTTTTAAAGTTCTCTTGTCGATTTCTTGTCTTTAACCCAGCTAGAAGGATCCGTTTGGATATCTGCGATGTTAATAAATCGAACCGCGAAACTGATCAATTGTATAGCTCAGTTTCACGAGTTATATATGTCTTCGATTTGCTTTTTTTATTTATTTGTCTGAAATAGCTTAAGTAGCTTAAGAATCTCGTTTCTGTCTAGTGCTATAAACAAGTATTCTCGTATCTATTTGTTACTATTTTTTGTATTATTCAAGTTGTGTTTCTAGTGTTTACATTAGAAATTCGGACTCGTGGTCTTGAGTTGAGACTCATTCCGTTTGGAATGTTATTTACAACAACATTGTAGAGACTAGAGTCACACACTGTAACATCCAATTTGTGGTATATATGGAGAGATTTAAGAGAATTAATGAAAAATCATAGTTTTTTATTTTTCTTGCAGATCAATGAGTAACCGTAAAAACACACATTGGTGTCATACTTGCAGAAGAGGAATCTGTCTTCGAGGAGAAGACATAAGAGGAGGAGGAGGAGGAGGAGGAACTTGCATTTACTGTGGTAACACCTTTCTTGAAAAGCTCTATGAGAACGTAGAACTAAGCCCTTTTGATTTCTTCGGATTTGCCATCGAAGAAGCACGTAACCGTCGTCCCAACAACAGAAGATCGGTGATTCTTGAAAACCAAACAAGTTTCCAAGAGTTGTTCAACCGGCTCTCAGTCTCAGCACAAGACCGTCGTGGTCCTCCTCCAGCTTCGCCAACTTTGATTAGCTCAATGCCAAAGATCAAAATCAGGCAGAAGCATCTCGGTTTGGATCCGTATTGTCCGGTTTGCCAAGACCGGTTTGAAATCGGATCGGTTGCGAGTAAGATGCCGTGTAAACATATATACCATTCAGAATGTATAGTCCCGTGGTTAGTACAGCATAATTCTTGCCCGGTCTGTCGCAAAGAGCTGCCACAAGACCGGAACAATGGCCGGAAAAAACCGTTGTTGTATCTGTGGCCGTTTAGCTCCTCTGGTACGGCCTCAAACTACATCGAATCACCTTTCCATTGAGATGCTTTTTAGTTTTGTCTCAATCCATGTAATATATGATTTCTCTTGTGTGTTTTTTTTTGTTAAGGAATATTGTTGGTATATGTTTACGTTGGTGTACATTGTACAAAGGTTTTTGTTATCTCACTATGATTTGTATTTTTTGTAATATATTAAATGTTGATTATTTTGTATTCAATTTTTGGAATCATAAAGTTGGTTTCTGCTAGTGTGTCACTAGATAGTATTACAATCATATACTTTAATTGGACTAAGATCATCTTAGTCAACATTATCACTTTAAGATTATCATTTTCTGTTGTTCAAAAAAAAAAAAAAAAAAAAAAGATTATCATTTTCTATATTTTTACTTTCACTTTAAGATGATCAATTTCTAAATTTTCACTTTCACCTTCACTTTTCATTTTCTATATTTTTTTCTCGTAGCATTATCCAAGATAATAAATTTGACCATTTTTATAATGTTAAATAGTCACTGCCAAGAATGTTATTTTCTGCAACCAATTTTTGTAGAAGTTATTATCCAATCGTCACGGTAGTTCGAACTCTTCAACACTCATCTGTCGGTGGTCTTACCCAAAACGACCAACCATAAATTTCTTTTTTCAATTTTCCCAACTTGTATAAAAATCAAAAAGTACATACTGTAATTAATAGTATAAATATAAGGAAATTAAAGTGATTTAGGATCAAGAGTATGTATATGGTTTTCGATAATGCTAATCCTTTTTTTTTTCTCATTTTCTGAAGTAAAATAAAGTATTTTTATAATCGGAAATCGAAATTCACTTCACTCTCTTCGTTTTTTTGCGTTTGCTTTTGTTTTTTAAAATCGAGCTTTCCTCTGTGCAAGGAATTAAGAACAAACCCTCGATTCGATTTCGAAAAGCTAAATTCAAAGCACCCTTTCTGGGAAATTTCTTCAGTTTTTCTGGATTTGGGGGTGTTTGTTAGCTCTCGTTCTCAAATCTGGTGAATTAGGGTTTTGTTGAGCTGCAGAAGCTAAATGATGGGTGTACCCACCGAATGGGAGGGTGTGCTTTCTCTCTGCTCTAGATTCTGCCATTGCTATGGCCTCTTCTGCTGAAGAGTCCTTAGTTGCTTTGTCATGGGTAAAACCGAGGATGATGGCAACCTCCGCGCCGGCGACGAACCTGTCGGCGATTTGACGGAGAGGAATGCTAAGTGTGGCTGTTGCGAATGGATCTCGGGTTTCTTCGGGTGCAAATGTTTCTTCGTGCTGCTTCTCACCGTCTCCTTGTTTCTTTCGGCTTTGTTTTTGCTGCTTCCGTTTCCAATGGATCGAGAGGATTCGAATCTCGATCCCAGATTTAGAGGTAATTCCCTCGTTCTCTCTGTTCCTGAATTTGGTAGTTCCTGAATTTCGTGCCAAAAATGTCAATTGTGTGCTAAAAGCAACGTCTCCTGAATTTGGTAATTCCTCTTTCTCGGCACAAATTTTTTTAGCTGCCTCGGTTTGTTCTACTGAGAAAACTTCCTATTTTGGAATCGAATTCACTCTATGTTGAACATTGATTTGGTTTTCCGTTTCATACTCTGTGTTCTGAAATTGGTAACTAGTTTCAAAGCTATTTTGGGAATGAGGTTTGACTGTGATTCATTCGAAAATGTCAGTGATGAGTCAAAACTGCTTCCTCTCTCATGTTTGAGATTTGACTGTGATTCATTCTAAAATGTCAGTGATAATCCAAAACTGCTTTCTCTTTCAAGTTTAAGATGAAGTGTTTCATCAGCTATCATTAACCATTTTTTGAAGAGCTTCTTAGCTATCCTAAATCATTATTTTGGGGGTAAAAGCTATTTGATCATGAGGTGTTTTGGTTCAAAAGTTGTATAGTCGATGATAATTTGCATATATTAGAGTTACGTGTTTAAGCTTTTTGAGATTTTTGATGCGAACTTCAGTATAAGCTGTTGCTTATTGACATAGTAGTGCTGGGTCATGGATATGGTTATTGACCATTATTAGGATATTAGGTGTCTTCTTCTTAATTGTTTCTCACACTTAACTACGTTTTGGCTTCACTATCGATGCAGGTCATGCTATAGTAGCCAGTTTTAGCGTCAATAGACCGGCTTCATTTCTTAATGAAAATATCTTGCAGCTTAAGAGTGACATCTTTCAAGAGATGAGCTACATTTCCATCGATGTACAATGTTTCATCTTTTTCTTAACCTTTATTCTTAATTCTGATTCTATTATCACTTTGTATATCTTCTGATCCAACTTGGTTTCATATGAAACAACAGGTAAATATCCTGGCTATTGAACCGTCAGATGGACTAAACATGACAAAGGTTGTGTTTGGAATTGACCATGATACTGCATACCGAGAGATATTGCCTCTGTCCTTGAGTACTATCAAAGAGATGTTCGAATCAGTGCTCATAAATCAATCCACTCTCCAGCTTACGAAACCTCTGTTTGGGGAAACCTTCCTCTTCGAAGTGCTTAAGTTTCCAGGAGGAATCACTGTGATTCCACCGCAAAGTGCTTTCCCTCTGCAGAAATTCAAGATTGTTTTCAACTTTACCCTAAACTACTCTATACAGCAGATACAGATAAACTTCAATACCCTTGCCAGTCAACTTAAAAATGGCCTCAATCTTGCTCCATACGAGGTTTGTCATTCTTTCAAACATGTTGAAGTTTATGCATGCATTAGAAATGGTTAATGCTTTGAGCTAGATTGTTCTTAATGTGTAGTTTTGTGTGAATGCAGAATTTGTATGTAAGTTTATCAAACTCAGAGGGGTCTACAGTGTCTCCTCCCACAACTGTCCACTCATCGGTTGTGCTAAGAGTTGGGGCTTCAGATTCAGGTCCAAGGTTGAAACAACTGACTGATACCATCACAGGTTCACGCTCGAAAAATCTCGGACTGAACAACACTATATTTGGTAAGGTCAAGCAAGTTCGTCTCTCCTCTTTTTTGCCAAACAGCACTGATAATAGCACCAAGCCTCCATCACCCTCACCTCCTCCCCATTCCAACCACCACCACCACCATCATCACCATCACCACCACCACCACCACCACAACCATCATCATCACCACCACCATCACCAACATCATCTTAGCCCGAGTATGGCTCCCAAGATTTCACCTGTAGCCTCTCCTGTTCCTCAGAGAAGCCATAGACGAGCTCCAGCGGCACCTCCACCCTGCAAGTCAGGGAACAGAAGAGGACAAAGAGTAGACTTCAAGGATAAACACGTGCATTTCTCATCTACGCCTTCTCCCGCTCCTTCTCCTTCCCCTGCATCACATCGTTCTCCTCGCTATTCTCCACGGCCACCACATCATCAGCTGCACTCACCAGCCCCAAAACCTGGATCCAAGTCTCGTATAGTTCCAGTCTCTGCTCCTCTTCCACATGTAGTTTTTGCCCATGCAGCTCCACCTCCCAAAACAAAACCAAGTGAACCGCCGCATGAAAACGAAGTTGCTTATCCTCAACAGCAGTCCTCTTCATGTAAGTTTCTACTTACACAAATCCTCTACTTTAGCAAGAGATATCAAATCACAGAGTACCAATGCTAATCAAGAGGCTTTTCCTAATCTGTTTTTGGCTGCAGCTGATTTGGTTTTGCCAGCTACGACATGGATTGTCTTACTCATGCTGATAGTGGCCGGGCTTCATCAATAACGACATTAACATGTCTAGTACACTGTATCAAAACCTCCTCTCCCTCCACCGAACACTCAAAACTTAAGTGTATAAAAATGAATTCATTAGAAAAAAAACTGGAAGAGTTGTTGTTATAGAATGTTGCTGCACAAAAGAGTGCAGCCTTCTACTTAAATCCCAATTGAATGTATATGCTCTAAGAGCTTCTTTTGTATATTATATCTTCCAAAACAGAAATTTCAGTATGTAATTTTCCAGTCTAAAGCCACCGTCAGTCGCAGGGATTGCCCAACGGCCAAAGTAAAAGCATTGATTTAACATTATGGTTCTGTTAAAAGTTAAAAACCAAAACCTTGCAAACATTGAGTTTTACAACATACAGAAAGAAAGTCAATAAGGTCTATCTATAAACATGTCAATGTTACGAGCTAAGTGAGTCGGATCAGGTGGCCACGAGATGGAGACCTGACCGGGGAAGAACGCACGAGTAGGTAACGTACTTGACACTATCGAGAAGCACCACCACGAAGATCCGGGAAAGTGATTTCGGGTTTGGGGGTATGACTCTATCGGTTTCAGGGTCAACGACCTCTCTTGGATCAAGCAACACAGAAACAACCATGGAGGATGATGATGTGGGTTTGTTGTTAGTGTTCCCATGGAAGCTCTTGTTCTGAGCGTCTTTGCTCGGCTGTGTTCCAGTCATGTTAAGCTCAGACGCCACAAGTGAAACCGGAAGTCCCTCAAGAATTCTCCTGTTCTTCATCCTCTTATCATGGGTGGTGACATTTTGGAGATGCTCCTTTGTAATGTTGGAGACTGTTGATGGAACTATAGCACCAGGAGCAATATCGAACTGGAAAACCTCAGTGCACATGCTATAATCCATTAGACCCCCTGAAATAGATAATGCAGTAAAATAAGAGTTAGATCTAAGGCTATTCCATTTTTATAAATCTACACAGGGAAACAAGAATTACCTGAGCCACCTTCATGAAACCATTGGTGAAGTCTTTTCCCCTCAGGAGAAGCAGCAGAGAGAGCCTTGGAATGTGGAAGCACTGCTCCATTTCCTCTCACCTCAGGGACAGCTAATGCAGAAGACAATGGACCAGGTTTTTCACTTTTCACTGTATCAGAGATATTCGCCATAGCTTTCTCGCTCGCCAAAACAGAGTGAATTATCAAGTTCCCATCAATCTTCACAAGACCATCATTTCTTGGAACATAGAGAGAAGCAAAGAGAGGCTCACTAGCATTGCTCAATGAACTTACTCCTCCACAACTATCTCTCTCACCATCACTCCTCCTACTAGATAATCCACTTTCTCTTCTAACATCAGAGCCATCGCCTACCATCAAAACCTTCCCCTTATGTTCATCATAATACCTACGACCCTCATAACTAGACAAACCGCTAAAGCCACCACTCTCTCCTCCATTCATAAACGGAGCCAATGCACCAAACAAGAACATAAAGAACAAAATTCCAAGAAGACTAACACTAGCAACCTTCTTGACCTTGCTTTTGCCCTCGTTTTTCTTACTCTCTGGCTTCTTCGGTCTACAAGCTGCCTTAGGAGCCAATTTGGGAATAGGAACCAACGGAGTATTCGATCCATAACCTCTAACTGGATAAGGTGGATATGGCATCCATTGATACGGTAAAGGTGGTGCAGCCATGTAAGGATTCATCGGAGGAGCACCAGAAGCAGCAGCCATCTGCTGCCTTAACGCTGCATTCTCGGCCATCACATAAGAGATCTTACCGTTTAACTCAGTAATTGTGGAATGCATACTCTTCACTTTCAATTGAAGCTCCTCAACGTATTGCTTCTTCCTCAGCCTCGAAAGCTGCGCGCTTTCGCGGTTTCGAATCAGCTTCATCTTCTTCTTGTCGTCGTCGTCGCCGTCTTCGTATGTAGCGGCTGATTTATCGTCGGATTTTTGGTACTTGAAGCTCCTGAATTCGCCTCCGGAGTCTCCTTTTTCCTTCTTCCTTTTGCTGGTGGATGATTTCTGTTGAAGCCCTAGATTGCTCGAATCAGGGGAGGAGATGTCGCAAGCGCCGCCGGAGACAAAAGTCTTGGAGCCTTGAGATGACACCTGAGAATGAACGGAATCAGATCGCCCTTCTGGGGATCGATCGACGTTTTTGGCTTCCGGTGATTCCGAATTCGAATTTGCGATCGCTTCTGGGGTCTGATCTCCAGAGGTCCCGAATTCGTCCGGGATCGCCGCCGCGGGTTCCGCGTCGAAGTTGAAATTGAAGAAATCGTCGGAATTCTCAAATGGGAAATCGAAATCGATATCCGGGAAATCTCCGTTCTCGTCGTCGAGCAAGAAGTCGAGATCGGAGATCCGGGGATCCATTGGAATTGGATCGGAAGCAGAAAGGAAATCGGGATCGAGCGGCGGAATAGAGATCATGTCGGATTCGGAAAACATGCTAGGGTTGAGATCAGTCATCTCCGGCGGGTGGGCAATAAACAAGGGTGTAGACTCCGTCATCACCGATGATGGGTTTGAATTTTCTATCTCGTTTTCGATTTCTCGATTATTCCACACGTTTTGTTAATAGTAACTTTGGAAGAAGATGACGTTGACTTGACGAATATTTATTGCAAAGAAATATTATCTCCACGCGCCGGGTGCGCGTGTACATTAAACTCAAGACACGAACACGGAGTTCTCGAGTTTTTTTTTTTTTTAACATCTATTTATTAATCAAATTGAACCGAAGATTACAATGTTATGAATCAAAGACACAAATACAAATACAATCGATACATTGCTTAAGAAGAACTTTAAAATGGAATAAGAACAATTACACGTTGCTTTCTTTCTTAGAGAAGACTTCCACGCGAACAGATAAACATATCTGTTATGTGCTTCATCCATCATCGTTCTCGGTCTCATATGAACATCTTGCTTGGCTATCATCATTGTGATTAAAAGCCAGTAATTTCTTAGAAGATGACTGATTGCGATCCATCTGTTACATCGCAATCTAACCCAATATCTCTCGCTCCAAGAGATGACATGTATCTTGATTGTACTCCTTGTCCATGACTTTGATTGTCTTCTTATTAGCGACAAATTATACCAGTACAAATTATACCAGTATATTGTCTCTTGCTCCGATTCAAAGCGTCTCCATAAGACCATCTTTCCTGGATCCCATATCCTCCGACCAAGTCTCCAGAATATTTTCTGGATTTTATATCTATTTCCTTCACCAAAACTGGATCCAGAATAGTGGCCATCATGAAGAAACTTAAAGATCTTCACGGAGATATCTGGTTCGAGTTGGGTGATGCCAGATAACCGATACACACCAATGAACCATAAACAGACCGTCTCACAATGGAGACGTAGTCGGGAACGATGGGAACAAAAGAATTTCCTATCGTGAGAGAAAACGTCTCTTACCAATTGGGTGTGTGTTTGATCCGCCCTTGGAGATGTTTGGTTGGGACTCGGATTCCCATGAATCACCACCGTCGAGACGAACCCTTCACAGCCTCCCCCACTAGAAAGAGAAGAAGAAGATTACAATGTACACATCGTCGTATCAAGGGGACGAAATCCATAGCCAAAGTCATCCGCATGATCATCATGTCGATCGTCTACTCATAGAACCATCACCGGAAACCATTGATCGGAGGCGGAGTGGCAATCAACGATCGCCTTTGCAATCACCCAAAAACCGTCTTTTTGAGTTTTAAGTGAAAAAAGATTGAGGAATAAGTTAGTTGCGGAGTTCTCGAGTTTGTGTTACACATGTCTGTTTTCCTATGGAAGAACTACGTTGTACTTGTTTTTCCTTTCTAGAAGAAAGTAATTGCGAAGGACTAAATCTATAAATATTTTTAACTTATCTTTATATGGATGGTGTGTGTTTTTATTTTATTTTTCGTTTTTGTTTTACACGTATTTTTAACTTGACACGTGAAATCAAGACTAGAAATCGAGGTTCTCTCCAGAATCCAGATATATTAATTCGAAATCGTTACAAAATGTTCAACTTTTTGTACCTCTTTGACTTATAATTTACTGTGAGATTGCATACATTCAATGTCAATGTCATACAAAACGATCCAAGATTCAAAAATGCCAAACAAGCGGGCCACGTCGCTCACATGCGGAGGTGGTCAATCAAGCCATACCAAGTACTGAAGTACCACGCAATACAAACCAAGGCAAATATCATAATAAGACCACTTTGTGAAAGATAACAAGTTTATAACTTTGTGAAATATAATAATCAATATATTGTAATCGATGAAAAGATATGATGAATGCATATCCTTCCTACAAGATGATGTCTATGAAGTTTCTTTGAGATGATAAGAATATTGTGGACAAATACATGTGTTTCTTTATTGATTTGGTATGACTGCATTCACATAGTATCCCCAAAAAGGGCACATGATGTTGCAATATTTCTGAAACACAATATAGAATTTAAGTTAGATAAGCTTCTTTTTGAGGAAGAAGCGTTTGAGATACAAAACTTGAAAAACTGAAACGATAAGGGAAACTCCTATAGAGAAAAAGCCGAGCTGCGCAACCCTCTTGTTAGTCTTCTCGTTTATTTCCCTCGCATATGCTTCCCTGCGCCATTTGTTATTGTTAAAAACAAATGAGTCTTACTATTCTCTTCACAAAAATTGAAAAGAAAAGAAAAAACAGATTAGAGTTAAATACTTTAATTTTAGATGGAGCATATTGGCCTTAATACCATTCACTACTGCTTCAGATTTTCGAAGGTCAAGCTCCACACCCTGCAAACAATATATTGAAAAACCAAACGTATATTTCGCGGCCGAGAAAATTGTTAATATCAACTAACTGAGAATTTGAAGGAGTAGTATTTGCCTCGATCTTTTCTTTCTTAGCAACAGAATCCCAATCCTTGGCTCTGATACCTATCTTCCAGTCAAGACTGATGATAACGGAGCTACTAGGTGTGTAATGTGACTGATCGTGATGCATCGAGAAACAAGCTATGTATGTTCCACTCTCGCTCGTTGTAAACGCAAACTCACCGGCCGTCTCGTTTACTCTCTTGTACAGTTCATTCCCGTACGGAGATGTTACCTATAACCAAACGCATGTACACATTTATAACTCCTCTATCAATACTAAAGTTATAGACATCATTTCTCAATATTGAAGTTATGAGAATTTGACTAGTGCAACCTAACGCTAAAACAGTCAAGCTAAGGATTAAAGACCAAAAATTTCTTGGTAGGACCAAAACAAAGAGAGTGGCCGATGAGCTAGCTTTCGTGTGTAACAAATTGATTTACAAACTTTTGACATATCGTTTAATTAAGCCTATTTATTTAATCACATATATTAATTATTTCTCTATAAGATTGAGACACAAAAACACTAGTGGCGTTTAAAGGATGCTAATCCAGAAAACAACAAACCATCCTTCTCTGCTCGGAATCAATCTCCAAAGAGAAAAGTGAATATTACATATATGTTTTGCTAAGAAACTTTTTAGACAGTTAAAGAAAAATTTAAGAAGGAAAAGAAACCACAAACCAATTCGCCAGAACATGATATAGATCTATGAGCATGAAGTATGTGGTTGTGAATTACTATTGATTTAGATACATACCCGAACATCCAACGTGGGACCAAAATCAACTTTATCCTGATCGATGCAATAATAATAGGCGAGGACAACCACGTTGGCTTGGATCTCTTCGCTGATGCATTTCTCTCCCGAAGATGGAACCGTTAACCATATCGCCTCCGCCGCCGGAAAAAGAAAGGCACTGCCTGCGACGCAAATCAAACCAATGAATAGTATCGGTGAGATCGCCATTGTTAGAGAGAGTTTAAGGTGATAACGTTATTAAGAAAAAGAGGGTTTTAAGACACTGGCGCGTGGTCTTCTCTTTCGTAAGTTGTAACCATTTCCTCTGGTAGATGTTCTTATCGTATCCAATCAGAAATGGCCATGTAGGATGATGAACATTTGTTCACACGCCCTGTGCCGTTTCTGGAGTATTTATACTTTACATGGAAACTGCGTTTAGTTTTGACCAAACAATATCATCTCTATAAGGAAGACAATCCCATTATTAAGTTTTCTTAATAAAAAAATGTTTCTTCTTTTTCCTTTTACAACAAAACAAAATTTATTTACATCGATCTTAAAATATTCAAAGACAAAAATTACTCTAATTTTGGGTTACGCCTTCAGTGCATTGTAGCTGTTTTTAACGTCTTTTTTTCAATCCATAGAAATCACATGTTTTCTTGATTTTTTGTTTTGAAAAATGTAATTTTCATTTTTATTTATATGATTTCGTCCAGATTCTCATTGACTAAGAATACATATCATATATAATGCATATAACTTGCATACAATTTATTTTGTAAGTTAACCAAGGCCTCATGGCCTATTGGTAAAGGGGTCATAGCTGTGACTTCTTTTTCCTGGGTTTGAGTTCCTTTGCCACCCGGGCTGCTTTAAATAGTAAGAATGCATGGACTGCCGTGGGCCTTGTGGGATTAGTCTTTGGGCCTAAAAAGCCTTTAGGATCACCCACAATTATCAGAAAAAAAAAAAAAAACAATTTATTTTGTAAGTTACATACATACATTTTCTTATATATATTTTTTTTTAACTTTACATAATAATTTTTCTGAAAGTATATTGATATATTATAATTATTTTCACTAAACTAAATATTCTTAGAGGTCCGATATACTTCCATATAGAGTTTGATTTATTTGGAAAGTTAAGAATGGAAAAGTGATTAAGATTTTGACCATAAAGTATACCAGTCTACCCGAATGTAAAGCGTGGTGTATGAGAGTTTGACTAAAAAAACTAGTGTTAAACACATTTTTGCCTTCAGTTCAGCAGCTTCCAAAGAAAAAATCTTCGCAGTCCAGGCATAAACAACCAGTTTCGAAAAAGTTTATTTTGAAAGCTGAGGTTTCGAAAAGGTTTATCCATCCCTCAGCTTCCATGATGAACCTTTTAGGAAATGGTTGCTTACTCCTCGGCTTCAAAGTCTTTTTCTTTGGCCGTCTTAACGTTTAAAACCAACTATGTATTTCAATTTGACTAAGATGACCTCCATATATTTTTCTATGTTTCTACATGATTTTATTGAACTTAGAGAGAAAATACATTGTTTTTGGCTTTTTCCCATTGTACTTATATTGGCCGAATACTAGTCGATCGACATGTTAGTATATATGTAGTGTTATATATGTACTCGTATCAGATTTGTGTAGGTTTTTTTCTTTATTTGTGTAACGTTCAGATGGGCAATGCTATTCATGAATCATAAGGCGCTTTGGATACAACAACATTCCAAGGCTTCACGCTTATGAGTGGGGAGGAAACACTAAATCCCATACTCAAGGATATGAATTATCTCAGATCAAGGTGAAGTTCAGGTTCCATACAAATTTGTGCCAATATGGGTACATGATCAAGTTCAAGACGACAATGCTGTGTAAACTTCTTGGTTAATGAAAAGTAGATGTTGAGCCAAAGAAAAAAATAAATATTGCATACATTCAATGTCAATGTCACACCAAACGATCCACACCAAAGATTAAAAAATGCCAAACAAGCGGGCCACATCACTCACGTGTGGAGGTGGTCAATCACGCAGTACCATCTACCACGCAATACAAACCAAGGCAATTAACATCATAATAAGACTACTTTGTGAAAGACAACAAGTATACTTTGTGAAATTTAACCAACATATGGTAAAGGATGAATTAGATCGATGGATAGATATGATGAATGCATCCTTCCTACTTGATGATTCTATGAAGCTTCTTTGAGTTGATAAGAGCAGTATTGTGGACAAATAAATATGTGTTTCTTAACTGATTTGGTATGACTACATAGTACCCCTAGAAAAGGGCACATTATTGCAAACTTAAAACAATATAGAATTTGAGTTAGATAAGCTTCTTTTTTAGGAAGAAGCGTTTGAGATACAAAACTTGAAAAACTGAAACGACAAGGGAAAGTCCTAAAGACGCAAAGCTCAGCTGCTCAACCCTCTTGTTAGCCTTCTCGCTTATATCCCTCGCATGTGCTTCCCTGCACCATTTTTTATTGTTAAATTAAAACAAATGAGTCTTACTATTCTCTTCACAAAAATTGAAAAGAAAAGAAAAAAACAGATTAGAGTTAAATACTTTAATTTTAGATGGAGCATATTGGCCTTAATACCATTCACTACTGCTTCAGATCTTCGAAGGTCAAGCTCCACACCCTGCAAACAATATCCTCAAAACCAAATTTACATTGTTGCGGCCGGGAAAATTGTAATATTAATTAATTGAGAATTTAAAGGAGTAGTACTTGCCTCGATCTTTTCTTTCTTAGCAACAGAATCCCAATCCTTGGCTCTGATACCGATCTTCCAGTCAAGACTGATGATAACGGAGCTATTGGATGTGTAATGTGACTGATCGTGATGCATGGATAAACAAGCTATGTATGTTCCGCTCTCGCTCGTTGTGAACGCAAACTGACCGTACGTCACGTTTGCTTTCTTGTATAGTTCATTCCCGTACGGAGATGTTACCTATAACCAACGCATCACACACATGTACACATTGATAATTCCTCTATCAATCAATACTAAAGTTATAGATATCATTCCTCAATACTGAAGTTGTGGAATTGACTAATTTAACCTAACGCTAAGAAATTTAAGGATGAAAGACCCAAAATTTCTTGGTATGTTTTTTTCAAATCTATCACAAGTAAATTGTTTGATTTTCGATCACAACTTTGGACTTATGGGTTATCTAAACCTATTTAATTATCATCTCTTAGTTATATTTAGGGTTATCTGTTAGATTGAGACACAAAAACACTAGGGGCGTCGTTTAAAACAACAAACCATCCTTCTCAGAATCAATCTCCTATAGAAAAGTGAATATTACATGTTTTGCTAAGTAAACTTTAAGAAAGAAAAGAATCCCCAAAACAATTCGCTAGAACATAATACTGATATAGACTGTGTTATATATAAGCATGAAAATATACGAAAAGCACTGTGTATTACTATTGATTTAGATACATACCCGAATATCCAAGGTGGGACCAAGTCCAACATTATCCTGGTCGATGCAAAGATAATCGGCGACGACCACCACGTTGGTTTGGATCTCTTCGGTGACGCATTTCTCTCCCGAAGATGGAACCGTTAACCATATCGCCTCCGTCGCCGGAAAAAGAAAACCACTGCCTGCGATGCAAATCAAACCAATTATGAATAGCATCGGTGAGATCGCCATTGTTTGAGAGAGAGTTTAAGGTGATTACGTTATTAAGCAAAAGAGGGTTTTAAGACAGTGGCGCGTGGTGTTCTTAATTTTCGTATCCAATCAGGAATGGCCATGTAGGAATCCTACAGTAGGATGATGAACACTTGTTCACGCGCCGTGAGCCGTTTCTGGAGTATTTATGCTTTACATGGAAACTGCGTTTAATTTTGACCAAACAATATCATGTCTATAAGGAAGTAAATCAACAAAAAGATTTTCACAACATTTTCTTAATAATTTTTTTTTTTTTTTTTTTGCTTTAGCAAGAAACAACTTTTTATTACATTTAAATATATTCAAAGAAAGAAATAGTCCAGATTTAGTTTACCATTCTAGCTTTATATAATAAAATATTTTATTTGGAAAGTTAAGAATGGAAAAATATCAAAGAAAATTGACCTCAAACTATACCAGTCTACTTATAGATACATTATTAAATCATCCTCAACCGAATGTAAAGCTTGGTATGAGGGTGTAACTATCAAAACAACATGTTTGTGAGACTTGGACGCAAATCTAATGCATTTAACATATTCTTGCTTCAAAAAAAGGCTTTGCAATCGAGGGTAAAACAATTAGTTTTGAAAAAATTTGTCGTTTTTTCAACTTCGAAACCTTTTCTGAACTGATTGTTTACGTCTCAACTTCAAAGTTTTTTTCTTTGGAAGCAACAATGTGTTCAATGTTGTAGATCTTCGATCAAACTCTCTTAAGCATGTTGTCTTCAGTACACACATTGTTGCTTTAAGTATTCGTTCCCTCAACTTCCTTGATAAACATTTTCGGAACTGATTGTTTACGCCTTTTGATTTCAAAGTATTTTTCTTTGGAAGGAAGGTAACGAGTATGGAAGGCAAAAATATTTTTTAGCTAAGTTAGCTTTGTCCAAACTCAGTCCTCTCGATATTCTCATTTTTAATTGAATGAAATGTATGCATTAACCCAAAGAAGCATTAAGTCATGTTATATACGTGATAGATTACTAGTTGGACGACGTACGTAACATTCAAAATCAGCTGTGTATTCCGATTGGATATGATCAAGATGACATCCATATCTCTTTCTATGTTTCTACATGAGTTTATTGAACTTAGAGAGAAAATACATCATTTTTGGCTTTTTCCCATTGTACATATGATGGTCGAATACTAGTCGACATGTTAGTAAATATATATGCAGTGTTAGAATTTTAGACTTGGATTTGTGTAGGTTTTTTCTTTATTTTCTGGATTATCATTGCCACAATATGAGTTTTATTTTTCAATCAACGGTTGACAGCAAAACCAAGTGATGAAAACTTTACGATTTTATAACATGCTCCCATTAGCACTAATACACTTATGGATCAATCAAAACCTAAGAAAATTACATATTTCCAACTAGTTTACAATCACCTTAGAATTTTGTCATTCAAAAGTTGGTATTTTTGGTAATAACAAATATTCCGAATTATGAATGTCTCTTCTCTCTTGGTGCATTGATATTTTGTTAGCCAAATTTCTTCATGATGAAGTGTGACACCAACCCAACGTCTATAGAAGAGAGATTAAACATTTGTGTTTTATGATTCCACCAAATCAACTTTACAAACGCACTTCTCGATAAATGTGATATTTAAACATATTCAATTTTCCAAAAAGTCCAAACACAATTAAATCCACAAAAAAAAACATACCTATAAATGAATTAAAAAAACTCAAAGGCAGCAACTTTCTTTTTATTCTCCCCACTTGATTGCGATTTGCGAGAGAGAGAGAGATAAAGGTCGAGAAGGTCTTTTCATCTCCTTCACCCTCATCGTTTCTCTCCTCTCTCTCTTTCTCTCTCTCTTCTCTTTCTCAGAATGCTCATCAGAAATTATCTCCTTTTCGTTTCCCTGATGTGTTTCCTCTTCTAATCTCCGGCGAGAGAGAGAAGTCAAAACCGAGATCGGAGAAGAAGGATTTCAAATACAGAGGGGAAAAAAGCAGAGGAGAGAGAGAGAGAGAAGCTAATCTATCTATGGCCGCCATGACCGAGAAGGAAGCTACGGTGGATCCTTTTTTGGTCGAGGCTCTCCAGAACCCCCGTCATCGTCTCACCAGTTAGTCAATTTCTCCCAATCCCACGATTCGATTTTTCACTTTCTCTGTGTTTTGGTTGATCTGATTTTGTTCATATCATGCATCGCTAGTTATCTAGGGTTTCATCGAATTGGGGAATTATTAGTTTCTCTAATTCTCGATCCTTTGTGATTTTGGTGATTGACAATTAGATCCATGACTATTAGCAATCCTCGTTTTTGCTCAAATCAGAACAATTCGCTCTTTGAACTCAATCAGAATCATCACGATTGCAATTATCTTATCGGTACAATGAACATAGAAGCTTGAGTAATCACTCTGATTTTGCATTACCGTCTGTCTAATTTAGTCTCTCTAAGCTCAATAACATCTTTTCTTCATATGTTTACACTTTTTGTTTCTATTGACGTTTAATTTCTGTATCTGGAAAGATTCTCTTCAAATGTGGTTAATGGGTGATTATAAAGGTTTCATCTTTTTGTTGTTGTTGTTGGTGTGTGTTCTAGTTTTGAGGATGGAGCTAGATATACAGAAGTTCTTTCAAAACCCCGAGCAGCTCCAATTCGAATTCTCGCCATTCCCAACATCATACCTGCGTCTCGCTGCACATCGAGTTGCTCAGCACTACGGACTAGTAACCATGGCTCTAGACACCGGTACCGTTGCAGGAGATGGATCCGAGAACAGAATCTTGGTGACGAAGACAGCCGAGAGTAGGTTTCCTTACGTCTGCTTATCCGAAATCCCGGTTAAGCAACCGGAGAACGGTAGACCCGAGGGTGTCAAGATCGCGATCAAGGCTAGACCCAAGAGAGGATCTGGCTGCGACGGTAGCGGATCAGGAGTGCAGCAGAATCTTCTGAGAAGTGTTGAGGAGAGGAAAGAAGAGTACGATAAAGCCAGAGCTCGGATCTTCAACAGCCCTAGCAGCTCCGACTCTGAAGACTCTTCGTCGCTACGAGCTCCTCCTCCTCCTTTGGAAGGGAAACAAGTATGTATAAACCGACACGAGACTGAAGTTGCGGTCGTTAACAACAATCCTCCTCCTATGGATGCTGTGAATCGGACTTCTCGAGTAGCCATTATCAGAGATAGAGAGAAAGATCGGTATGATCCGGATTATGACAGGAGCTACGATAGGTATGTCGCCGATCCTGCTTACAGGTAAACCTCTTTACTTCTCTTAAACGGTGACATTCAAGAAAACTACTTCATGAGTGAAAAAGTAAGGTTTTGTTTCATTTGTGGTTGGTGATGTTTGGTAGGTACGTTAGGGTAATGCCGTCTGGCCAAAGCTTCAGTCCGATGCCAATGCACATTCCGTTTCACGACGGAATCTTCCCGCCGATGCCGAGAGGTCATCAAGTCAATCTAAACTACGGGCATCCGCTGCACCCGGCGTTGAGTCCTTTTACTACTAATCCGGCTGGTTATACACCGTGGCCAAACACACCGGCTATGAACTATGTGCAGTCGTTGAACGGTTCAGACACTAATCTTTTCAGGTTTTGCCCTTTACTTAACCGTTGTTTGTTTTTCGCCGTTTGGTTGGTTCCTCGAATCTTAATGTTTACTTGTTTTTCCCCTGCAGGCATCCTTCTGCAAGCAATCCCTGATGAGAAGTTAGTGTTTTGAGTACTTCAATGTCTGTATGGAAAAACAGATTATATAGATATTTAGCCTTTAGGAGCTCTCTCTGTTCTGTTCCCAACAATGGCTGCTTCCTTTCTTATATAACAAGACATCTACTCTCTTTCCTTTTTCTTTCTCTTAATAATATATAATTATCGGACTTTGCATGAACTCTAGACGATACTTAAAACCGATCTTTGGCATTTTCCTCCAAATTGTTCAGAAGAAAACTGGAATTTGGTTTTTAAATGAGATCTTTTTTATGGAAAGAATCTCGTGTTTATTGAAAGATGCAGAATGTTTCACATATAATTGTTTTGTCTGCGTACATAAATATGAGGTGGTGAAGACTTGAAGGGTCCTTTTCGAACTTTGGAGAGACGAAGACTGATAATTTCCCAAAATTCCCAAACGAATAAATCAAGTACTCTTTTGACCGATGGCTTCAACCCTCAAATCACAAGATTGGATTTTGAATCAACAATTATTTTGGGTTTAAGATTTAATATTGGACCAAACTTATGGAAAATACCCAATCAAGAAATATTAGTTATCTATTTATTCTATTTTTTGTACTTTAGTTTGGTCATTAAATGAACTTTTTGTAGATCATTTGGTAAAACTAATTCCGAATCAGAAAATCTGGATATAACGAAACCGAATACACACGCTCTTTACGTGGATAAGGATAACAGCAAACGATATTTTGATAGATTAACGAGTCGAACACTGAAAAAAAAAAACATTTTATACATTTTAAAAATAAAAAAAAAAAAAAAAAACAGAGGATGGGGTCTGAATAGGGAGACAAGATCAGGACATGCCAGCTATGAACCCACCACCATTGCTTTAAATCAATTATTCCTCCCAAATAATTTAACTTTGATTATAGCAAAAAGAAGAAAAACTATCGAACTACTTTTATTGGGTTTGGTCCCTTCAAATGATTCCATAGACATTTCTGCATATATGCGACTTTATAGATTACTAGTAAATAAGTTTGGTATGATTAAGGAAGGAAGTGAGAGAGAGCATCAGATCCTTGATTCTGATTCTGCCTCCCAATTGTCTCTTTGATTCATTTCTACATTGTACTATCGCCTCCATCATCATTATTATTTTTGGTCAGTCGCACATACTTAAATATCTTCTCCAATAACATATTTTTATGGCTCACCATATTACACCAATATTCAGATTATATATAAACCTTGGATGATGCAGTAAAAAAAGGTATGAACAAGTTACTTTTATGAGAAAATCAGTGTAAAAAGTTACCAAGAACATTGCAAAGTAAGATTTTTCTTCCTCTTTCTAATCAAGATCGATTCTTTTTTTTTAGCAACCTTGAGTGTGTCCGTACGGATGTACAAAGAACTCATCTTTACATGAATCATAAAGTAGAAGCTACAAGGGTTAAATAAACGAGCCGTGACCTGAAAAAGAGCCTCAAGACACAGGATTGGTTCACACAGCGACGCGCCGGATTTGCATCAAAGTTAACTGAAAAGTCTGCACATACTCTGTGTCAGTGTTCTTGAAGACTGCAGAGAGACATTTTGGAATATGTAAAGTAATCAAATTGGCCAAGTGCTTATTACCGGTAGATTCGATTTCAATCGTCTCTAGTTGGGAATAAAGTCAAGACTGTTCTTCCTCCGTTGGCGTTTGCAGATTCTAAATCCTCAGCGTAGTTACCAACAGGACTGTGCAACGATGGTGTAGACATTCTGTGAATTGGTTGCTGCTGCTGCTGCGTTTGTCTCGCCAAGAACGACGGATCAAATTTCCCATTCGTTGGTGATCCATATTGTCCATTCGCCGTCGGTGAATTGAATTGTCCGTTCGCCGTCGGCGAATTGAATTGTCCGTTCGCCGTCGGTGAATTGAATTGCCCGTTTGCAGTCGGTGAATTGAATTGACCGTTCGTCGGAGAGCCGAAATGTGCGGCTGCGATTTGGCGGTGGTGGAATTGAGGCGGTTGCAGATGAGGATTAGCGGCTGCAGCGGCGGCGGCGGCTGCGGCCATTTGCTGCTGCTGTTGGAGAGTCGCGATCGGGACGAAAGACGGCATGAAATGGTCGGAGCTCGGGACTCGATTCGGGTGAAGGAAATGAGCTGGCACCGGAGAGCTAGCGAAGAGACGATCAGTGGCCGGATCTGATCCAGCTCCGCCGCCGGAAGACAATCCCTGCATTCTCTTGAGGTAAAGCCGGTACTTCTGCAAATGACTCGCGACGTTCTCTCTGGTTAATCCGTCGACGCTCATGAGCTGCATAATGGTTTTCGGGACGGCGTTTTTGATCCCGAGATGCGCGACGGCGTCGACGAAGCGTTTGTGAAGCTGCGGCGTCCAGACGAGCCTCGGTCGCTTCAGAGTCCTCGCCGGTTCGTCTCCGGCTGCTCCGGAGCCTAGATCTGCTGAATCGGCTGCGAATTCGGCGGAGGAATTGGCTTGAGAAGAGGGAAGCTGGAGCTGGGAGGGAGTCGGCGGCGTGGATTGGTGGTGGTGAGGTTGGCCGGAGTTTCCGTTTCCGTTTGTAGGGCTTCGGATGTCGAAGGCGAGAGCGAGATCGGGAGATATCAGAGATTGTGATAACGGCATGAGCTCCTCCGGAGATGGAAGCTCTTCTTCCCATCTCGCGAACCAGTCGGATTCGTCTTCTCTCATTCTTCTCAAAACAGAGTTAAAAACGAAAGAACAAATCTCAAATCCACATGATGATTTTCACAAATCCGAATCACTGAAGAAGCTTGTTTCACTGAGATGAGAAAATCAAATTCGATCTGGTGAAGAAAAAAACAAAATTATCCAGGAAAATTACAAAATGAGAAAATCTAATCAAACCGGGAAATAAGAAACAAGGTTAGATATTAGTAATGGATTGAGGAAGAAGAAGAAGAAGAGAAAAAGGAAAGAGACGGAATCTGAGAAGAGATGATGATGATTGAGAAAGATGGAGAGAAGTTCGAGGTGGATCTTCTTTCTTAGTTAGCTTTTCTTTTCTTTTGTTTTTCTTTTGTACTCTCAGCTTTTCAATCTCTAATTTATGATGAAGAGTACTTGCCAAATCTACAAATAATAGCTTCCATTTTCTATTTAATTTTGTTTTTATTTTGTTTTTATTTTGTTTGTTTGGAGATTTCAATCATGTAAAGACTCTCGACCGACGCTAACTTTGGCGCGTGGTGTCCACTCTCGAATCGATGAAGTGAACCACAACAACTTGTTGATGGAGTTTTGAAGCTCAAAAAGGGAAAGTTTATGAATAAACTAAAACCTTTACTAATCTGTCACATGAGACACACAATGAGAAGACGAATTAGCATTTACAAATCCCGGTTTCTATCATTAAATTAGATAGCGTAAATGTTGATCAAAAGAGAAATTATGACAAAACTTGGTGTTAGTTTGGACTTTGGAAACATTCATAGGCATTACAGAACTATTGTTGCCATAAAAACGTGTTAATTGGTTTACAATATTTAGTTACTAGGGGTGACCCGCTCTTCGCGCGGGAATTGAAATTGTTGTGTTGATTTTATTATTTTTCTCAAATTTAATTTAATTCTATGATTTATTATTATTTTAAAAATGTCATACACATATTAATCAAATATAATTAGGGTTACTCAAAAATTTCCGAAAATTAAATATAATTAAGTTTACGCAAAAATTTTGAACCATCATTTTTCATTCCTCCCATTTTGTTCCTTTTATCATATCCGTTCTTTCCCTTCTCATTCGCCATGTCCGTATCGTCACGTGCAATCCCATCATGTCTGAGACTGTTCCATCCCGTTTTGTCCAGTCTCATCCCGTTCTTTCCATTTCTTTACGTCATGTCATAAAATATAATTAGGGATATGCTAAATTCACGTTTTTTCCGTTCCATTATGTTTCTTTTCATCCCGTCCTTTCCGTCATATCCATCCGTCTAGTCCCATCCTTTCTTTTCTATCCCGTTTTACCTCGTTCCATTCATTTTCTTTCAGTTATGACTTGTCTTGTTTCTTCCCGTCTCGTTATCATATAGTTTTGCACATTAAAATCTATTTGATAAAACTAAAATTATTAAAATAGAATTTATTTAGATCAATATATAAACTATTTTCTTATACAAAATGACTTTTCAAATTCTATTATGATTAAGTGATATATGTAATAAATTATTAATCTTAAAAGAGAATTTGAAAAGTATTGTTTAAAAGAGAGTTTGTTGATGTGGTGTTCCCAGAAGAGACCCCAACTGTGTTTTATATATATAAATTTACATACAGTGTTTGTTTGTATATAAACTAAAGAAACAATGTTAGCATGTCATTGTCATAAAAGTAATTACATGTTTAAAAAAAAACCAAGGTCCAATTAATTTGAGTTCACTTGCAAGCAAAGACAAAAGCATTCAATAATTATAATTTTGACCAATCAAATACAAAAAGATGAAACTAAACTGGAATCAAACTCTGATGCATCATGGTCTCTCTCCCCCTCGTCGGCAAGCTCTAAGATTTGGTTGTGAATTGTGATATTTGGCCAAGAATACTTATTTTACATTCTTCAATAACAACGAAAGGTTTGCATTAAGTCTCTGACTGAATCTCTGACAAGAATTAGGTTGCGGTAAAAATACCAGTAATCTTCATTCTTTTGTTGGCTGCAACATTTTTCTTCATCTCAAAAATAATATTTTTTCATTCAAGTAGGAAGGATTTGAGTCTAGGCACTAATCATTCAACTACGTAAAGTATTTTTCTACTAACATTTACAAGTTCATTGATAGTCAAGAGTCACCTGCTTCAAAGTAGCCACAGAACAAGAAATCGGTCAAAGAAGATAGCAATTTAGCATGACAGAACTAAAATCATACACATAAACAAACTGCTCATACCAAAAGTTCCAGAGTAGTAGAATAATGTTTATTACTACGTTGTTGCCCGATTTGTATAATCTAAGAAATGGAAGCCGACATGATAATGATGGAAAAATGTTACTATTTGTTATTATTATGATGAACAAAGACAATGAACCTGATTTCTCCTACTTCTTGCTCATCCTCTAAATGATCTCCATCGAAACTGAGTAGAGAACACAAGCTGAGATAATGCTGAAATCCTACACATAGATTCTAACTCCTCCATCATCTTCTCTTTCTTTTTGTGAAAGATGTTAAGGATATCCACACCGTCTTTAAACAATTTGAGTTTGCGAGAATGTAAGCCAAGAACTGTTTCTCTTCTTTTCTTGCGTCGTACGCTATCTACTCAGAGATCTCAAGATTAGACAACAAGCATACCGGTACACAACTCGGTTCTTTCCACAAATGTGGATCATAAACCTGATGAGAAGCAACGAGGCAGAATCATAAACAAACACATTTACTTAATTAACTTAAATTTTAAGAAGAAGGAACGAAGGAACTCACAGAGTAGTAGACCATAAGAACTCTTAGTTTAGGAGAGTTATGCAGCAAAACCATAAGTGAGTACTCCAGCCAATTCTCTGATTAGTCTCGATCTGGAGACAGCTTCAACTCTATGAGCCGAGATAAGTTACTGCCCTTCCATTCCACACAAACAAGAACACAAAAAAAAAGTAAAGTAAAACACAGCAAAGAGAGATCACATACGAACAGAAGAAAGTGAGTGAGAGAGAGAGGTAATCGAAATGGTTACATCGGTCCTAGCCAAATCGAGAAACATGACTGAGGAGAAAGAAGTCAGAAACTTGTCAGTCGCGTGAGAACCAAAAGAAGAAACAAATCTCACAGTTCCCATATCAAGGCAAGGCATATTCTGGAACGAGTTACGGTACTCTCCTAAAAATACATCGGAGTGAATCTGATTTAATCTATAACCAATGACCTATCATCACCCATAACAAACTCATATAATTTAACTTCTTTAAAGGCACTTTCACACTGAATCTTGTCACATTGTCCTTGTGGTTTCTAACCACAACCAAAACATCAACAAGAGGGCAGCTTGATTGTAGCCTAAAATGATATTCTTCGTCTTTATACACCACAGAGTCAAGATCTAGAGAGTGAAGAGAAGTGAGGCAAACCGAGGAAGGAACATCTACGAGAATTTTGTTCGATAGAGTCAAGCACACAAGTGTTGCAAGCTAAACAAAGAAAAGGGGAAATAGAATCTTGCATATGATCAAACAAGACTAAATGTGTAACTGCAAGAACAAGTGAGTTTCAGACCAAAACATTTAGGTGGCAAATCTAACTAATTAGATGACACACACAAAAAAGGAGAACAAAAAAATACAAAACTTGAAATTAGGGCTCCTTTCGAGCCTTGTTTGGAAGTTTGCCATAGCTTGTGATCATCTTCTTCTTTCCCATCGTCCTTACTGCTTAGCTGATAATGGTACTCTTCTCCACACCTCAATCTCCATCTCCTCATCCACTGTTTCCAATGCAACCGAGAACGTATTCTTCACAATCAAACCTCCAACAAACTCCACCGCGGAACTGGCTTTCGTAGCTGTTCTTGCATTCTTGAAACAAACGTAACCAGAATCCATTCCACCAGAGTATTCAATGTGCCTGACGCTGCCAAATCTATCAAAAACCTCCTTGAAAACCTCACAGCTACTCCACGCCGGAACCACAAGCTGATCAGCCTTGTCGTCGACCAATAAACTTTCTTTCTTCTCCGCTCTCGCTATCTTTCTCAGTGTAAATCTGAGAATCTGACCTCTTTGGAATTTATTTCTTGGCACTGAGTATTCGAGTTCCTTGCTCCTAGCCTCTCTTTGTTTGTCAAACTCTCTCTTCGGTATTAACTCCAAATCAACACCGCCATAGACCAAGCTCTTCTTCAAGAAATCTCCAGCTTCTTGTTCAGACGAGAATTCAACCAAAACAGTACCACAAAAGAGTTCCTTATCTCCGACGTGGTGAGGAAGCCTCACACTGTTCAACTTCGCATACCGTGAGAAGAAAGTCACCACATCCTCCATCTCTGTGTCGTGCTCAAAAGGCGAAGCCGCGATGGTTCTTCTGTCGACTATTTCAAGAACCTCTTTAGGTTTGGAGAGCTTTGTTACTCTGCCGATCCTTAGCCCATCGGCGGAAACTTTAAGGAAATCAGATGTTCGCAAGACATCAGCTACTTCCGTCACTACAAACGTAGGGATTTTACCGCGACTAATGTCAAGAAGGACTCTCATACGAGAGAAGGAACAAACCAGCTGCAGACTAACCATCCCATCTACCCTCTTTCTCACTTCCTTGCTTAGGAAGTCATCTCTCGGTAGGTTACTATCGCTGAAGTAAAACTCCACCTGCGTTCGCAGCTTTTGAGCGGTTTCTTCGTCGAAGGAGACCATTATTACAGGAAGTTTCAAAGAGTGACGAGGGAAGGAGATCGAAGAAGAAGATTCGATGTATATAAGGGTTTTTCTTCTTTCAACAGAAAAAAAAAAAGGAGAATTGATTTTCTTGAGGTGATTTATGTATGGTGTTAATATTGGGCTTTTTATTATTGGGCCTAGCCCATGCTTTCGTGTCTCTCTTTTGGCGGTGACTCTCTCTACTCTAGATTGTTCTAGGGTTTCTAAATTGTTTACCCTAGAGGAGCCGCCTATATAATAGACGTGAATAGAACCAATACCTTCAGAGCTTAGATTGAGGGCTACAGAGAGATAGCAGGAGAGAGATAACACGTTTTCTCGGTGCTTCTTTGTCTATATTTCTGGCAAAAAAGTGATGATGAGATCATTACATTTTGCCAAATGTAGACAAAGCAATACCGTGATGACGTCAAAAGAGTTTTGTAGGTAGATCTGTACGTTCTTGTGCAAGTCAGTGTTCGATTTGTATATTCCTCTGCTTTTGGTTAACTTCTCTGACTGCTTTTGTTCGATTTAATTAATTTATTGGAACTCTCTCTCTCTCTAATCGTCACTTAGAAATAAACAGATAAAACATTTATCTTCAGTTTCTCTATATAGTTTTTTTGGAAACCAAGTATTTTGTTAGTTTACGATGCTGCTGAAAAAAAGCCAAAACTATCTCCAAAAGCTTTGAGATCATCTCTATGAATCTTGACTGCAAAATTAATTACTGTATTACATCAATCTCTAATCATTTTCTAGGTTGTTTTTCAATGGTCAATGAAATTGTTATCTTAGCCCAAAGTTTTGTGTATTAATCAAATTGTATCTTAGTCCAGATTTTTTCCTCACTGACTGCTAGATCTTGTTTTCCGGTTCTAAAAACTAAAAATTTGCATTTGTTTTGTTTCTCTTTATTTTTGCGAACAGCGATTTTCAGATCACGAAGCCAATTTGTTCAGAATATCTTGTTGATAATCACTATATGAACTATTATGAGTCCTGTATTGACGCACGAATTTGAATAAAAAAATTATGTATGTTCGTCACGAGCATGAATACCATTCTTATCTATAATCCGTAGATCATAGATCATATATCCAATAATTTATACCAAGTACAGAGAGATATTTGGTTTAATCAATTGATAATCATCTTACTAAAATATGACGATGTTTGTTGGCTCTATTTGCTTCTAATAATTTGATAAATGTAACCGAATAATTAAAAATAAACTCTTTTTAATCATCCAAAATGTTGAACAGAGAGTTTATCCTATTTCTAAAAAATCCATCATCACAATGTCGGATATCACGGAAAATCCTCGGTCGTTTGGATTCGAGAATGCTGTAGTTGTAATTGTTAAAATGTTTCGGAAATATTTCAAGGCCCAACTGGTATCACCAACAAGCAAAGTTAAAATCATTCAGTAATAATATAATTTAGAAGTCATTTGATGAATCTAAAATCAAAACATTATTATTTTTTGTTTGATAAAGAAAATCAAAACATTATTATATATCGTGTGTTTTGATTTCATATAGACTAGCGTGGTGGTTCATGAAAGGGTTGCCATTTCTGCTCCAAGCAAGAAAGATCATGATCAACAATTGCCTGCTTCGTAAGAGAAATAATCATTTAGAATTGGCAAAGACCATGGTAACAAATATATGACGGTAACAAATATATGACGGTAACAAATATATGAAGCTATAGCAATTTAGCATGACATAACTACAATAAAAATTGTCAATACCAAAAGTTACCGAGAAAGAGAAATTAAGAAATAATACTATTTGTATTATGATGATTGATGAATCAACAGAAGGAGCATAATGAACATGTGATTTCTCTTCTTCCTGCTCATTCTCTACATCTCCATCGCAAATGATCAGAAAACAGAAGCTGAGATGATTGACGCTGAAACCCTATACATTGAATCATTGATTCATCAAAGTCATCCCTCATCTCATTCTCCTCGTACCAAACATATCTCCTTGTTACTGTAGGAAAACCTCGGCAAAATTCCAACCTTGTTCAAACACCCTGAGGTTTGGAGGATGTACGCCAAGAAGTGATTCTCTTCACTACTTCCTCTGTATGCATTCCACTCAAAGATCTCAAGATGAGACAGCAAGCATCTCGGTACACTACTCGGTTCTTTCCACGGAAGTGGGGCAATATCATTGTAGTAATACTGAGAAGCAACGAGAAAGAGTTATAAACTCAGATTCTTCCTTTAATCTCAAGCAACACATGTTCGAAAGAGAGAGGAAAGGTACTTACAGAGTCGATCTTAAGAACTTTCAGTAGAGGAGAGTTATGAAGGAAAAGCATAAGTGGTTCCAACCAAGACTCTGATCGATAAAGACGCAGCTTAAACTCTCTTAGACGTGTGAACTTAATGGCGCTAATACACGCAACCTGCAATGGAATCAAATCGAACACAACGTAAGTGAGAAGAAAACAAAAAGAGAAGCAAAGAGAATCAAGATTGCTAATTACCTCGGTCAAGATCAAATGTAGAAGCCTGACGGAGGAAAAAAGATCTCCGAAACTTGTCATTCGGGTGAAAACCAACGCTAGGAACAACGTCCACTAACGCCACATCAAGGTGAGGCGTATTCTTCTGGATGGACCGGTAATCTCCAGAAGGATCGAAGATCCTAAGGTAACGTAATGCAGGAGAGTCTATAACCAAGGACCTACCAGAACCTTCTTCGTTGCGATAGTCAATGTATGTTAACCTACTTAAAGAAGCTACTTTCACACTGAACTTTATCACATTATCACCCTTCTCTCAGGTCACAAACAAAACTCTGAGAATAGGGCAACTTGATAAAAACCTAACGTGAGAATCTTGGTCTTTATACACCACGGAGTTAAGGTAAAGAGATTGAAGAGACGGGAGGCGTGCTGGAGAAGGAACATCGACGAGAATCTTGTGTGATAGTGTCAAGTATACTAGGGTTTTGCAGTTGTAAATGCTATTAGGCAAGCTTGTATTGTTTGCGAAGTTGAAATCTAGGTTTAGGTTTCGTACGCAGCGGTCAACTGCGTTTGAGATCCACTTCACGACATCTGCGTCGACGGGACATTTTTGACCTAGTTGGATACGCAAGCTTTTTAGTAGAGGTGCCTTGTGCAGTTGCATTGACTTGTCGAGGAAGTCCCAAATGCTCTTTTCGTCTTTGTCGTTTTCTGTGTAGTCGAGTTTAGGCACCATCGTCCAGAGAAAACGCCATCGTTTCGACAAAAGCGTTGTGTTGGCTGATTGTTTTGTTGGGATTAGAGACAATATGTGTAAAAGCAAATCGTCATGCAAAGCACTGATTATGTCTTTGTTGTAAACTCTCCTTTCTTTCAGACAAATCTCAGACATCTTTTTTCAATTATTTTTCTCTCGAGAACAAAACAGAATTCAAATTCACGAAGAAGAAAGCTCTAATTAGTAATTATAAGGAAATTAATTAATATGCTTTGAACTTCATCTTTTAAAACTCTTTTCTCTTCGTAGAAGATAAATACTCTCTCCGTTTTTTAAAGATAAATTTTATAGTTTTTTCACACAGATTAAGAAAAAGTTGATTTTCAATCATTAGTGCATAGATTTTTGCAATAAAACAACTTTTTATAATTTTAAACCAATAAAAATCCAACAAATATAATCATTGTATCTTGAAAACTGAAAAAGTGCATCAAAAAGGTAAAAATTTTATCTTTGTGAAACAACACATAATGGCTAGAAAATTCATTAAAAAAAAATGGAGGGAGTACATGGTTAGGAAGGGATAATGATAATTGGGGCTTAGCCGATGATTAATTAATAAATCCCATTTTTCTTCTTCTTTTGGGTCATTCATTGGCTGTAACTGGTAGCAATAATTGGAATTAAAAGAACGATGAGGAATAGGAATAAGAATAAGAGGAACAATAAGGAACAAATTATATGGAATAGATTTTAGAGAAGGAATGGAACAAAATATCACTAAAATGGTAACCAAAAAAGGAACAAATATTTTGAAAATAAAAATACTCAAAAATAAATTAAGATATACTAAAAGTATGTAATTTTGCTTGCTTCATCATTTGATTGACGTCGACGACGTCCTCCACTGTTATTTTTTGCACTTGACATGATACCTATATATAACAAATACACATGATACATGCATTATATCAAATCATCATTAGCCATATGTTTCTTAGGTATAGAATAGTTAATCATACAAAAAGAATATTGTGTATCTCTTGTTTTTCTCTTTAGCCGGTGTATTAGGTTAGACGAGAGAAAGATCTTTCACATATATATATAGAAAAGCTGTGTACAAACATGTAAGATTTAGGTCACGAGAACAAAAAAAGTAAATTTTCTACAATTTTATTTCCAATATGTATATTAAAATATGTTGTTACCATTTTTTATTTTTTTTTCCTTTTCATTTATTCCTTAACAAATTTGGGGTGAAATATATTTGTACTATAGTTCCTCATAACTTAAGGAACAAAGGGGAATAATGTGGGTCCTACAATGAATAAGGATTCCTTCCAAATGGTAAATTTTTTTAGGAATGAAGAGGAATATCATATTTCCTCTCATTTTATTCCTTAATTGTGGTTACCAGTTATCCCTAATATATTAAAAGAGAAAACACTTTAAAAATAACCTTTAGTTGATGTGTTATTAACAAGAATGCATGCTGATGTGTCATCATTAGAGAGCTTCTCATGTTATTTATAAAATAAGGATTAGTTTACTAGACTAATTACAAACATTGCCATTCATATTTTTGGTTAGAGAATCAAATATGTATAGTTAGATTAATCATATATGAAATTATTAATAAAAGAATCATCATTCTCTTTCCTTAATTGACAATTACGAAAATTAGTAAATAAGGAAAATATGAGATTCAATTTAATGCTATCATTATATTTTTTTTAAATCATTCTATATCTCCTTTCATCTTTGTTTAACTTTATTTTATAAAATAAAAAATTGACACAATACAAAAAATCTAATAAATAAAATCTAAAACTTTTTCTATATATGCTATGATTTGAATTTTTAAAAACAAAATAATCACTAAAACTATTAAAATTCCCAATATGTTGTTGTGTGTAGGTGTAAAAATATATTATAAAAAATAGATGATATGCAACCATGTAAGTAGGAGAGTAGGTATCTAAATGTAATTTTTTATTAAAATATTTTATATGATTTTTTAGTTAAACTGTATAATGAAATCAAATAAAATAATATTTTTTATAAATGTATTTAATTTTGATCAAAAATTTGAATATTGCTCCATTTGTTTCAATTTTTCAGTACAAAATTACTTATACTTTTGTTATTTTGACAATTTGGATTTTGCAAGATTGATCTTTTATTGGTTGGATTGTTTTGGAATTATAATAAAACATGTTTTAGTTTTAAAAGAAATAAAAAAAGTTAGTTCTAATCCGTGTAAACACCTAAAACTTTTATCTTCTTATCTTATAAAATATACTCATTTGATTTTTATGTATCTTGCTGAAGTCTAGCATATTTAATCTATAGTCTAGCATATTTAATCTATGTCTATGATCAATGTTTATAATTTTTAAAAAATGTTTAATTTCCACATTATAAACGAAGATAAAAACCTTAACAAGGTAAAAAAATCTGTCACATAAAATTTTGAAATAGTTAAATATACATTTTTAATTAAAAAATACAAATTCAGAAACCATCTCCCCGTGCAGGGCGCGGGTCAAACTCTAGTGTCTATGTAGTGTTTGCGCTTAGTAGCACATGTTTCAAAAGTTTGTCAACATTGCTGTAGATTTATTTATGGTTTCCAAATATCATCAAGAAATATTCGGCGTAATCTTTTCGATCTTCTCTTGTTTAGATATTATTCCCAATATCACAAAAAAGATTAAAACTAACTCTTCTATAAATATGATATAATCTCATTTGAGTAAACTAAAGGAAATAAAAAGATTTTCAATTTCCATTTTCAACGGGAGTTCTAACAAAGTTTATATAATGGTTACCATATTTCGGGATTGATGCATAGAACAATTATAGAATACACAATATACACGCACATGTTAACAAAAATGTTAAAAGAAAAGATAAAGGAAACAAATTAGGGTATATAAAGAGAGAAGAACTAGGAAGAGATCCATAATACAATCAAATGAAAAGAAGAAAGTGTGTATTTGTACGTTTCCAGAGCTGATTCATCTTGATAAGCTATGGTCGTCCATCACAACCCGTCTAGAATTTCTCTACTTGTTCCTTTTCACGAACCTGTTCCGAGTGGATGATCTCCTGATTGTGTGGCTCGGCTCTTGTGACAACTGTTGGCACAATTTCGTCCCACCAAAAACGTCCAAATGGTTTCTTGATGATTTCAGTTTATGCCATGTCGTTTGTCAATATAATAGAACATCATCGAAACCGTTTGGACTTTTGTGGTCGGAAGAAAATGTGCCGATCATTTTGATAAGAGGGGAATCACACAATCAGATGATCATTCATCCAAAACTAACGGTTAGTGAAATGCAAAGATTCAGGATTTCTCCTGATCACTTTAAAAGAAATCGGAAAACTTTGAAAAGGTAACAACGAAAAGTAAAACGTTTTCTCGGTGTTTCTTTTGTCTACACATTATTGGGAAAATGGTGTTATATAGATTGATCAACCGGTTAAAGTGTGCTTTTTCATTCGTAGATAGAAAATTTATGGATCTGCCACAAGTGTTATTAAATACTGGTCTCTTTAGCAATGTTGGTTCGATATATCATGGAAACACAATAAGGACCAAAAAGTTGGTTTAAATGTTTTAGGTGGCAAAAAAATTGTAAAACATTTGTGACTGAAGTAAAAGATTTTTGCTTAGTGGTGGTGTTCAAATGGTAGAGCAGTCGTCACAGGGGATGTGGTCTATGACTATATGATCTTCAAATGGTAAAGCTAAGATCGAATTTCTCTATCCACGCGCTACTATCAAAACAACCAAATAATAAGCCAAAGACAAATTTGTTTGTCATTTTCTATATCCATATGTCCATCGTCGCATTTAATGGAAACAATTTAGCTTAAATGATACAAAAACACATGTTTAAAATTAACTTCTTCATCTTCACTTCTCTTCAAAAATATATAAATTCTTGCTGTCTTCAAACACTTTGAGCTGGTTTCAGAAACGTAAACGTAAACCATATTCAAAGAATATCATTAGCTGGCTCGTTTATAAACTACACAAGTTTCTCAATGGAAACAGTAAGATTATCTCATCTTCTAAGCGACACACTTATAATTTGAAATACAAATAAAATAATTAATCATCAGTTCGTTCCACTAAAGTCAATCCCTTTTTATCCAATTCTTGTAACAAAAAAATTATCATTATTATCCAAAATAGAAAAATAAAGAAAAAAAAGCAACGAAGAGATGTGGAAGGTTCAGTAGTCGTCGCTTCTAATCAACTTCCACCTGTTCCACGAAAACAACCAATTCGATCAAACGTGAAAGCAAGATTTCCTTGTTCTTTGCCTCACACTCTAAGCATAATCGGACCCCAACCACAATAAACATTCTTAATTCCCTATCCTCCCTTCACTCATTTCGATATCAATCCGTTGCCTTCGTTTATTCCCAGGTTTGGTTTCTCTTTCTTGTTGGTTCCGGTTCTGGGTTCTTCACTCTTCATGTCATGACTCTACTTAGATACTTATCAACCAGAAGCTCTAACTTTATGACTAAGATTTGAGATTCTCTAAAGAACAAACCTTTCCTTCCGAAATTGAGCAAATTGAGTCTCTTTCTGTTTCAGACTCCTGAAGCCAATTTGATTCAATGTCGGAAGGTTTGATTTGGAACAAGCTCTAATCAAATCATCTAAAATAAAAACCGAAACTTTTTTAATCAGATCAAATTTTTGAGATTTTCTAATGCATTAATATATCTTAATGTTTGATCCCAAATTCTTGCATTTACAATAAGGACAAAAAGAAAAAAGCTTTAGTGATCCAATATAATATTCTCTTGTGTTTATCTTCCTTTTGATGAAGATAAGACTGATACGTATGAGCCAAAGAGTCTCTCTTTTGCTGTGTCAACCTCACCACCACTCTAGTTTCCTTTGTGTATAGCTGTTACCTTCTTTTGAGGCTTTTTTAAAATCTAACGGCTTCACCTGGATAAATAAATATTCAATCTTTCTATAAATGTGTCTTGTAGGGTCTTAGGTTCATTTGGATGTGGTGATCATGGATATGGAGTCTTGGAAGTTTCTCAGAAGCGTTTGCATACTTTCTTTCCTCCTTGGCTCTGTCTTTGTCTATCAAAGCCTTCATGTTGTTGTTACTGCTCAAGAAGACACAAAACCAACCGTGACTCTGCAAGTAAATGCTTCTAACGCAGCTGGACGACTCATCCCTGAAACGCTGTTTGGAATATTCTTCGAGGTTTGTTAAAACGTTACACAGTCTCCAACAAGATCTCTGATATATATATGCAATATAGTAAAATTATGGTTGAGTCATTTACAGGAGATTAACCATGCTGGTGCTGGTGGGTTATGGGCTGAACTTGTTAGCAACAGAGGTTAGATTTTCTAGCTTATTACTGGTGAAAGGCCATGAAAATCAATCATTGTTATTCTAAGAGAAAACTTTGGATTTCAGGGTTTGAAGCTGGTGGGCAGAACACACCGTCGAATATCTGGCCTTGGTCCATTGTTGGTGATCAGTCGTCCGTATATGTAGCTACGGACCGTTCGTCGTGCTTTGAACGCAATAAGATAGCATTGAGAATGGACGTGCTCTGTGATAGCAAAGACTGTCCATCAGGAGGTGTTGGAGTTTATAACCCTGGTTACTGGGGCATGGTGAGTTTCAATTCTGTTTCAGAGGTAATTTGTAAAGTTGTCTTTCTTTACATTTTTTTACCTTCTGTAGAACATTGAAGATGGAAAGAAGTACAAGGTGACGTTTTATGTGCGTTCGAGTGGTGATATCGATCTCTCTGTGTCGTTGACGAGCTCGAATGGATCGTTGACTCTTGCTTCTGAAAAGATCATGTTAGAGACACTTTGAGATTTCTGAATTACGTTTCTGTTTTTGTTTAGCAGTGTCAAAAAGGTTTTGACCTTGAGCGTTTTCATTTTGTTTGTTATGTAGAGCTTCTGCTTCTGAAGTTTCGAAATGGACTAAAAAGGAGATACTTTTGGAGGCAAAAGGAACAGATCATGGTGCAAGACTTCAGTTAACAACAACCAAGAAAGGGTCAATATGGATTGACCAAGTCTCGGCCATGCCTGTGGATACTTACAAGGTTCTTTTTCTTTCTTTCTGATTCCCTTACAGAGCATTGAGAGAAACGATTGCTGAGTGATAGAGAGAATATTGGAGGAAAAAAACAATCGCATATTCCGTTTTTTTGGTTGATTGCAGGGACATGGTTTCAGAAATGATCTTTTCCAAATGATGGCTGATATAAAGCCCCGTTTCATCCGGTTTCCAGGTAAAGATTTCAGGATAATTGCATTTGTGTTGCTTATTCTGTCCATAGACGCACCTCTTAGTTCATTATGACTTCGGATGTAATAAGCTAAAAATTGTTCTTCGCTCTGGAATATTTGTGGGGGTTAGGTGGTTGTTTTGTGGAGGGTGAATGGTTAAGTAATGCATTCCGCTGGAAAGAAACCGTAGGACCTTGGGAAGAGAGACCAGGCCACTTTGGTGATGTTTGGAAGTATTGGACCGATGATGGCCTTGGTCACTTTGAGTTCTTTCAAGTGAGACACCATTTCTTTCTATTTAGTCTATAAATCTCTGCAGTCTTGGATCCGTAATGATTCCTTGAGCTCGATAACTGATGTTAGATGAACATTCTTGCAGATGGCAGAAGACATTGGCGCAGCCCCGATATGGGTGTTTAACAATGGTATTCTTCACCCGGTTTTACATCTCTTTTGTATTCCAAATCAATGGACATTGTTATTTACCAAGTCTTCTTCACCTTTATGCAGGGATTAGTCACAATGACGAAGTTGAAACTGCTAGTATCATGCCCTTTGTTCAAGTCTGCCTGCTAAAGCCTCCTCTGTTTTCACCAGTGAACAAGCCCAAAAACCAAAACTTTTTTCCTTTTTTTCTTTTCAGGAAGCACTTGATGGTATTGAGTTTGCTAGGGGAGATGCTAATTCTACATGGGGATCGGTTCGAGCTGCAATGGGACGCCCTGAGCCTTTTGAACTGAAATATGTTGCTATTGGGAATGAGGATTGTGGAAAGACATACTACAGAGGTTTTTTTTTACATTTCTCTGTGATCTTATAAATTTTTATTGAGCATCTTTGGGATTCTAAATGAGATTATGACTGTTCCAGGAAACTATATAGTGTTCTATGATGCTATCAAGAAAGCCTATCCAGATATCAAAATCATCTCCAACTGTGATGGATCATCTCATCCGCTAGACCATCCTGCTGATTACTATGACTTTCATGTAAAAACACCCTTCTTGACAAGAAACTTTTTGAAATGTTCTCTTTGTGTGTTCTTCGTTTCTGAAAGAAAGTGTTTCCTTTTGTCACAGATTTACACTTCTGCTAGCGGTTTGTTTTCCATGTACAATCAGTTTGACCGCACATCACGAAAAGGTCCAAAGGTGCGTAAATAAGATCATACAAACCGTAATTCCCACAAAGACAAGATGCAGTTTTTTTGCTCATACTTGTGAACATTGGTTTGCAGGCTTTTGTCAGTGAATATGCTGTGACTGGCAAAGACGCTGGTACAGGAAGCCTGCTTGCTTCTCTCGCAGAAGCTGCATTTCTCATTGGTCTTGAAAAGAATAGGTTTCTTTTTCTTTCAACTTTCCTCTTCCCGGGATTATTGAGGAAAAACCTTCTGATGCTTTCTTTCTTTCTTTGTTGCAGTGACATTGTGGAAATGGCAAGCTATGCACCGCTCTTTGTCAACACAAACGATAGACGGTATCTATCTCTCACTTAGTTTCTGCTTCTTATAATGACTCAGGCAACATTGATCTGAAATTCTTGAACTGGTTTTTCAGGTGGAACCCTGATGCAATAGTCTTCAATTCCTCTCATCTATATGGAACTCCTAGCTATTGGGTCCAGCGGTTCTTTGCAGAGTCAAGTGGAGCAACTCTCCACACTTCAACACTCCAGGGCAGTTCTTCTTCTATCGTCGCATCCGCAGTTTCTTGGCAAAACAACGGCAAAGACTACATACGGATTAAGGTACACCTGAGGGAAACTTTAAGCCTGAGTCTTGATTCTGACCAAAACAAAAACAGAAACTGATTTTCTTTAATTCCTTGAAACTTGCATTTTGTTTGCAGGCTGTAAACTTTGGAGCTACGTCAGTGAATCTGAAAGTGTTGGTAACGGGACTGGATCCGAACGTGATGAGAGTTTCGGGATCAAAGAGGACAGTACTTACATCAAGCAATGTGATGGATGAAAATTCCTTCACGCAGCCGGAGAAGGTAAAATCAAGAAATGGACGAATCATCATCATCTGAGTTTTTGTCTCCCCTTGGTTCTTACTGCTTAAGAGACTAATATTTATCCATTTTGTTGCAGATTGTGCCACATGAAAGCTTGCTAGAGATGGCAGATGAGGATCTGAGTGTTGTTTTGTCGCCACATTCTTTCTCATCATTCGATTTGTTGAAGGAATCTGCCACCAAGATAAGAATGCCAGTTTCTCATTCTTCTTCTTCCTATCAGAAAACTCCCACTAAGTGAAGAGAGAAACGATGAATAGGAGTATACTCACTTCATTCATGTCAAAAAGTCTCTTGTGGTTAACGTATAGTAATAATAACTATGTAAAATACAGGGTATAACCATGTGTATTAATAATAATAATAATAATAATAATAATAGTTTGGTGAATAAAGTTCCAACTTTTGTAAAAACATGTGCAGATGCTGACTTTAGGTAACTTGATATGCAAGAATAAAGTAACAAGACAGTATAGATAAACCAAAAGAATAATAGTTTGGTGAATAAAGTTTTTAACTTTTTTAAAACATGAGCATATCTTGCCTTAGGTAACTTGATATGCAAGAATAAAGTAACAAGACAGTGTAGATAAACCAAAAGAAGACAAAAGAAACACTTTCACTTCACGCATCAGACAGTAGCAGAAAGAACCTTGATGACCCAAGACGTTGCAGGGACTGTAAGCACATGATAAAACCATTCAACTTTCCCCCAAATTTCACAACTGCTGCGCCTTTCAAGCGCAATCTCCGCAAACCAAATCTTCTTTTGCAAGAAACCGGAATAGTTAAAGCGAAACGCCTCCCCTTCCCACAAAAACCCCATCTTTCCACCGAAATCATTAAAGCGAAACGCCTCGCTTTCCCACAAACAAGTGAGCTTAGGAAGTCCTACCAAACCCGTCACATTTCTCCACATTGTCTCCTCAGTATCATACCATACCAACACTCTCTCCTCAAGACAACGAGAAGTAGCGTACAAAACGTTGCCTATCTCGCAAGAAGCTCCTGGATCAATAAACCAACCTACATGTCGGTCAACAGCTTCCCATTTACGTTCCTTGGGATCGTAAGCAACCACCTTACGGCCACCGTCCTTACTTCTACCCACCACGTGGAACTTATCTTTAAAAGATACGGTCTTGTCGATACCTACGACTTCTGTCTCGCCACAGGGCACATGATCCCAAACTTGAGCTTTTGTGTCCAACACCTGGTACGAGTTCTTCAAATCAGTATCACCAGCTCTGCAGCTACCTACTACATATATGTTTCGGTCAACGACGCTTGCAGAAAGTGAACGGAGCGCAACACGCAAGCTTGGAGCCTCGCTCAACGTGTGAGACCGACAATCCAGTACCGTGACCCTAGAGTAGGACCCCTCGGCCATGGAGTTCAGGTCGGATCCGCCAATGTTGTAGATATTAGAACCAACCGCCACAAGACCCGAACCCGAAAGTAGCGCCAGAGGAGCATCGGGAACTGGGACTGCAGCCAAAACATACCCACTTGACGACTTGGTGGTTTTATTAGGTTTCCGGCAGAGGGTGTACCAGTTAGGACTGTTGTCGCCTAAGACTTGTATGCACACGTAGAGACAACTCTCCGTGTGGCCCAAGAGTGATCGGGCCTTGTAAAGTTCCGGTGAAGCAATGAGAGATCGAAAGCTCTTGGAGACGAGGGAGAGAGTCGGATAGTACAACCTCGAGACGCGTGCGATGCAGCTCAACACCAAATCATGAGGCAGTGACGGATTGGGGGCCGATTCCGACGACGGCTCCTTCTTCTCTCTCCCTTTTCTCTCCGGGGACGACATTAGGTTAAAGTTTTCGTATGAAAGAAGGTTTTCGGTCTGAAATAAAGTGTTTCCTTTTGTCACAGATTTACATTTCTTCTAGCGGCTTGTTTTCCAAGCAATAACCGCACATCACGCAATGGTCCGAAGGTGCGTTAATAATAATGATAGTTATATAATATACGATCGTAAGCATATCTTGCCTTTAAATAACTTGATACGCAAGAATAAAGTAACAAGACATCATCAATGAATCAATAGTTTCTTCATCATAGCACTTGCTTAGCATAGAAGAAGAAGACTTAGGCATGAATGTGGGCCATTATACTTCCTTTGTTGGGCTTTTAAAGCCCATCATAATCCTAAATTTAGTCATCCATTAATTAACCACACGATTTGCAAGGATTTATATGTGGATTAGTGAAATCTCGATGAGATTTATGATGTTTATATTAAGGAAAAAGGTTACATGATCCTCTTACTATCGCTAAAATAAATAGAATGCAGTGAAAAAAACTGAGAGAAAATTCTAAATTACCAATTTAATTTTAGAAACATAAAATACATAATCTATTTGCTGTAATATATCATGAAACACCTGAAATTTTAAAATTTAGAGCTTTTCATCATTTTATTTTATTTAAATGATTATTGTTGTTATCTTCTGGATAACTACAATCCTCTGGATCACAAGCAAACACCACATCGTTAATTTGTTCTATATATGCACATCATCTCCCAAACTAGCGGCAAAAACGAAAACTCTTGTACGTAAAATGTTGACCAACATAAAACCTTACTATGTTACAGTGGGTGGAATCATTTCATCCAATTTTTCATCTATGAGTAGATGCTCTAAGTTTGAAATAATATATGTGGTTTTGTGTTTTGGATGTAGTTACTCCACTCACTTCCAATTCCTATACACCCATTCACCAGTATCATAGGAATTATTGGCACATACCTAACAAAAAATGTCATTATAAACTAAATAAACTAGTGTTAGAAAAAAAAATCGTGAATGTAGTGGGATAAGAATTACATGTCTGACTCTATATGTTTCCCATTTCATTTGGCTTGTTGTGTGAAAGCAATGCATCGTCTTTCTCAAGAAACAATAAAAATGATTCTTTAGAGAGCTTAGTTTCAAGATACTGTGGTTGCCCAACATATTTTCCACCCTCTAAACATAATCATGTACACCACAGTTTGAGCACAAGCTAGATAAACGAGGACAAGACTAATTTTTCTCAATTAGAAGTACTTACCTCATCGTTTGTGCCAAAGTGGCTAAGAGCTTTAAGGAGTGGTAAATTGTTGGTGCCTGAGGAACCCTGACACCGCCGAGAAGGTAAGTGTTTGTCATTTAGCTTCACCTACACATCATTTCCCATACTTGCGGCAAAACCATACACTCTTGTACACAGCACATCAAACATAATATCCTCCAATTTAGCCAGTCCAAAAACCTTTTTAGGTCTCGTTTGAATATGACTTGTGCAGAACTCGTTATTTTCTTTGTATCCCAAGGAAGTATACTGAGTTTTGACCTACTACTCCCCATATTGTTTTCAAACGTCTGAACAATCAACAGAAGAAAAAAACACAGATTTCTGAGAATGAGAAATTGAAAACGTAATATTGAGAAAGAGAGAGCAAACAGTTAATCACACCCTACCCTAATAATCTACTTAACTTAAGAAAAGCAAACAGTTATTCGTATATGCTTGTAATAAAGCTTCTTCTCGCCATCCCAAATTTGGATCGTGCATTCAGTGGAGAAGAGTTTTGTGAGCTTCGCACCATATCCACTTCTTCCAACAATGGTCTCCGTCACATTATTACCAAAGTTGCTGCTAGTATAAGGGCCGGCCCTGAAAAATCGAGGGCCAGAAAAATTAAGTAGAGTTTTGATGAATTTTGGGGCCAAAAATCTATTTTTCATTATATTAGGACCAAAATCAATACATGTTTCTTTTTTGAGAAAATGTGGGGGCCAAGCCAAATGGCTCACTTGGTTTGCCCCCGGGCCGGGCTCTGTATTCAGTTGACCAAAGAGCATTTCAGGCACATAAACGCCTTCCTCTGTATGTTGCACGACGGGATTCCAGATCCTTTGTTATGGACTCTGCCGAGCTTAACACTGCCCGAGGAACACCTTTTGATTTGACAGGGGGCCAAAGAAATGTCTTCACCAGCTGTCAACAGTCTTTCTTCGGAATTCTACTGAACGGGTCGATCCTCTGCTCCCCTTTGTTTTAGCAACTTATCCTAAGGTCTCCTATCCTTTCAGTCGAGTGACAAAAGTACCTCGCCAAGAGTTATCCGGCGACGACAGAGGAACCAACCCGCTTGCTGTGGCGGGCGGCTTTTTTTGTTTCACAATAAGACATGGACGATTATCCCTAACCTCGGTAGCTTACCAGTTTACGTCCATCCCTGGTCGGGTACAGTTTCCTTATTCGCGCAAGTGTGTCCACACCCCCCGAGACAGACTTGACGAGGAATCCATTCTCGCGAACAAACATCTTATGAGTTTGTTTTGAACATCAATCCTCACACAGAAAGATGAGTCAGTGACTTGTGTAGAATTCGTTCTTTCTTTGTTAGCCACTCACTCATCTTTTGGTCCCATACATTCAAGAGTAACAAAAAAAAAGAAGCAGAAACACACTTTTCATAAGTCACATGTTAGTAACAAACTAACAATACATATATGATTCGTCTGTCTTGATAGTTATTCAGACTAAAATTGGGACGATCATTTCCAAATTTTCCAGTTTGATGTTGGTCAGTATTATTAATCTAGTTAATAATTATATTTGTAAAAGAGAAAGATAACTACAATTAGCATCTCTCTCGTTTGTATAAAACCGTCTCACTCTTCTACCATTTCAAATCTCCCAACTTCCTCTCTCTCTCTCTAGTCAAATTAGGGCTTTAATCCAAAAGAAAGAGTATTTCGGGAAAGGATTTCGAATTCTGTAGTCAATCTTCCAGATCATGTCGGCATCAACGGTGTCTCTCACCGCTACTACGACGACGACGGCGATTAGGCGGACCCCGGTTCTCTCCGGTGAGAAGAAATCTAACTTTGATCTCCCTCCCAGCGAATCGCAGTCGCATGCGAATGCGGCCGTCGGAGAGTCCGCCGGTACGAACCGGGATCCGATTCGCGGCGAGACCGCCGCCGAGAGATCCAACAGCTACGACGTGGGCCCGGTGACAAGGAAATCGGGATCCGCCGCGACGGGGACTAACACGACCACCACGCAGCGTCGAACCCGGAAAACCCAGGGGGCTAAAGCAGAGAAGACGCAGTGGAAGAGAGTGGCTAGGGTATTCGCGAAGCAGTTCGTGGCTCTTCTGTTACTCGCTGGGTTGATTCAATTGATTAGGAAAGTGACTATGAAGGATACGCCTCTATCTCCCTCGACTTTCCCGATCGAGACGGAGATGGTTTTGTCAGAATTGGAGAGCCGGATCTCAGCAGTCGATGGTTTAGTAAAGACGACGACGAAGATGATGCAAGTCCAAGTCGAATTTCTCGATAAGAAGATGGAGAGCGAAACAAGAGCGCTGAGGAAGACAATCGATTCCACGTCTTCTCAATTGCAATCCGAATTGAAGAAGATAGAGTCTAGGACAGAGACGCTTCAGGCTTCCGTAGACGAAGTAAATTCGAAACCTTTGGTGTCTAGAGAGGAATTAGAGAGGGTTTACGAGGAGTTGAAGAAGGGTAAGGTCGATGTTTCTGGTGTTAGCGACGTTAACATTGATGAATTGAGAGCTTATGCTCGTGACATAGTTGAGAAAGAGATCGGAAAGCATGCTGCAGATGGCCTTGGCAGAGTAGACTATGCATTAGCGTCTGGTGGTGCTTTTGTAGTGGATCATTCGGATCCTTATCTTGTTGGAAAGGGTGGTAATTGGTTCGGGACTAGCTTGCGACGGGTTCATAGCACAGCGGCTAAGATGCTGACTCCGAGTTTTGGAGAGCCTGGACAGTGTTTTCCTCTGAAAGGAACCGATGGCTATGTTCAAGTCAGGCTAAGAACGCCTATAATACCAGAGGCTGTAACGTTGGAACATGTCTCTAAGGTAATACTAACATCTTATGCTATATTTTCACAGAATGGTCGATTTGTTAATTGAAGTATTAGCTGTTGAAAAGGGCAGTCTCTGTGAAATGTTTGGATCTTTAGATGCCATGTTGAATTGCTGGTGATGCTGTGGTTTTGTATAGAGGGTAAGAATCTAGTTTTGTACATTTGATCTTTGTAGCTCGATGTTCAATTTAGGTCACTAGCTGTGAAAGTATGCATTGAGAGGATTTTAGATTTTGATATCTGTTTCCATCATGAAGGAGTATGTATCTGTCACATAGTCTTCTCTGCAAACTTCTATAGCTTTGGCAATTCTTGAGTCTATGTTTCTTCCATTTTGATTTGGGATATCGTCAAATTGTTACTGGAATAGTCCTTTTAGTGTTACTGAGTTTAAGTTGATGGTCATTTCTTCTTTTGTGCCACTAAATGGTGATACTGATCTTACGGTTATGCACCATGAAATGGATCAGGCTGTGGCGTATGACAGATCGAGCGCCCCAAAGGATTGCCGTGTATCAGGATGGCTAGAAGATAAAGATACGGAGAGTGAGACAAGGCTTCTTCTTACAGAGTTCAGTTACGACTTGGATAGGTCCAACGCACAGACGTTTGACGTTGCAGACTCTGCTCATTCGGGACTTGTCAACACTGTGAGGCTAGACTTCGCATCCAACCATGGAAGCTCTTCACACACTTGCATATACCGCTTCAGGGTTCATGGCCGTGAACTAGACTCTGTCTCTGTTGTTCATGCTTGATCTGAAGTCCACGTGAAACTCCTCTTCCCTTTGTAACATCACTTCATAGATCTCTTCTTCTTCTTTTTTTTTTTTTTTTTTTACTGTTTTTATGGCGTAGAAAAGCTTCAGAATTCTTCACGTTTTTTTTTACCTCTTTTAGGATTTTTTTTTTTTTTTTTTTTTTTTCTTATTGTGTGGAATAGGGAACACATGGATCTTTTGATATTTTCCAGATGCTCTATGGCCTATAGGCTTAGAAACTGTATTCACTGAACTGGAACTAAGAAGAGTATATAGTTTGGTATTTGATTTTATTGCAGATTTCTCTTATCGTTTCTACTTTCTACATAGTAATTCCAATATATCATGTGTGATGGCATCAACAAGTTGTTTTTCTATTGGTCCCTACAAATTCTAATAGAGATCACATATTTATTTGTTGAAACAAATACCTGATTTTGGATTATTCATGGTTACGTCGGTACTATTACATGTCACGTATCAAAATTGGACCATAACTTTCAAGTGTGAATTGCGTTATCGCAAAGTGACGACTTCTTTTGGGCTTCACCGTCTTGCCTTGTCTAAAGACTCCCCAACACATCACATGCATACTTACGCGTCAAATCATATGAAATTGAAACTCTGCTAGCCAAACCAAGTCAACCATTCTAAATGTAGTATTAAAATGCTAATTATTCTCGAGATGTATAAACATGTCTGGTTTTCATTTGTTTAATTACAGCGTCGTTTTGCTTGCCATATCAAACTAAACAAATTTGAAACACTCAATAACCCCAATTTCACGGTTAAATCACATGAAAAACTCTTCTAATCAAGTCAACCCAAGCTTGGTCATCGTGACGGTGACCAGCTGCAAAAACAATTGCATCTCACCGAAAACACTTTGTTTGACCAAAACGAAGCTTATACTTTGTATAGTACTAATTATTGGACCAACATGCATTACATAATTCAGTTTCCCTCGAACCCATGCATCCATTAATTAGCACAAAGCTCCTCGTATCCTCTCTATATATAGCAGTTCCTCAAACAAACAAATTCCACATCATAAATACATTAAAAAAAAAAAAAGATAAAGATGCAAACATTAGGCTTCTCTTCTTCTCTCTTGTTCCTCTCAGTCATTTTACTCTCCTCATCTTTGCTAATCTCATCACAACATCCTCCCTCACAGCCACCTTCTTTGCCTCCGTCACAGCCATCAACTGAGCCTCCCTCACAGCCACCTTCTTTGCCTCCGTCACAGTCATCTTCTTTGCCTCCCCCACAGTCACAGCCACCTTCTTTGCCTCCGTCACAGCCACCGTCACAGTCACCTTCTTTGCCTCCGTCACAGCCACAGTCAACTACAGTCGCTTGCAAGTCGACTCCATACCCTAAGCTCTGTCGTACCATCCTCTCCGCATTCAAATCCTCGCCGTCCGATCCCTACGGTTACGGAAAATTCACCACCAAGCAATGTCTCAAGCAAGCAAAACGTCTCTCCAAAGTCATCAACGGATACGCGAAGCGCGTAAGAAGCAAACCCGGCTCAGCGACGCCCGAGGAGGTCGGTGCGTTGGAGGACTGCGGCGAGTTGGCAGAACTGACCGTGAGCTACCTCGAAACGGTCACGGATGAGCTAAAAACGGTGGATATGATGACGTCAGCGGTCGTGGAGCATGTGAACAGTCTTCTCAGTGGTGTGGTCACCAATCAGCAGACGTGTCTTGACGGACTCAAGGAGGCGAAGAGTGGATTCGCTGCTGCGATTGGCTCGCCGATGGGGAATCTCACGGGTCTTTACAGTGTGTCGTTGGGGCTTGTGAGCCACTCGCTTAACCGTAACTTGAAGAGGTTTAAAGCCTCTAAAGGGAAGATCCTTGGTGGTCAAAACTCGACCTATCGCGAGCCCCTTGAGACTTTGATTAAGGTAACTAAATTTTGTTATTTGCTTCTTCTAATAATTATGTTTTCTTCGTTACTTATTAATTTGGTAATCTAAACACGGTGAAAATAAAATTGATCCATATCGTTACAAACATTACATTAAAAGTTAGGGAAAATACTAGAAATCAAGTACAGTATCAAATGTAGGTTGATATTTTCTTATAATCTGGCACACTGCACACATTTTAGCTTTAATATTTCTTTTAGATATCTTCGACACATCCTTAACTTTTTCGAAAACGTAAAATAGTTATATATATTAAATCATGGAATAATAATAAATATATGGATATCCATGTCTTCTTGTTTAAGAGACGTGCCAAGTTTATGTATGGTTCGAATTTACTTGATTAGGACGCACGGATTGATTGATTATTCATAGCAAAAATTTATGAATCGAGTCATTAAATGGATGTGCTCTTGTTGTATGTGAGCCAGACGCGTAAGAGAGTAAATGTCACATGGCCTATACGCACATTATGATTTTATCACAAACTAATAAAATGGGTCACATCGTTGACTTGTCTTATAAAAAAAAACTGGTCCCCCCTCGAATTCATATGTGTTCACGTGGATTGCCACCATCATTTGATGTGTGACTACAGTGAGCATTAATTTTTACAAACACGAATTTGATAAAGCTAATCATGTATTGCTAATACAAGAACAAATGCTTAAAATAGCAAAACCGTCATGTTTTCTTATATATGCAAATATTAATTTAATTTCTGATTAGGAATCTTTATATTATAAAGAAAACTATATCTTATACTGTCCTGTTTTATTTGGTATATATAGGTTTTACGTAACACATGCGACAAGGATAAAGATTGCCGGAAAGCAAGCCGGAACTTGGGGGAGTTAGGGGAGACGAGCGGCGGTTCCATCCTCGTCAGACAAGCGGTTATTGTCGGTCCTTACAAAAGCGACAACTTCACAACCATCACCGAGGCAATTGCAGCCGCACCTAATAACACTAGACCCGAGAATGGTTACTTTGTCATCTACGCAAGAGAAGGTGTCTACGAAGAATACATTGTTATTCCAATCAACAAAAAGAACTTAATGCTTATCGGAGATGGAATCAATAAGACGATTATTACCGGCAACCATAATGTTGTTGATGGTTGGACCACGTATAATAGCTCGAGCTTCGGTTGGTCACATCAACCATAATTTCTTTTTAATAGAAATTTCTTAATTTATGATATATTAACTATATGAAGTTTTTATTTGAACTCTTTTAGCGGTGGTTGGAGAGAGATTCATGGCGGTTGATGTGACATTCAGAAACACAGCCGGGCCTGAGAAACATCAGGCTGTGGCTTTGAGGAACAATGCGGAAGGATCCACCTTTTATCGGTGTAGCTTTGAAGGCTATCAAGATACTCTCTACGTTCATTCTCTCAGACAATTCTATCGCGAATGTGATATATATGGTAATACAAGTTTTGTTTCCGCTTTGCTTTCTATATACTTATCTTGGAATATAAATTTTAAATACTCAATATGAAAATCTCATAACTTGGTATCTAACTTTTAGTGGTTAGGACTCACCAAAAATGTCAAAACTCTTATGGAATGATCATTTGAACCTTGTTTAAGTATAACATTTTTTTTGTTATAGGTACGGTTGATTTTATATTTGGAAACGCGGCAGCAATATTTCAAAACTGTAACATATATCCTCGGAAACCAATGCCAAAGCAGAAGAATGCAATAACAGCCCATGGAAGAACCGATCCAAATCAAAATACCGGAATCTCTATCATCAACTGTACCATCACAGCCGCGCCAGATCTTGCAGCCGAGCCTAACACAACCATGACGTTCCTAGGGCGGCCATGGAAGATATACTCAAGGACGGTTTTCATGCAGTCGTATATTAGTGATATTGTCCAACCGGTCGGATGGCTCGAATGGAACGGTACAACTGGATTAGACACGATCTACTACGGTGAGTACAGTAACTATGGACCGGGTGCTAATACAGACCGGAGAGTGCAGTGGTTAGGGTACAATTTATTGAACATGGCACAAGCCATGAACTTCACGGTTTACAACTTTACCATGGGAGATACATGGTTGCCTCAAACCGATATTCCTTTCTATGGTGGTTTGATTCGCAAAGAATGAGAAGAACATCATATTTCATAGAAAAGTATTTAATGTACCTCGTTATATAAAAATATATTTTCATTTGTTCTAGCTTTGGGTCTAGATTTTGGTGTTTGGTTATATATACACAATTAAATAAAATGATATTTGTCTTTTATTTTTGTTTTGTAAGTTGTAACAGAAAATAATATGTGTGTTGACACTCTTGAATATATAGTTTTCTACGCACAAAAAAATAAATAACATAGTGCGAGGCACTACTAAGATGGATATATTCTTTTAGTGAGACGAGTCAATGGGAGTGGTCATCATGTTTCAGATTGGATTACTCTATGATTTTGTAGAAAACCGAATTATGTTTAGTGATTACCATGTACAATAGTCAACATAGCTAAAATATAAAGATAAAAGAAATTACATATATATTCTCGCTATATTAAGGTTTTCTTTTATAGTTTTTAAAATAATGTAATTTGAATTTAATCAATCAGACAAAATGATATACAATAGTGCAAGAATACAAGCACTGAGTTATACTTTTTAAAACTTTTCAAAGAATACTTATATCCATAATGAATAAAAGAGATTTAAATTGAAAATCTCTTGATCTGTAAAACAAACTCAGAGACCGGACCTGTAGGGAACTTTCGTCGCCGGAAGCCATCTGTCCCCGTCGATAAACGGTTTAACCGTAAACCTATTCGCTTCCTTTGTACTAAGATACCTCAATCCCTTCCACTTAACCCTATTCTTCGTCGAAGCTCCTGCTCCGGTATTCTTATACTCACCGTAAAATATCGTCTTCGGTGCAGAATCTCCAGTCCACGGCAACCAACCTTTCCGGTCAATAAAACCATGCATAAACGACTCCATTATCACCGTCGTCGAGTAGTTTTTCCACGGTCGACCTAAAAACGTTTGAACACCGGTTAGGTCACCATGCGGAGAGATATCGCAACGGTGTATCGAAATTCCAGTGTTCTGGTTCGGATCAGTCCGTCCTTGAGCTGTGATCGTGTTCTTCTGTCCTTTCATTGGCCGGCGAGGGAGAATCCGGCAGTTTTGTAGAACGGAAGCCGAGTTACCGAAGATGAAATCGACTGTTCCGATGATGGTGCAGTCACGATAGAACTGTCGTTGCGCGTGTACGTAAAGCGTGTCTTGGTATGCGTTCATCGTGCAACGGTAAAAGGCTGCCAGATCAGCACTTACCATTAGAGCCACGGCTTGGTGTTTCGATGGACCGGCTGTGTTGATGAAGCCCATGTCTCTTGCCATAAACCCTTTTCCAAAAACAGCTGCACAAAACAGAGCTAGGTCAAAAAAACAGTTTTCTTCGGTCACAAGCAAAACAATGAAGTATCTAAAAACATAGAGAGATTTAATTTACCGAATGTGGCGGTCTTAAAAGTGGGAGTTCCATCGATGACATTGAGTCTACCGGAGACAATAGTCTTACTCTCACCATCTCCAACCACAACAACGTTCCACATTTTCTTCTCAACCTTCACATTCTCAAAATAAACTCCTTTCTTGACATATATAATAGTTCTCTTGCTACTCTTCTCAGGCACATCTTGTAAAGCCCTCCTTATCGTTTTATACTTCCCCGAACCATCCTTCGCCACCACAATATTCGCCACTTTCCTCAAATCCGTGCTCTGGAGCAATCTCCTTCCCACGTGGAAGTCCACGGACACGTCAGCACTAAGAAGACGCCTCCGGAGTTTGAAAGAGTCAGCGATCTTTCCGAGCCACGTGATGATCGCTAAAGCGTTACTCGTCATCTCCGTTGCGTTCTTGAGATGACTTTCTCCGTACGTCTTCAGCTCTGGATCGTTATATTCAGCCAGTGACTCCACGCACGTCTCTTGGTACGTCTCGGCTGAGCTCAGCCATGTACGGAGGTCTTCGACTAGCTCAGGCATCGTGACGTGGCCGTGTGATGATGACGTCAACGTGTCGTTGAGGTTGTCTATCGTTAGTTCGAGAAGCTCGACGCATGCACTCATCCTCTTGCTGTCGCCGGAGGAAGAGAATGCGTCAAGAGCTTTTGAGGCTTCGGCGATTGTGAGTTTGACTGCGTATATGAAGAGCTGTTCGGGATTTAGACTGCTTGCGTTTGGAGCTGACCCGACGGTTTCGAAACATTTGTCTTTGTGTAATGTAACGTCGCAAACGGCTTTAACGGAAACGGAGATTGGTGAGTCTTCGTTAACGTTAGTCTCCACCGTCGTTGACTTCTTGTGAGCCATGGTTCCGAACACTGCTCCGATCACGATCCCAGCGAGGACGACTAGAGATATGGCGATGATTGTGATTCTCTTCCTCGACTTACGACGAGCTTCGAGGATTACGTGCTCACGCTCGTCGACTTTGCCGTAGGAGGACGACATTTTCGTAGTTTCCTCCTTTCCTTTTTTTCTTTAGTTATGTTTGGTTTGGAGACAGTGAGTGGAGAGACTCGATATAAATACATGAAGAAAAAATATAATATTTTGAATAAAATGAACAACTTACGTGCGAGGCACAAAGGGGGATTACAAGGATTTGTATTTTAGTTTTCGTTAAGGATGTATGTATTGAATTTGTAAGTGCTTCTCATGTTTTATTCTTTTATATTATGTCATAGAACTATATAATCATGTCGGTGGAACACATTTGTAAATTCTTTCGAATATCGCAACTACTCTTGATTAAATTTGGATTGGCTTTCCTATAATATTTGAATCTAGCTCGGGTTTACGTTAGCCATCTTGATTAAATTAGTCTTTAGTTTACAAAATTTGGAAAAATGTTAAGGTCTGTGTTTTGTTTTCTATTTCGGGTTCAGTTCATTCCTGATTACTCTTATGTATCAACAACAAATGTTACTATTTTTTCTCATTCGTCCGGCCTGTTTTTTTATGTCGTGAGTCACACCGTCTAATTTGGAATTATTGTAGGTCCATATCATAGAAATCTACCGAAAGCATACAATTCGACGGTTACAATTACAATACTATATAACCTATTGGGATTATATTGTCAACTTTGAATAATTAAATATGATTTATATGAAGCTGTCAACAAATATATTTTGAAATAACAAATTTGAAAGTTGATTGGTATACAAATTTACTTGCTTCATTTGTTTTCCTTTGACATTGTTAGCTGATCTATGTTTTCTCCAGCTATGTAATTACACCTTCTTTTGAGCAATGACATATGCTATGATGTGCATGTTTCAACTACTGTTTCCATCTTTACTCTAAGCCAAACTAAGCAAAATCAAATATTTATTCAATTTTATTTAAGTTTCCAGGTATATTTAATAGGCCGAACAAAGCCTCTTTCATGATGTTTAGGTATTTGGGGTGTGAATGATTGCACTGTCTGAAACGAAAGAAAAATCCGCAAAAAGAAAACGATAAAAATGGACCAACAAATGAATTTTTATTCACGTGTCACTGACACTGTTCATTTCAAAAATGGTGCGACCAATCCATAAATGATTGATTTCGATATAGTTCAATCAGAATAACCGAAATCGTTTTCAATATACCTATTTAAATCCACATGACAATATATACAACTTTCTAAAACAATACATAAATCGTTTTCAACTTTCGAACTAAATCGTTTTCAACCTCAACCATTTGCAGATCTTTCTGCTGGAACTCACAACCTACAGAAAAAAAAACGAAATTACATTGGCAAAAGATTGCAAATGGTTGAGGTTGACTTGATAGCGTCATAAATTATAGTGGAATAGCTAATTACGTTGGTTTTAGCAGAAAGTGCACCATCTACAAATATATTGTGATTTTTGAAAAATTAGTGAAACTCATATAATTGATGGAAAATGATTCTAAACCAAAGAAAAACTACACTAATTCAGAAAAAGAATCATAATTCTAAAATTAATATCCTAAATCCAAAACCCAAAATAAAAAGAGAAACTAGTTTAAACCACATATTTTTTCTTTGATTTAACTAAGGGTTAATTTAGGTAATATTATAGAAAATATTGATTGTATTCTAATCAAGGCAACCATATAGTTATCAACTTAATTATGATACCCAATATGATTATTGAATGTAATTTCCCTTAATTGATCGTCATATTAGAATAAATATTGTGAACAGTCTTATACATATGATTGCGATATAAGACACATACAACTTTCTAAAATATAAAGACTCAAATTTATCGTTTGCACAACTCAAATTACACATACATATGACCATTCTTAGTGTAATCATAACACTTTAATTCTCTTTGACTCTTTCCACTCATGGAAAAAAAAACAAGTAAAAATGCGATGAACATTACATAAATCATCACTGGCACTGATATTGCTACTTAAATTTGTCCAAAAAAAGAAAATTAGCATTAATCAGAATTATATACAGCTAATCAAAGCTTTTGAACGAAGGGAAACTAAAGGCTTAACAAACACTACCAAAGGATAGGATTAGACGTGTGACCAAACAAGCCCTATTTGGTCATCTCCCTCTTCTGACGGGTCACTCCCACATCTCGCACTTCCTCTGCCCGACTCTTCGTCTCCTTCCAACCGATTATCCGAGCATCCTTTGATCTCATTCTGAGAAAATCTTCGCGAAAATGTCTTGGCCTACGGATTCCGAGGTTAATCTCCATTTTGGTTTTCATTTTTGCGTCAATCTTCATGTAATCGTCCATGAATTTTGGTTAACTCGGCGCCAATTTTCCTCCGTTGTGTTGATTTTAGTAAGAAATGAGCGAAAGAGATGCGTTACCTGGGTACATTATCCCGGAGAGGAATGTAAATCAGACATGCGATCGAACAATTCCGTTCGTTTGTGTGTGTGTAGCTGAATGTATATACTCTGTGGATCGCCGCGAGGATTTTGTTTCGTGCTCCAGGATAGATTATGATTTTGCCTCTGTGTTAATCTTACGAGATCGTTTCGTTTTCCAGTTAACGGCCATGAAGGAGGCAGTGGCGACGATGAGTGGAAGAGATGCAGGGGAAGTTCGTGTGGTGGTCGCACCTTATCGTATATGTCCTTTAGGAGCTCACATTGATCACCAGGTCGGTTTGTGATTGTAGCGATGTGATCACGGTTTTGAATCAAGCTATAGAAATCTCTGATTCATACCATTTCTTTTGTATACAGGGTGGAGCTGTATCAGCTATGACGATTAATAAAGGGATCCTTCTTGGCTTTGTTCCATCCGGCGGTACTCAGGTTTGTGAGACTTGTTGTTATATATAGTGATTCTTATGTGATTTGTTATTAGTCGACGCTTCTTGTTAGTGAAATTTTTAATCGAATTCAAATGTTCGTCTTGCTTGAATCCTTGCACAAATAAGCAACATTCTGATTTTCTGATGAATGTCACATTGATGGTATAATGTAATTCCTGTAGATAGCATTAATGATTCTAGGCTTGGTTCAATTTGAGAGTAGATGGAGAATGTTATAACGTAGAATACAGCTCTTTTTGTCTCTCACCTGAGATAGCATTAAAAACTGTAAATTATCTAAATGAATGAGGTTTATAGACAGGCGACTAAGATATTATTCGGTGTTGGGAAAGTTCCTTGTGTGTGTGTGTGTGTGTTTGATTTGAGCCTTGAAGTCTTTCTACCATTCATTCTCTTTCTAATTTTATATGCAGGTCCAGTTGCGTTCTGCACAATTTGAAGGAGAAGTATGTTTCAGGTGTGCATGTCTTTCAGGATCTCTCATCTTTTCATTATTGTTTTAAAACTGATATTCCAGCCTCAGACATGGATATCCTAGTTACTAAGCCACATATTGGGTGAAGTATGCATCTTAGATATTGTGGAAGCCTGTTTCGATCTTGCTAGTATTCCATTATATCTCATTCGACTATGTTGATTAACCCATCTTTCACTTAAGTCTTAGACATCTATTAGATTCACCCTTTTCGTTTTGCGTAGCTTCCTCTCGAATTCATTGGAAACTGAGGACCCTTCAACAATCTAAGAGAAATAGAAGTATCAGTGTTGGAAAAGCTTGCATGTTTTTTCTAGTTTCTGTTTCATGCATTCTTAGTGTTTTAGCTTTCCTACATGTGTTTCTTTCTTTTTCTTATTCTTCAGTGCATTTTAATTTTGTACCTGTTGTGGAATGAAGATCCATGCACATAGTGCTTATAGCTTCTTTGGGTTCCGAAATTTTAGTGTAGATGAAATCCAGCACCCAATAGGCGAAGCAAACAAGAATGGTGCATCGAAGGAAAAAAGCATCTGGGGGACTTATGCCAGAGGAGCGCTCTATGCGTTACAGATCAGCAAAAAGAATCTCAAACAGGTATTGGGTTTAAATTTGGCTTTCTATAGATAGAGTTGGTCATTAAAGGGAAATGAGATTTAGCCTGCACATTTGCAATGTGATCTTCTGGGTTCCACAGTCACCCCTTTTTGGGCTGACATTCCTGATCTTTTAGGCCTTGCTTTCCCTATAATAGTTGACATAACTGTATCTAAAGTAATACGTGTTTGAATATGTTTCTAAGTAATTGTTTTGATCTTTGAAGGGCATCGTTGGTTGCATCAGTGGCTCGGATGGATTAGATAGCTCCGGCCTTAGCTCATCAGCTGCTGTAAGTAACCTAAACCCGCAAGCTTTCCTACATCAGTTTTTTCTTCGGAAAAGACATTTTTTTTCCTGTTCTTTACTAGTACCTAAACATTTTTAGCACATGGGGGGAATGTTATTTACTGCTCATTTCTGGAAAATGAAACTTGTAAACTATTTTATGATCGCCAGAAATGTGGCAGGTTGGTGTGGCATACCTGCTAGCTTTGGAGAATGCAAACGAATTGACTGTATCCCCAACAGAAAATATTGAATATGACAGGTACATAAAGTTTTGCCTTTGCCATGAGCAGTTGTCTCTCTGTAAAACAATTAGTACTGCACACCCGTCAATATACATGTGTTTTATTGCATATTGTTGCATCCTGCAGACTTATTGAGAATGGATATCTGGGTCTGAGGAATGGAATTTTGGATCAATCAGCTATTTTGCTTTCAAGTTATGGGTGTCTAACATACATGGACTGCAAGGTAAAAATTCCTTGGTTTGTTGATGATATAGTAGTATGCAAATACGCAAGAAGCTTGATCATGTGGTAAAAACCAAAACTGTTCTACAGGGGCAGTTTAAGTTCACATGGGATGCCTGAAATAGATTTTGATTGTGAAACTGAAAATCTGACTCGCCGTCAGATATCTACACAGTTCTCAATGCTTTCCTGAGAATTGGTTCACACGAGGAAAAAACATTTGGTCTTTTCATAGTTGCCTCAATTTTTATGTATTACAATTACAATGCTGAGTTCATACTAGAGAGAATAGGAAATGATTAGGATCAAAAGGCTCGTAGAGAAATCCTTCCTAAAACATCACTGTTGCTTACCATCTTTATTTTGTTCCAGAAACTGCCATCTAAGTATAACTGTTTGAAAATGCAGACCATGGACCACAGGCTCATACAGTCTCCTGACCTGAAGAAACCGTTTAGGATATTGTTGGCATTCTCTGGCTTGAGGCAGGCATTGACCACCAACCCAGGATATAATTTGCGAGTTGCTGAGTGTCGAGAGGCTGCTAAAGTTCTTTTGGCGTATGTGGAAATCTACCTAATTCGCACTTCCTCGTTATATTTAAATTTCAGTGAAAATGCTGCGAAACAATTGCTCTATTGCTTGTGATACTCATACCAAAACCTTCTCGTAATTTTCTTTTTTCAGTGCATCTGGGAACGAGGAACTGGAGGAACCAACCTTGTGCAATGGTAAAAAAGCATTACTTTGAGTTTGGACTTCACGCGCCTCTAATTTATTGCATACTAACTGGTTTTTCTTTGTTGGCCTTGTCTGACTCAATAGTTGACCATGCAATCTATGAAGCTCACAAGGTAAGAAAACAATATTCTTAAGCTTGTCGTAAATCAGGCTCCACCTATATCAAGGTCTATAAACTGATGTAATTTATAATCTTGCTTGCTCGTGCAGCATGAGTTGAAGCCGGTATTAGCTAAAAGAGCAGAGCATTATTTCTCAGAAAACATGCGGGTTACCAAAGGCAAATGTTCTTGAACTCTTGTAGAAGTCTCTTTATATGCATAAATGATTCATTAAGCTCTTCATGATTCTTTACGGACTTGTATGAATGTTTGTGGTTCTTAAACTCTCAGGAGTGGAAGCCTGGGCTTCAGGCAATCTTGAAGAATTTGGAAAGCTAATTTCAGCGTCCGGGTTAAGTTCTATTGAGAATTACGAATGCGGTACACCCTCTTCTCTCCTTTCTTCTCCCAATGCAAGTAAATACAGGCCACAAGTTTGCTTTCACAGACATCACTCTCTCTTAGACTCACCATTTGTTTTTTTTGGTGAAGGTGCGGAGCCACTGATTCAGCTATACGAGATTCTTCTGAAGGCACCTGGTGTATACGGTGCTCGGTTCAGTGGTGCAGGTTTCAGGGGATGCTGTCTCGCCTTTGTAGATGCAGAAAAAGCTGAAGCAGCTGCTTCGTATGTGAAGGATGAATACGAAAAGGCACAACCCGAGTTTGCCAAGAAACTGAATGGAGGGAAACCTGTTCTGATCTGCGAAGCTGGTGATGCTGCTCGTGTTCTCTGATCTGCTCGTGTTCATCGATATGCCACTTGAATACTGATTTTTGCGACGGCGCTCTCACGCTTATTGATTTGATTCTTGTTTCTTGTTTCTTGTTTGTTCATCTCTTTTTGATTCTCTCTGAGTGAGTTTCGTCGATAGACTTTTACACGATTGTAGAAATGGGAGCAATGCTTTTTATGCATTGTTTTGTTACTAAAGACTTGGACCAATATACATCAATGTAAATCATCTCTTTTACGAACTGATATAGATTTGAGATAACAAATACGATTAATTGAGGATACTCTACGTGTTTTCCCGACATTTTTTGGTGTGATTTTTTTTTGTTTCAACAAATTGGTTACTTACAAATTTGAAATCCAAAATGAAAAGACAGTTGAGTATAATACTCCAAAAACATAAGAGTATACAGTATTACAAATTGAGACAAAATACAAATTCAGTGAAAAAAAAAAGAAATTGAGATAGATTTGTTTTTTTTTGTTTGGACACAAAGCCCCCCGCCAATGTCTTGAACTTGGCGCCTGGGAAATCTTCCGGTGTAGCTAGGGCTTTAGCTTTACTCAATTTTCACTTGTAAAATCCCTAAAACCCTTTTGGGCATGTCTCCATTTTGCCATTCCACTGCATCAATCCCTAACCCCAACTCTCTCATGTCTCTCTCCTCCACTCTCCGTCTCTCCTCCTCCCTCCTCCGTCGCTCCCTCTCCCAATCTCGCCACTTTCCGTTTCCCCTTTCTGACCCACTATGCCGTCTCCGCCACAGCGTTGCCTCCGACGCTCGCTTCTTCTCCTCCCGTACTTCCCGGTCCTCCAAGGCTGTCCATGCTTCCAAGCGCGCCGACGAGCAGCTCAATGAGGGCTCCGGAGCCAACAATGGCGGTTTAGCTGTTTCTGGGGACGGTAACAACGGCGATTCTCGTATTGTGCCCTATGAGCTTCACAAGGAAGCTACGGAGTCTTACATGTCGTACGCTCTCTCTGTTTTGCTTGGAAGGGCTTTGCCTGATGTCAGAGACGGTCTAAAGCCAGTACACCGGAGAATTCTGTGAGTGTTTAGTTAAAAAGCTCCAGAAATTTAAGTTTATTCCGTAAAAAAAGTTTGATTCTTAAAGTCGATTATGTTCTTCAGCTTTGCAATGCATGAATTGGGGATGTCATCGAAAAAGCCATACAAGAAATGTGCAAGAGTTGTTGGAGAGGTGAAGTGATTTCTCCCAAATGTTCTCTCCGTTTAGATTTCTTCTTCTGAGTAAACTGTTGCATAATACTTCAATTTCAGGTTCTTGGTAAATTTCACCCGCATGGAGATACAGCTGTTTATGATTCTCTCGTTAGGATGGCTCAGGTAATTCTCAGGCACGCTTTGATTCTTCCCAAAGTTCCTACCTTTTTTGTTGCATAACTCATTCGTTTTTGCTCGTTCTTTGCAGAATTTCTCCTTGAGATGTCCTCTTATCCAAGGCCATGGGAATTTTGGCTCGATAGATGCAGATCCTCCTGCAGCCATGCGTTACACTGAGTGCAGACTTGACGTTAGTGCCTTTCATCTTGCTTTCCTTCAGTTTGATCTGTTTTTATATGTCTTTGCTGTCTTTACTCTATAGTTGTTTCTCTAATCCTCTGCTCTTTTTTTTTACTCGTCTTTGTATTTCAGCCACTTGCAGAGGCAGTATTACTATCTGATCTTGACGAAGATACGGTAACACTCCGCTGCTTTTATTTCCATGTTTACTGATACTGATGCTCCACTATATCGTCTCTTTAGCCTCTTTTGTTTCTTATCTTTTGCAGGTTGATTTTTCGCCCAACTTTGATAACTCACAAAAAGAACCAGAAGTGTTGCCTGCTCGTCTTCCTGCTTTATTGTTGAATGGAGCTTCCGGGATTGCGGTAGAATAATCTAACAAACCTTTTATCTGAGTTCCTTACTTCATTTAATCCTGTGATGAGTTTTCCATGGTGTATGCAATTTGAACTTAGACCATTTCACACTGCGTAGGTTGGCATGGCAACCAATATTCCTCCTCATAATCTTGGGGAGTTGGTAGATGTGCTCATCGCTCTAATCCATAATCCAGAAGCATCGGTAATTAAAGCTCCCTCTTCTCTTCTTCTTTGCTACTACTGCTTTGCTTTATAAATTGAGATGACTATACACTCATATAATGTTGTTTCCACTTTCTTCTTTTGTCTTGCCAGCTGCAAGAACTGCTCGAATACATGCCTGCTCCGGACTTTCCAACTGGAGGGGTTATAATGGGAAACCTCGGGTAACTATTTGTTTCCATGCATTTGCCATTTCATTCTGTTACGTTGTTTACTTGTAGATTTCTAATGTTTTGTGTGCATTTTGAAGGGTCTTAGACGCTTATCGAACTGGCCGAGGGCGTGTCGTAGTCAGAGGAAAAGCTGAAGTTGAACTGTTGGATCCCAAGACAAAGCGCAACGCAGTTATTATCTCAGAGGTGATTGAATTTCTTTTTGAGATTTACTTACTGATCTTCAATGTCTGTAATGGTGTAAAAAGCAGGCAGGCAGAGTAACTTCTTTACTGAAATTTATTGCAGATTCCTTACCAGACAAACAAAGCTACGCTTGTCCAGAAGATTGCCGAACTTGTTGAAAACAAGGTACTGAGTGATGTCTGGTCTAGAATGTCTGTAAATTCTGGATATGTCTGATGAGACATGTATCTGTTTCATTCACTGACGTTAGGTGTTTGTTAATTTCAGACTCTAGAGGGAATAAGTGACATACGTGACGAGAGTGATCGTAATGGGATGCGTGTGGTTATTGAGGTATTACACCATTTCCTCTGCAATTAGGCTGAATTATATGCTTCGAAGTTCGATAGTTTTATTGAAGATCATTTCCACATGTTTACCATAGCTCAAACGAGGAGCGGATCCTGCACTTGTGCTAAATAACCTTTACCGGCACACTGCCCTCCAATCAAGCTTTAGCTGCAACATGGTTGGGTGAGTTAACTACAAAGTCCTTCAGTTTGGGAAAATTTCATCTTTCAAGTATTTCTTGATCGTAACTGGCTTGTACTGTTGTGCGTTTTCAGTATCTGTGATGGAGAACCCAAGCTAATGGGTCTAAAAGAACTACTTCAGGTAGCTACTTGCCTATGTGGATCATTTTCCTTTTTAAGTTACCGGATCTATATAAGACTTTTAATGAAAATTGATTTTTCTTGCTTGTGTGTAGGCGTTTATAGATTTCAGATATTCTGTTGTCGAAAGGCGTGCAAAGTTCAAGCTTTCACATGCACAACAAAGGATGCATATAATTGAGGTGCGTTTTTAAAATGTTTAATTTATCTTAAACTATGCTACGTATCTTAACTATATGCACTCTCGAAGTTTCCTGTCTGATTTTTACGCGTGAAGACCATGATCTCACAATGTAAAACTCTATTTAACTAACTTTCCTTCTAATTGCTTCACTGTAGGGTATTATGATTGCACTTAAAGATGTGGATAAAGTTATCAAAATCATCCAAAAAGGCTCAATTGATTCCTCTGCTTCTGCTGATTTACAGACTGGTGAGTTTCATTTTACTTTGACAATTTACTACAGTATATTGGGAATCTTGAACTGCATGTGAGAAAAAACAGTGAGAAAAGTAAACTAGGCCATTTTCTCAAAAATGGACCTGATGGACATAACTATGGTTATCGCCTTGTGATCTGGAAGTGTTAGTTGTTTACCCAAGTCTAGTTTGGTGTTGCTTACAAATATTTCGAATAAATCAATTTTTCAGAATATGGTCTTTCTGAGAAACAAGCTGAGGCTATACTGGCGATAACCCTTCGAAGACTAAGTGCTCTTGAGGTGCCTTTCTATTCTCATTTGGTTTCTCTAAGTTCATTTCTGAAGTTTGAAGTTGTAAGCTTGAACATGTTTAAAACTAGATTCTGTTTTCATATTTATGCAGCGGAAAAAGTTTACTGACGAGAGTAGTTCGCTCAAGGAGCAAATTACAAAGTTGGACCAGCTATTATCAAGCCGAACAAACATCTTAAAGGTAACAGACTCAAGCATTTGTCATAATTATTTGCTTGTATTGTATTGTAGACTAAAATATAATTCTCTTCTCTCTTTACTTCCAAGATCATTTTACTTACTACTTTCTTCCCTTTGCTTTCTTTAGGTAATCGAACAAGAAGCAATAGAGCTGAAGGACAGATTCTCAAGTCCCAGACGCTCAGTGCTGGAAGATTCTGACAGCGGTGATCTGGACGACATAGATGTTATTCCAAATGAAGAGATGTTGATGGCAGTGAGCGAAAAAGGTTATGTGAAAAGGATGAAGGCTGATACGTTCAACCTCCAGCATCGTGGAACCATTGGCAAATCTGTTGGGAAACTGAGAGTTGATGACACCATGTCTGACTTTCTTGTTTGTCATGCACATGACCATGTCCTCTTCTTCAGGTACATTCAACTGAAATCGCCTTTTTCTCCATACACATGGGACTTGGTTGTTCTGCCTTGTGATTAATGTACTTATAAATGTTCTACATGCAGCGATCGTGGTATAGTTTACTCAACACGTGCTTATAAAATCCCGGAATGCTCCCGCAATGCAGCTGGTACACCTTTGGTTCAGGTAATTCAAGTAACATATATGCTTTACTTCTGGTAAGTGGAAATGGTTTTACATTTCATTGAAAGGCTAATACTTTGTTGTTTCATCTGACTTGTGGAAGCAGATACTATCCATGTCAGAAGGTGAAAGAGTAACATCCATTGTTCCTGTTAGCGAGTTTGCTGAAGACCGCTATCTCCTGATGCTCACGGTGAACGGCTGCATCAAGAAAGTCTCTTTGAAGTTATTTTCAGGAATACGCTCAACTGGAATCATCGCAATTCAATTGGTTTGTTCCTTTTTCTCTAGGCAAATTTAGGTACAATCTTCTTAACAAAGGGTTATCATACATGATTTATTTGTCTTCAGAATTCTGGTGATGAACTGAAATGGGTTCGATGCTGCTCAAGCGATGATCTTGTGGCCATGGCGTCCCAAAATGGAATGGTCGTCCTAAGTACATGTGATGGTGTAAGTTACAGTTCTTGATTCGTCTTCCGAGCAAACCTTTTGGTACTTGAGCAAACTTTAATGGCTATTGTTTACTAGGTTCGAACACTGAGCAGAAATACAAAGGGAGTGACTGCCATGAGACTCAGGAGAAAGGATAAGATGGCGAGCATGGACATCATCCCTGCTTCTCTGCGGAAAGATATGAAAAAGAAGTCAGAAGACACTTCCATTGTGTATGTGCTTCTCAACTTATAATCTGCTAATGTTTGCGCATGAAACTGTCCTCATCACACTGATTAATGTTTTTCTATTGTCTTTCTTTACTCAAAGCGAGAATAAATCCACCGGTCCATGGCTATTGTTCGTGTGTGAGAATGGCTACGGAAAGCGTGTTCCTCTGAGTAGCTTCAAGCCGTCACGTTTGAACAGAGTTGGTTTGATTGGATCTAAGGTATGATGATGTTTGATTATTACTACTATATCTCTTGTTGTAAGCTTTTTTTTGTTCATTCTTGTTTCATCTCAATTCTCTCAGTTTGCGGAGGATGATCGCTTGGCTGCAGTTTTTGTCGTCGGTTACTCCTTAGCTGGTTAGAATAATACACTCTTCATCAAATAAGGATCTAGATATGCTCTGAAAAGTGTTCTTTCTATAATCTCACGTAATGGTTTTTCTTGCAGAGGATGGAGAAAGCGATGAACAAGTGGTTCTAGTGAGCCAAAGCGGTACAGTGAACCGGATTAAAGTCAGGGATGTCTCGATCCAATCTCGCCGTGCACGGTATTGTTTATTACTTCTCCATCAATTTGCCAGTCTTTCCATGTCTTAGCAAATTGTGTTTTGATTTAATGTTTTTTTTTTTTTTTCTCAGGGGAGTGATTCTCATGCGACTAGATCATTCCGGGAAGATTCAATCTGCGTCTCTAATCTCTGCAGCAGATGAAGAAGAAGAAGACGGCAAAGGAATTCCGAGTCTTGAAGAAGCTGCGAGCTTGTAAATGATCCATCCGTACAGAGATCTTTAGTATCTATCTATGCTTTTGAAGTCTTCTCTTCTTTCTTTTTGGTTTCCTGATGTTACTACGAGAAGAGAAGACCATGATCGGAATCGGCTATTAACACTTAGCTTTTGTTTTGTTTGTTCGGAAAAACATCCCAACAAAAAGATGTTTGCTTGAAAAGTTGAAACTAATTAATTATTCTGGAATATAGCCATATTATTTGAATCATAAACTCTAAATCAACCTACATTTGTTTTTGTTTTTTAACCGAATCAGTTGAACAGTTTTACAAGTGGTACGAAGACGTAAGCACCAAACCCCATAATCACAAGAGCAGCTACTCCAACGTTAATCAAAGTAAAGTCATATTTCTGACTCTCAGGAGAAGGAACCATCACTGTCTTCTTCTTTCCTTCTTCGACTAGTAACGGACCGGTTTCTGATTCTGGAATCTTTTCAACCATCTTCTCTCTAACTTTACCTCCTTGGGTTGATTCTTCACCACCAGAATCTTCCCTTCTTGGTCCCACGATTTCAGGATTATCATTCAGGTCTCCTGTTTCTTTGACTAAGCCGGCTTCTTCTACCTTCTTTTGATTCGATCTCTCTTTAACCACTCCTTCACTTACTTTGTCTCTAATCATCTTCTCATCTTGCTTGCTTTTCACGTTTCCTTTAACATCCCCTGCTATTCTTTCAACTTTCTCTTTCGTTTTCAGCCCAGCCTCTGCTCTGTTCGTCGCAGCAATTTCCTTCTCTGTTTTTCTTGCCTCATCACCAACAACAGGTTTTGTGTGTTTCTCCTCTTTCAGCTTCTGGCCTGTTTCGCCATTTCCCTTTTTATCAACTACTTTCTCTGCTTTAGCATGTACCTTGGGTTCCAAGCTACCACCAATGATCGGTGTTCTAGTAGTCCCTTCCTCCACCTTCTGTCTAGTCTTTTTCTGACCTATGTCAGCATCTTTCTTTCTTTCAATTACTTTCTCTTCTTTTGCAAGTACCTTAGCTTTCAAGCTACCACCAAGGGTTGGTGTGCTTCTAACATCTTCCTCCTTCAACTTATGTCCAGTCTTTTGCTGACCCATTTGAGCAGCCTCCTTTCTCTCAACCACCTTCTCTTCTTTCGCACGTTCCTTACGCGCCAAGCTAGGGCTTGTTTCTCCCTCTTTCACTTTCTGTTCAGACTTCTCTCGACTACCCGTTGGCGCTGCTCTCTTACCCTCAACCACTGATTTATACGTTTTGGGTTCTTCTTTATTCGCCACTGGAGCAGATCTCTCTTGACTTTTCCCCACTTGTTTCTCCTCGTCCGAAGGTTTCTTTCGTCCCAAGCTACTCTCATTAAGAACAGGCCCTCTACTTTCTTCCTGATAAGGCCTCTGTACAGTCTTCCCTTGATCTTGGACTGTTTTATCCGGTTTCTCACTTTCGACGACCGCCGGAAACTCGATCGTCAAGAGTCCATGTGAGAAGGAGGTGTTCAATTTGTTCATATCACACGACTCAGGAACACGGTAAGTTTCAGTGAAACGAGCCTTAGTCTGAGTAGAGAGCGGTCGCTGTCCCTGAATCTGAATAGTCCGTGTCCTCTCATCCTTCTTTATTTCTATTTGGTCCCTATAAAACCCTGATAGATTCCACAAAACAAACGAGAAACTCATTAATTTGTATCTATCAAACATTCAAGTCTAGAAAAATGTAAAAGAGAAAGAAAGAGAAAAAGGACCAGGGAGATTGACGTAGAGGAAAATGGAAGATCCGGCGTTACTCCATTGAGCTCTCGGCTTGAAACTGCTCACTGTCGGAGCCAACGGTGGCGGATGACGGCCACCGCCCGGCCTTGGCCTCTTCAACATCGCCGCCATATGTGTATGTATACTACTATATCAGGACAAGAAATGACTGTATTTTAATGTGTTTGAAGGATATATCAAAGTATATAAGCGATGGTTACAGGTAGTAAGAGGTTTTGAGATTAAGGTTTGGGTTTAGGATTGCTTTAGGGTATTGACTTTGTCTGTTTCTTCGTCCCTAGGTCTCATATCATAGATACAGTTTCTTCTGCTACAAGGAAAGCATAGAAGCGTTATGTTATCTCCTCAAACCTCAAGGTGGTGAAGAATCAATAACGAGCGACGTCGTTTTGGTTTTTTCTTTTTCTCTTTTTAATCTTGTCGTCATATAAATAACACGTGGCATTCAACACGAGAAATGAGAATCCTTTGACGCATACTCCTTCACTCACCGGATAAACTCCGACTTCCGCCGCAATTTTCGTCTCCATGGCCGGCGCAAACCTACAGCTCCGTCACGCATACTCTATAGCTCAATTCGTTCCAACCGTTTCTTCTTCCCCACCTCCTCAGCGAGTTCGGTTTGGAATTTCACCCTCTCGTGTTCTCTTCTGTAATCTCCGAGCTGATTCCGCCGTCGCTCCAATTCTACGAACCACTCGCCGTTCAGAAACTATTGCCGCGTCTTCCGTATCCTCTGCCGTCGATGCTTCCCCTTCTTCGGATTCGTTGGAAAAAAGTCGCGATGACGTGGGCAGGATCCCTTTGCTTGAAGTTAGGGATTTGAGAGCTGTGATTGTTGAATCGAGGCAAGAGATACTAAAAGGCGTCAATTTGGTTGTCTACGAAGGAGAGGTACGCATCAATTAGTGAACTTTTGTAGATTGAGTTGAAATTTAATCATCAGAAAGTTTTGAATCGGAAATGCGTCATCATCTGAGAAAGTTGAAGTTTGAAATCTGATCAGAAGTAATGAGCTGAAGTGACATTGAACTTGTAAATTTCAACGTTTTTGATTGGTTATGTGTTCGAATTATCGGATTACTGTCCGGCGAGCTTGAACATTGCTACTTGTGTTGATTCACGTTCATTTCTGGTGACTGAAAAATATGGCTTCTTTTGTGGAGTTTTTGGCCGATCCTCATAGTTCTTGTTTCATGGTTGCTAACGAATTCATAGGTCCACGCAGTGATGGGGAAGAATGGTTCAGGGAAGAGCACATTTTCCAAGGTAAACATTTCGACTGTATCTGAACATGATTGTTCTCCTTCTGTTTGTTATCTCAGTGAGGCTTATTCTTTGTAGGTTCTTGTTGGTCATCCTGATTATGAAGTGACCGGAGGAAGTATTGTGTTTAAAGGGCAGAATCTGCTTGATATGGAACCAGAGGAAAGATCTCTTGCCGGTCTCTTCATGAGTTTTCAGTCCCCGGTTGAGATCCCTGGTGTTAGCAATATGGATTTCTTGAACATGGCTTTCAATGCCCGGAAAAGAAAGCTCGGTGAGCCAGAGCTTGATCCAATACAGGTGTGTTGCAGATTTAATGGATTTGGACTTACTTTGCAGTCTTTCTTACTTGTTGTGTTGTGCCTCTGTGTCGATTGGTCCCCTTTGCGGGACTGTCTAATTGTGCAAATCTTCTGTCTTTTCACTTACACATATCACATGGCTCATGCAGTTCTACAGCCACTTGGTATCAAAACTTGAAGTTGTGAATATGAAGACCGATTTTCTCAACAGAAATGTCAATGAAGGATTTAGTGGTGGTGAAAGGAAACGCAACGAGATTCTGCAGTTAGCGGTATAGCTCAAATTCCCCTTGTTTTTGAGTTGCCACAAACACCACATATGATAAGAAACAAATGTGGTCACATAAGTTAGTTCGAATACTCAAATGTGGTCACATAAGTGGTTCGAATACTAGGCTAATTATGAGAACATTAGGGTAGACTTGCCTAAGCAGAATAAAGCTTATTTCTGGTTTATAGATAGCATGAGAAAAAGTATAGTAGACTCTTTTTCTATGTAGCAATATATAGAAAGAGGTCATGGAACACTAATGCAATATTTGGTAACGATCTTCCTGTCCTTCCAGGTCCTTGGAGCCGAGTTGGCTATATTGGACGAGATTGATTCAGGGTTGGATGTTGATGCTCTTCAAGATGTGGCAAAAGCGGTGAACGGGCTTTTGACACCAAAAAACTCTGTTTTGATGATAACCCACTATCAACGCCTGTTAGACTACATCAAACCAACTCTCATACACATCATGGTGAGTATTTTTGCCAAACCAGCCTTCTTTACTGGATCCTCAAATATCATATTGGTGGTTCATTTATGTTGCTCGTTTTCAGGAGAATGGAAGAATCATTAAAACCGGAGACAACTCCTTGGCCAAACTACTGGAAAAAGAAGGCTACAAAGCCATATCCGGCTAGTTATCCATAACCTGTCTTCCTTCTTTGAGAGACCAGCGTGTTATGTAAGCTGAAGATGATGATCGGAAAATCAAACTTGTCACTACAATCTTGACCGGTAGAAATTTTTTGGCTTCATTGGTTTGCATGACAAACTATTATATTTGTTTTTTTTTGCCCTTCTTGGATGTGAACAGTTTTGTACTTTTTTGTAACTAACATAAAATTCAGTTAATAACGAGCCCCATTATGTTCCAATCATGTTATTAACAGTGTTCGGATTAATATTTGATTGGATCAAATCTTTGAAAGTTATTGGTTACATTTACTGTAGAATTTGACAAAATAAAATTACAGTTTTGATGATGATTATGTAATTTCTCAAGCCTTACGTTGTGATTACACTAGAAAATTACACTCTGATTATTCAATCGCCTGCTGGGAACGAGTAGGTAATACAAAAGAAAATTAATTTCAGACAAGGAGAGCGCAAAATTCGCTGGTGATTAAACCCAAACGCGTTTTTCAAACTCGTTCAATCATCATCTCCTTCCTCAATCTTCTTCTTCATCTTCTCAACAATTGACTTATCAAACACGATTACAACAAGTCCCTGAGGTTTTATGCAAATGTAGTGCAATTAACCCATCCCTCTATTTTCCCTCGCTTATTTTACAACCAAATCAAATAATCCTTCTTCTTCTTCTCTTTTCCATCCCAGATCTCTTTGTTTTACGATTCATTCCGTTTTCGGGATTCCGGTTCATTGCATCCTTCTCTGTTCTGGGTTCGTTTAAATTTTCGATTTTCTCGTCACCCTTTAAAAAATTCGATCCTTTTCTTTATCGTCGTTGTGACTGTATTTTTGTTGGCTTATTGATTGTTATTGTGAAAGGCACGTTCTTTGCATTTACTGCATCGACCCGAGTAGGGTCTTTGCTTGTTCATCGTATTCGGAGTTTCAATTCATCGCCTGATCCAGAGACCAGAGTGATTCATTTGATATGATATCCGATTGTCATTGGAGAAGAGAACGAAGTCTTAGATTATGAAGGATTTGACTTTCACTTACAGTGTCTCTGATCATTAGGAATGAGATTAGATCAGAAACCAATTTGTGTTGTTTTGATCAGATCTTAAAGCGATTCTGGAGAAGTTTGATTTTAGGATTATAAGTAGAGAGAGAGAGATAGTTTTGATGGGTAATGCTTGCATAGGACCAAACATTTCTGGAAATGGTTTCTTGCAAACTGTTACGGCTGCATTGTGGCGGCCACGGATCGGAGCTGAGCAAGCTTCTTCCCATGGCAAAGGAGAAGTCTCCAACAATAAAGCAGCTTCAGAACCATCACCTCCTCCTGATGACGTCCAGAACAAACCCCCTGAGCATGTCACTATGCCAAACCCAAGAACCGATCCTGAAACCGAAACCAAAGCAAAACCTGAGCCACAGATCCAACCTGAAGCTTCCAAGAAGGAAGTTGTTATGCAGCCGGAGACAACAAAACCAGAATCCAAGCCGGAGACTACAAAACAAGAAATAAGACCTGAATCCAAGCCGGAGCCTGCTCAACCAGAATCAAGACCTGAATCTAAGCCGGAGACTACAAAGCCAGAAACAAAACCAGAATCTAAGCCGGAGGAGAGTACAAAACCGGAGACAGATTCTGAATCTAAGCCGGAGACGAAACCAGAACCTCAGAAGCCTAAACATATGAGGAGAGTGTCGAGTGCAGGGCTCAGGACTGAGTCAGTCTTGCAGAGGAAAACTGAAAACTTTAAAGAGTTTTACTCACTGGGAAGGAAACTTGGACAAGGGCAGTTTGGGACGACGTTTTTATGCCTTGAGAAAGGTACTGGGAACGAGTACGCGTGTAAGTCGATCTCCAAGAGGAAGCTTTTGACGGATGAGGACGTTGAAGATGTGAGAAGAGAGATTCAGATAATGCATCACTTGGCTGGTCATCCGAATGTTATATCCATCAAAGGAGCTTATGAGGATGTTGTGGCGGTGCACCTTGTGATGGAGCTGTGTTCAGGTGGAGAGCTTTTCGATAGGATTATTCAGCGTGGACATTACACTGAGAGGAAAGCCGCTGAGCTCGCGAGAACCATTGTTGGTGTTCTAGAGACTTGTCACTCTCTTGGCGTTATGCATCGAGACCTCAAGCCTGAGAATTTTCTGTTTGTTAGTAGAGAAGAAGATTCCCTCTTGAAAACCATCGACTTTGGACTCTCAATGTTCTTCAAGCCAGGTTTTTCCTTTTGTACTTACTTTTGATCACTCAAATTTACAGCATCTATCTTTGAGTTTAGAATTCAGTGATCCTTTTTATTTTTGCAGATGAGGTTTTCACAGATGTTGTTGGTAGTCCTTACTATGTAGCTCCAGAAGTTCTTAGAAAGCGTTATGGTCCTGAATCAGATGTGTGGAGTGCTGGTGTCATTGTTTACATTTTGTTAAGCGGAGTTCCTCCTTTCTGGGCCGGTAAGAGAAGTTCTTACATTTTTCTGATTGAAGTATCTGTTTTGCTCTTAGTATCAGGCTCTGAAACGAACAAATTCTGTTTCCATGAAATTTACAGAAACGGAACAAGGTATTTTCGAACAGGTTCTTCATGGGGATCTTGACTTTTCATCTGATCCGTGGCCAAGCATCTCTGAAAGCGCAAAAGACTTGGTGAAGAAAATGCTTGTGCGGGACCCCAAGCGAAGACTAACCGCACATCAAGTATTATGTAAGTCATTCAAGTCTAAACATTCATCTTGATTCTATGAACATATGGTATATAGTCTCACAACCTGTGTGCTAGTTGATTTCCAAATACATTGTTTCATGGTGGAGTTCATCGTTCTGTTTCTCAAGAAGTTTTGATTCTGAACAGGTCATCCATGGGTTCAAATTGATGGCGTGGCTCCAGATAAACCTCTGGACTCTGCTGTTCTGAGCCGTATGAAGCAGTTTTCTGCCATGAATAAGTTCAAGAAAATGGCTCTTAGAGTAAGCTGGCTTTCTAATGCTATAAACAAGATCCCAAAGAAAGAGATTAGAATTAACTTTTCCCCTTATTTTCAACTTGCTGTAGGTCATAGCTGAGAGCTTATCCGAAGAAGAAATAGCCGGTTTGAAAGAAATGTTCAAGATGATTGACGCCGACAATAGTGGTCAGATAACTTTCGAAGAACTGAAAGCAGGACTCAAACGGGTTGGTGCCAATCTCAAAGAGTCAGAAATTCTTGACCTCATGCAAGCTGTAAGTCTTTAATCCAAGAACACTCATTAAAATGTTTCTCATCTCTTAACAAATCGGTTCTAATTATAGTTCCAGGATTTGCTTGGGATTTGTAACAATCTTGTATGTTCTGTCTCGTCTTTCAGGCTGATGTGGACAACAGTGGAACGATAGATTACAAAGAGTTCATAGCTGCAACATTGCATCTAAACAAAATAGAGAAAGAGGACCATTTGTTCGCAGCCTTTTCCTACTTTGACAAGGACGAGAGCGGCTTTATCACCCCGGACGAGCTTCAGCAAGCCTGTGAGGAGTTTGGTGTTGAAGATGGACGCATAGAAGAAATGATGCGCGATGTTGATCAAGACAAGGTAAAACCTCCCTTTTACACTTCCCATCTCATCCCAAATCGCATATATTTCAAATATCGAAACCTCTTCTTGTTACTGTTTCACTTTAATGGAAACATGGAATGATTGTTGCAGGACGGACGAATAGACTACAATGAGTTTGTGGCGATGATGCAGAAAGGGAGCATCATGGGAGGACCTTTGAAGATGGGTTTAGAGAAGAGCATAAGCATTTCTCTCAAACACTAGTTTTCAGATTACAAACCCCAAAAATCAAGAAGAGCTTCATCTATATGTATGAATGGATGATGATGATGATGGTGTTTTTTGTTTCTCAATTTTGTTTTGATGAGATCTTGTTATTAGACTGGTTTAGGCATATCTATTTTTGTACTGTGTACTTTTATACATATACACATAGTGTTTTTGTCTGTAACTTGTTTGGCCCATTGTGAGAGGAGAGAAGAAGATTACTACAATCAATGTGCAGTGAAAAAACCTCTTAAATTCAGCCACACTGTCACTCAAATAAGTTCATAATAAAAGATTCAGGTCTTTGATTTATTACCATGTTTCAGATTCTACAAAAAATGATGACAAACAACAAAGAATTCGTGTAATATAGTTAAACTCAAACATCTGAGTCAGTCACTAAGATGAGACTGTGATCAAACCCAGCAACTGCTTGAAGAACAGAGCCCTCAACGTCTTCCAGCAACATCGGTTCAGGCTCATCGGTCGAGCTCCCTAAACCGAGCCTACCATTCTTCCCACAACCCCAAACCAAAGCTTCTCCTTTATCTGTTACACACAAGGAATGCACACGCCCTGCTGATACGGAAGCTGGAGTTTCACCATCCAAACCCTCCACATCTCTTGGCAGCTCTTCCGGTTTTCCTCTCCCTAGCTGCTGACTCCGGTTCCAACCCCATGACGAGACTATCCTCGTGTTGAAGTCTGAGTCAACGTTGCAGATAGCTAGAGAATGACCAAGACCAGCTGCTATAGAAACCGGAGATCCGGCTATATCAACAGGTGACATTCCTAGCTCTTGCTTAGTCCCACGACCCAACTGACCATACACGTTGCTCCCAGAGCTCAAAAGCGTGCCATCATCACAAAGAACTAAAGAATGATCAGACCCGCAAGCAATATCTGCTACCTTCACATTGCGTAATTCTTCCACCAGACGAGGCTCCCAAGCTATGGGCATGTTGTTCTCCTTCTTCATCGCTTCTGCAACTTTCCTCTCAGCTTCCTCCTCCATATTCAAATCAGCAGCCTTGTGATCATCATCATACCCATTTGTAAGTGAATCTAGAAGAGATGGCTCAAGTGGAAGTCCTACATTGCCTACTCTTCCGTCAGCTACATAACCCCAACCAAAGACTTTACCGTCCACAGTAAGCGCAAGTGCGTGTCCCCAACCTAATGACACCTAATCAAAAATCGAATCAACATTCATGTGAAAAAAGAATGCGTTTTTCAAAAGCCATGAGTTGTTGATTTTATCCAAACCTTAACGATGTGTTCTTCAGCTAAAGTTTCAACTCTTGAAGGAGCTAGAGCTTCAATGGTACCTTTTCCAAGACCAAGTTGTCCTCTTTTCGATCTTCCCCACACCCACAAAGACCCATCTTCTCCGATTGCCGTTGAAACCACTCCAGACGCAAATGCTGACCGGACATTCACATTCTCTAGACCTTCCACTCTCTTCGGCTCGTTCCTTGAACTTCTGACGATTCGACCGAGCTGGCCGTCCACGTTGCGACCCCAAGCCCAAACCTCACCGCCAGATGTAACGGCGAGGGAGTGGTAGTGTCCGGCGGATACGAAGGAGACATCGGAAGGCAAATTAGGAACGAGGGTGGGTTCGTAAGCGTCTGTTCCCATTCCCGTGCCTGACATCCCCAAAGCTCCATGGCTTCCGTCGCCGAAGCTCATCACTCTGCTCGTGAACCATCGTCGTCTCTCACCTCCAACGTCTTTGCAGAAATTCGAAACTTTCCCGATTCGCACCTTTGCGATCGACCATAATCGCACCATTGAAGGAGAAAGAAAAAGTAAAATTAAATAAATCTATACTATATAAAAGTTGAGGCTATAAACCATTGAAGATCCACATAGGATTATAAAACATGATTTTATTGGTCTATAAAGCATCTTCAAAATTAAGAAAATTTCCAAATATTAAATTACATATCACCATATAAAATTAAGAAAGTTTCCAAATTTTAAACAACTAATAGTATCATTCCACATATTCATATAAAATTAAGAAATTTTCCAAATTTTAAACAACCAATAGTATTAATAGAACATGTTTAAATTAGAAACTCCACAAATCCAATGTAATTAAATTAGTATTTTTAAAAATTATTGTTAAAAATGATAACTAACTAAATTTTTAAAAACTATATAAAAAAAGAATTGTATAATTAAAATATTAGTTATAAAGAATTAAATAAAGCTTAAGGTGATCCTTGACGAAACTTAAATTTTTACAAATAAAGAATAGGTTACACCATAATAACTGAAGAATTGTTATAAGCAAATAAAGCCAACATTGCAAAAGAGTCGATCTCAACATTACATAATCTATGAATAAAAAAATGGAGATAGAAACGAAAATGTGTAATATCGTATAGAAGACATATGAGTTCATTTGCAGTTTTTTTAGGTGATGAGAGAGATCAAGCTTTGGGAGCTAAAACAAAAAAATCAAGAAAACAATAGCATACTACATAATATTTAGTTCATCGTAGCTTCATATCTACGATAAAACAATTTTATCTTAGTTACTCTTCATATCTACGATGTAAATATTACACCAAAAATTTATCTTAGTTATTCTTCATATCTTTTAAGAGATTTCATCTACATGTAAATAGCGATTTTCAAATAGAGAAAAACACGAACCTTCCAAAAATGGCAAAATATATAAGGATAAAAAGATATAGGCAATAAACCTATTAGGGGTAGAATAATCAGTTCTTCTACATCTTCTAAATTTTCTGAAAAATGTATGAGTTTGCCATAAGTTTATTGATAAGCAGGGCTTCATCCAAGACTCATACCGTAAAAGACATATGAAGAAGATATGGATATTGTTTCTTTGATGGTCACAATGATTACAGGTGTATCAATTCTATGAGCAGCCAGAGTTTGATCGGTCAAGATAAAGTTTTTGCCATCAAATTCAAAAGGAAATAATTTCATTTTTGGTGTAGTATAAACTTGTCAAATATGATTACTCGATTTGATTAGAAACATGATATGAGGTGAGTTAATAACCATTTTTGAAATTAAATAAACACTAACTGAATTTTGCAATTTTTAAACAAATATGTAACTAACAAATTTTTTGAACAAGAATGTATTTATAAACAGATTTAAGGCGGAAATATTCAAGTAAACATTAATATAAAACTACTTCTAAAAAGAAATGTATACCACAACGCATAAAAAACGTGAAAAAATTACTAACAAAAAGTCAACATTGAACAAATAATGATTTAAATTTTTCTTTAAGCCATAAAAAAAATATATATAATTTATATTATATAAAAGCTAAATATATACTATTATGATCAAAGTTTATAAACTAATAACACAGTGTGTAAGTTAAATGTACTGAAAAATAAATTATATGTTATTTATATCATTTTAAGTTATAACATAACAAATTGAAGTTATTTTAAATAAACATCGTGTTACATACAAATACTATTGACAACTAATTTTAAGAATTTCACTATACATATTTAAAAATATATTTTTGTTTAGAAAATGATTATCACGTCACAATAGTTCATAAATTAACATTACATTTTACAACATATAAATATCTTATTATAATGATTTAAATATCTTCAAGTAAGTTTTGGTCATTAGACATACACACATTTTTGTTATCGGGATATGATCTAAACAATATTTTAGGATGTCAAGATTTTATCTCAACACGATATTATATATCTAAAAACTTTTGTTTTTCAGAGAATTTTGGTACTGAAATATTGTTAAATTTTAATTGTTGATTTTTGCAGTTTAAAAAAATATTTAAGAATATATTTTAAACCAATTTAAGATACAGACCGCGCGTGCGCGGGTGAAAATCCTAGTTAATTAAAAAATCTCTGTTCTCTATCTCGTTGTTGTGGGCCCATTATGTCCTCTAAAACCCCAGCCCACTAATTAGCACCGTTTCACTTGGATAATTTAGTGTGACGGTCTTATTTTAATAGCTGAATCTTAAACCGTTGGATTGGTTTCATCAGACGGCTCTAAACAATTTGTCTTGATATATTACGTGACGGCCGACTCCGCTAGTTTTTGCTTTACTGGAAAGACGAATATACCCTCTATAAGGTGCGTCGCGTTACGCTCCTCTCGTTTTTCCCTTTTTAAAATTTTCTTCTGGTTACCCTAAGTTTTTTCTTTTCTCTCGATTTCGGTGCCACAAATTAGAAAAAACCCTAATTCCCCAAATTTTTCAATTCCCTCTTTTCTCAACAAGTTTTTCGATTTTCCTTACGCGGAAAGGTTCGTTGAAACCCTAGATTCGGTCTCATCTTCGCTTGGCTAATGGCGAGCGCGGCACGGGGAGAGAGCAGCAATTCATACGGCGGATTGGGAATCGGGGGGAAGTTCCGGAAGCCGACGGCTCGGAGGTCTCAGAAAACTCCGTATGATCGACCACCGACTTCTGTGAGGAACTCTGGACCTGGGGGCGGAGAAGACAAAGGTGGCGGCTGGTTGTCGAAATTGGTGGATCCGGCACAGAGGCTTATTAATTACAGCGCTCATAAGCTCTTCGCGTCGGTTTTCCGCAAACGCCTCGTCTCAGGTGAGACGCCCTTACAGTCGCCAGAGCAGCAGCAGCTTCCAGAAAGAGGTAAGGGGCTTGTTCCTTTCTTCGATTCAAAAGTTTTTTCTTCTGTCCCATTCAAATTTCTGAGATTCTTAGAAAAGTGGTTTTCAGTAACTGTAGATTTGTAGCGTTTGCATTCGTCCTATGTTTTTCTTTAGTAATTCAGAAATTGGAAGTTCGTAGAGGTTGTTGGAATGTTTCTAAGTACATAACCAGGTTGCATCTTATTGAATTAGTCTGCTTGTTAATATTATGGTCTCAGAAATTCTTCTAATATCTTCTTTCTGAGTTGTTCTGCTTCCCGCTCGATATTTTTGTTATTCATGCGATTGTTTATGTATTAGTAGCTTGCTGTTCTTAATAATCATGTATGAGATTCCTTTTTCGCCTTTCTATTTTCAAGTTACTAATATGTGTATTGTTTCTGTTATGGACCAGATGTGGTTCAGGAGACGAAGGTAGGACACACGGAGGCCAACTCTGCCGTAAGTAAATGAGCTACGTCGTTTAATGAAATTTTCTGTGGATTTACTTTTTTTACAACCTCTGTAACCCACGATTTCCTTGGTCTTTGTGAAGTTGTCCATGAAGAATGACTTGATTCGGACTGAACACGTGAATGCATCCGCCAATCCAACCAAGGATGGATTCACAGATCTTGAGAAAATTTTGAAGGAGAAAACTTTTACAAGGTACACAATCTTATAAGTTTAGAGCTGTACATACAACACAGTAGAGTAACAAAATTTGCCCCCTCTTTTAATGAAATTATGTTGATATTCGATCGATGAAATTACAGATCTGAAGTCGATCGACTTACAAACTTGCTGCGCTCGAAAGCTGCTGATTCATCCACTATAAATGGGGAGCAGAGAAATGATGTGAGTATTGTGAGGCATCCGCTATCTCATGAGAGGGATAGGGTGCATCCAGATAATGGAAGTATGAGCGCCCTTGTTACGAAACCTCTTGGAAGTTCGAGGGTAAGAACGTTTTTTGAGATATGGGATATGCTTGTCTGTTTTATGCCGACCTTCATGCATGATGGCGTTCTTAATCTTTGAATTGTTGTTGAAATTCTTACCAGGCTCTCGAGGAGTGCATTGCTTCGCCAGCACAGCTTGCAAAAGCCTACATGGGTAGCAGGCCTTCAGAAGTTACTCCTTCTATGCTGGGGTTGCGCGGTCAAGGGGTTAGGGAAGATTCTGTTTTTCTGAACAGAACCCCTTTTTCGTCCAAGTCGCCTACAATGTCACTGGTGCCAAAGCCTTCTGGGCAGAGACCTTTGGAAAATGGTTTTGCCACCCCTAGATCTCGGGGAAGATCTGCTGTTTATAGCATGGCCAGAACACCATACTCTAGGCCTCAGTCCACTGTGAAGGTTTCAACTTTTATCCATAAGTTTTATTGTAGAGTTTGCAACTTGTTCCCAGTTTCATGGTATTGTTTTTTTCCCAGATTGGGTCTCTGTTTCAGGCATCTCCAAGCACATGGGAAGAAAGCTTGTCTTCTGGTTCCAGACAAGGGTTTCAATCGGTAAAATTATTTTAACTATGCACTAAACGGTTTTCATATTGGTCCTGAAACAAAGTATTGACATGACTTTGAAATGATTACGTAGGGTCTCAAACGGAGGAGCTCAGTCTTAGATAATGATATAGGATCTGTGGGCCCTGTAAGGAGGATTCGCCAGAAGTCTAACCTTTCATCTAGAAGCTTGGCTCTGCCTGCCTCAGAAAGCCCACTTTCTGTTCGTGCCAGTGGTGGACAAAACATTACACATACATCTAAAGATAATGCGGAGAATCTTCCTCGTTCAAGTTTTATGCTTACCCCTTCCCAGTCCAGGGAGACGGCTTCAAAAATATTCCAGGAAATTGATAAAATGGGTTCAACAAAGGAGAAATCACCAAGTAAATTATCACCATCTATGCTACGTGGCCCGGCTCTCAATAGCCTCCAGAATGTGCCGGAGGCAAGGTTCTTGGAAACTCTTCCTGAGAAGAAGGCTAATTCCCCAGGTTCTAGTTACCAAAAGCAGGAAAAGTCTAGAGAGAGTGGCTCCAGAGAGGTTTTAACTCTGCGTGAAAAGACAAGTGGTGCTGCTGATAACACAAGCAAAACTGGTTCCAGTCAAGATCATGATACTCGTGGTAAAGGCGCTTATATGCCTCTCACGAGTTCTTTGGAAGAGCATCCTCCAAAAAAGAGAGCATTTCGGATGAGTGCGGATGAGGTATATTGTTTATTTCTTATATTCATCTTGTGCAAAAATGATTTTTCGTGGAAAAAATTTGCTGTTTTTAATTTTGATTAACATGTGTGGGTAGTACCTTTGACCATATTCTTACTGCACACGTTTGACCATCTATATATACGACTGTGATCTTAATAATGCAGGATCTCATGGAGTTCGATGATGATCATGGTGCGGCATCTGCTCCATTTCAAGTGGTAGAAAAACAGAATGCCTTCAAAGTCGAGAAAGGTGTTGGTATCAGCATGCCTAAAGGGGAGAAATCACTTGCTTCGTCTGTTGCCATGCCCTCTACGTCGTATATTCCTAATGGTATTTCTAATGGATCTCTGGAAACCGGAGGAAGCCAATTTTCTGCAATCCCCATTGAAGCTGTGCAGCAAAGTAATATGGCCTCTGAGCCAGCTTCAAAGTTGATCCTAGGGGCTGAGAAATCGAGCATTTCTCCTGGCAAGCTAACCTCGGAAGAGAAAGTTCTCTCTCTGGAAGAGCCTAAAAAAGCCGCTGCTGTATTTCCCAACATCTTTTCACCACCTGTGGCCACTGGCTTATTAAATCATAACGCTGATGCATCTGTAGACATCAAGTTAGAAAATACGAACAGGTTGGTGGCATAAATGTTTTCCCTCTCTGCTTTATAGACATTAATGTCATTACTCGTTTCAGTCCATATTGGTTATGAAAGTTGTAATCTGATATATACTGGCTTCTGACTCTCTTTCTTGTTGTTGCAGCTCTACTTTTGGAGTATCAGAGGCTTTGGCAAAGCCAACTGATTCAAAGAAAATTGTCTGCAACAGTGCTTCTGGATCTGAGTCAACTGCCTTAGCTGCATCAACCATCAATGGTAGTATATTCTCAAGTGGAGCGAACACTGTTAGTCAACCTCAGAATAATGGCTCTCTTGACTCAACCCCTTCGTTCCCACCTAGTGTATTTGGAAAGTTGCCTGCTAATACCAGTAACGACAGCAACCCCAGCAACGACTCACAATCAACTTCAGCACCTCCCCTCTCTTCTTCATCAGTTTTCAAGCTTGGGGAACCTGCTGCTCCATTTTCTGCACCTAGCAGTCATGTCATAAATGAGACTGAAGTAAAAAACTCAACATCTGGAAATGTAGCCAATTTCAAGTTTGGTGGTATGGCTTCAGCAGATTCAAGCACTGGCAATGTTTTTGCTGCTAAATCCTCAGAAATTAAAAGCGTGCCTTTTGTGTTTGGGAACGCATCTCCTGCTGTGGCAGATGCAGGTAATAATATCTTAGGTGGGAGCACATTGAATCCTTCTGCTGCACCATCTTCTGGACCTGGAAGCTCTGGAAGTTTAATGTTTGGTGCGACATCTTTCTCAGCCCCTGGGACAGAGGCGAGCAAACTTTCTGTGAGTTCCTCTCCTGCATTTGCCAGCTCTGGTAGCATGTTCGGAAGTTCATCTGCAAACAGTGTTTTTGGATTCAATGCTGGTTCATCAGCCTCTGCTGCCAGCTCTCAATCTCAGGCCTCAAATCTCTTTGGTGCTGTTACTGAGAACGCACCCACAACCACAACCCAAAGCATGCCCTTTCAGTTTGGGTCATCTGGACCTGCAACTTCGTTTGGTTTGTCTGGGAACACTTCTATTGCATCAAACAGTTTTACATTCGGATTATCAAAGTCGGAACCTGCTGCTTTTACTACTATCGCCCCAGCCCCTCAACTGAGTTCGACGAACTCCTCTTCAAGCTCCAGTGGTACGAGCTCTTCCCTATTTGGGACAAGCTGGCAAGCTCCCAACTCTGCTCCAGCTCCAGGTTCTTCATCTTCTACGTTTTCCTTTGGAGGAGGATCTTCTGCTGCGACTGGTTCAAGCACTTTTGCTCCCATGTTTGGTGCATCTACCATCGCGCCATCATCTGCACCCGTCTTTGGTTTCAGCTCAACCGGTCCTACCATTCCTCAGCAGCCGGCATTTGGTAGCTCAGCGACTCCATCCCAGTCTCCGTTTGGCAACTCAACTTCCGGGTTTGCGTTTGGTGCAAGTGCCCAACCGACTAACACAAATGGTTTCAACAATAACAACCAGCAAGTGAGCATGGAGGACAGTATGGCAGAAGACACAGTCCAAGCTAATAAATCATCCATGGCACAGCCAATGTTTGGACAACCACCTGTGTCGATGCCTCAACCAGGCTTTGCCTTTGGCGGAGGAGTAGCAGCAACGCCGCCTCAACCAGGCTTTGTTGCCTTTGGCGGAGGAGGAGCAGCAACACCACCTCCACAAATGGCTAACCCGTTCCAGTTTGGAGGCCAACCGATGGGAAGCACACCACAAAACGCAGAATTCCAAGGAGGAGGGAGCTTTTCACTAGGCAGCACTGGAGGTGGCGATAAGTCAGGCCGCAAATTCATCAGGGTGAAGAAAAACAACAGAAAGAAGTAAGCAAACACATTGCTCATGAAGAGCCATTGTATCAGCCTTTTGGTCTTTTTTAATACTCCGGCAGATTGGATTCAGAGCATATCGTCTTTTGATGGAATAGGTAAAAGTCAGAACGTTGGTTTATGCTTCTTTCGTCGTCTCTCATGTCATTTTCTTGTCAAGAGTCCTCAGGGTTATTATAAGCCGTAGGAAAGTTTTGTAATTTTTCGGAAAATACTGGAGTCTGTAAGAGTAGCTCTGTCTCTCTCTCTTTGTTTTCTTTTATAAAAAAAAAAAACTCTACTTGTAGTTTACCATATCCTGTCAACTTTTTTGTTTACGACTTTACTTTCCGTAATGCCTCTTTCAACCCCCGGTTTGGTTTAATGTAACCGAATCAAAATCGAACAAATTAATAAACGATGGAAACTTCTCTCCGTTGACCAATTGAAAAGTTTCGTTTACTCGTTCCGCGAAGGATAATAATTTTTCTGGGTACTATTTAACTTGGCAATCGATCAATTCGAAACCCTTCAACTCTCGATTCCTCTTTTCTTTCGCAAGTCGCTATCTCATCCAGTTTCCCCAGATTCTCTTTTCTTTCGCAAGTCGCTATCTCATCCAGTTTCCCCAGATTTCTTCACGGAGTAGGAGAAGATGAGGAGAGTTTTTGGCGCGAAGAAGAACACAGAGCCACCACCGTCCATTCAGGATGCCTCTGATCGGGTTTCTCCTCTCGTCTCGAATCATTCTATCTCTTTTCCTCCGGTTTCAGTTGGAGATTTCCTCTTCAAATAGTTTTGTAGTATAGTGTGGCGAATTTAGGATTTGTGTAACGATTTAGGGAGGTAATGATTTCTGGATTGAATCGTTTATGATCATCGATCATTCTGGTTTTGAGATTTCACCTTGGAGATTGAATGAAATTTAGATGAATTTTGATCGGGAAAATCGTAGGAAAGTTATAGAGCTGTTAGATTCACTAAAATCCAAAGGAAGGGAAAAAAAAACTCAGTTTCGTCCCAATTATATGTTTATCAGATCAATAAAAGAGGAGATTCAGTAGAAGAGAAGATAAAGAAGCTTGATGTCGAACTCTGCAAATACAGAGAACAGATTAAAAACACGAGACCTGGTCCAGCTCAAGAAGCTGTCAAGGCTCGTGCTATGAGGGTTCTGAAGCAGAAGAAAATGTGAGTCATTTAGGCACTTTTTTAGTCTCGATTCTCAGCAAACACCTAATCACGTTTTGCTTATTAGGTACGAAGGACAACGCGACATGCTCTACAATCAGACATTCAATCTCGATCAAGTTTCATTCGCCGCTGAAGGACTCAAAGACGCTCAACAAACTGTATGTATCTATTGCTCTCACCTTTCAACAGAAGAGAGAATCTAACAACAACGTTAAGAGTATGTTTTAACCTTTTGTGTTGAATGTTTTCTGTATCTATTAATCTGCAGATGACGGCACTAAAATCTGCGAACAAAGAGTTGAAAGGAATGATGAAAACCGTAAAGCTTCAAGATATTGATGTATGTAAAGTTACTCTCAACATTTCTGGTAATTTGATTTGCGTGATGCTAAGAAATCTCTAATGGTACAGAATCTGCAAGACGAGATGATGGATCTGATGGATGTGAGTTCTGAAATTCAAGACACACTTGGTAGGAGCTACTCTGTTCCTGATGGCCTTGACGAAGATGACCTCATGGGAGGTAAAGTTATTTTTGTTGCGTATTTGGATATGTTTTTTAAGAGAAAGAATCTCTTGCAACGCTCTGTTTCTCATATCTTACATAACAATTTTCGAACGGCTTTTGGTAAATAAACTTTCAGAGCTTGAAGCTCTTGAAGCTGACATGGGAGACGAGACCGAAGCAGATGGAATGCCTTCTTATCTCCAACCTGATAAAGAACCTGATTACAGTGATGAACTCAACTTGCCTGCCCCACCCAATAGACAAACCGGAGCTCCATCTAGTCGAGTTCAGGTTCAGTTTTTAAACCCATTACTATATGGATATTAACTTTTCATTTTGAATTGCTTCAAAGTATGATCAGCTCTTAATGAATGGATGGCTAATTATAGATTTAAACGATGTGATTAACAGGCGGAGGACGATTTTGGATTGCCAGCGGTACCACAAGCTTCTCTCCGGGGATAAGTTCCGGCGACTTCTACCGTGGAGTGGAGCTACTGAAGCTCTGTTTAGCCTTAGTTCTTTTTTCATTGTTTTTGTGCATAACGTTAATAAGTTTGCTTTTCACTCTCTAATTGGATGCTATAATTGAATCTCAGTTTCAAGCTTTGTGTAATCATCTTCTTTCCTTCTTATTTCACATATATCCCAAAGAAGATTTTTCTATGAAATACTTGCAGAAGGAGAGCCATTAGGGACAAGAACTGTAATCAGTTAAATGGGCCAATAGAAACTTGATGGGCCTTTCGTCGCTTTGAATCTCCCTCTTCCTCTTCCTTCCTTTCTCTTTCTTCATCGATGGATCAACCACCACCAGATCGGAGCAAGCGACCATGGAAGTTCTCAACGTTCGTCTACTCTTCTTCGATCCTATTCCTTCTTCTTTCGATTCTCTTACTCGGCTTCACTTCCACCGATCTCTACAAAACCCAAAGTCTGAGATTCACCTTCACCGCGAATCGCATCTACAGCTATCTCCAATTTCACGCCGGGAAACCAAATTCCATATCGGAAACCTTAAACTCGGCGTCGTCTTCGTCTCATTGCGTGTTATGGATGGCTCCATTTCTCTCCAGCGGTGGTTACAGCTCAGAGGCTTGGTCCTACATTTTATCACTTCATCACCATCTCAGAAACCACCCTAGGTTTCGAATCACCATCGAGCATCACGGCGATCTAGAATCGCCGGAGTTTTGGGATGGTTTAGCTACAGAGACGAAGGAGCTAGCGATCGAAATGCACAGTACCCAATGTAGACCCAACGAGACGATCGTCGTCTGCCACAGCGAGCCTGGCGCTTGGTATCCACCACTGTTCGAGACTCTTCCTTGCCCTCCCACTGGCTACGAAGATTTCTTATCCGTGATCGGCAGAACAATGTTTGAGACTGATAGAGTCAATCCAGAGCACGTGAATCGATGCAACCGGATGGATCACGTCTGGGTTCCTACTGAGTTTCATGTATCTTCGTTTGTGCAAAGTGGAATTGATTCATCAAAGGTCGTCAAGATCGTGCAGCCTGTGGATGTAGCCTTCTTTGATCCTGAAAAATACGAGCCGTTGGATCTGATAGCGATTGCGGATTTGGTTTTGGGATCTGGAGTGAAGAATTCTTTTGGGTTTGTGTTCTTGAGTGTGTTCAAGTGGGAGCAGAGGAAAGGTTGGGACGTGTTGTTGAAAGCTTACCTTAGAGAATTCTCTGGGAAAGACAATGTGGCTCTGTTTCTGTTGACAAACTCGTATCACTCGGAGAGCGATTTCGGGAACAAGATTGTGGATTTCGTTGAGGAGTTGGATGAAGAAGAGCCTGAAGATGATTATCCTTTGGTGTATGTGATTGATAAACACATAGCGCAAGTTGATTTGCCTCGGTTGTACAAAGCGGCTGATGCGTTTGTGTTGCCTACAAGAGGAGAAGGATGGGGGAGACCGATAGTGGAAGCCATGGCGATGTCTTTGCCTGTGATTGCGACCAACTGGTCAGGACCGACGGAGTATCTGACTGAAGAGAATGGTTATCCGTTGGGTGTGGAGGAGATGAGTGAAGTGAAGGAAGGTCCTTTTGAAGGGCATTTATGGGCAGAGCCGTCTGTGGATAAGCTTAGAGTTTTGATGAGGCGTGTGGTGAGTGAGCCTGAGGAAGCTAGGGTTAAAGGAAAGCGTGGAAGAGACGATATGGTTAAGAGTTTTGCTCCTGAGGTTGTTGCTAAGGTTGTTGCGGATCAAATCGAGAGAATCTTTGATGAGAAAGTAAGAAGATAACAAATGATTGTATCAAATAAGGAAACGTGGGAACGATGATTGTTTTTTCATTCGTGAAATTATTCAAAAAAGCAAAAGCTTATTATTCGAGTTTGTAACCAAAAGCTTGTTTTTTTTTCACTGGAGATGAGAAGAGAAAGCCGAGAGGACTTCCTTGTACACTGGCTTCTTGAAATCCACTGCCTGTGACATGGAAATAGAAGAAGAGATGAGTAGAGAAGTAGTACAAGAAGATAAAAGCTGAAACTGAACACAATAAAACTGAACTCACAAGTTCAATGAGTTGATCAGGAGATGTCCAAGACCATTCACCAAACTCGGGTTTCTCAGTTCCATCACCAAGAAGATTGATTTCTTCGTCTTTTCCAGTAAACTTGAGAAGAAACCTGAGAGGAAAAAACAGTAGTTGATCAGTTTTATCAACAAGCTCGAAAATCAAATGACATTTGATTCTTGATTGTAACCAAAGACTCACCATTTCTGTGCTTGGCCCTTCCAGTCAGATCCCCATCGGACCTTAAGCTTCTCCCTCACATCTGGAGGGAAATCATACGTTACCCAGTAAGGTGCCTAGAGACAAAAACAAGAAAAAGCCAAGTTCATCAAACAAGTTCATTCTATTTGCTGAAGATTGGATTTTAAAATATGATTTAAGGAAGAAGCTTAAACCTCTGCGATGATCTCAGCAGAGTGAACACCAGTCTCTTCTTTAAGCTCTCTCATGACTGCAACTCTTGGATCTTCACCCTCGTCGATTCCACCCTATCAACATCAATGTTCAATACAAAGTGAAAATTTGAAATCTAATCAGAGATCAATTCTACAAAGAAAAAAAGTTGGTGAATTCGGATCATCAACTGTTGAGCAGATATGCGATTAAAAAGTGTGGATAATTCAAATTGAACCACTTCTCTGATCATCGATCGTGAACAAAATCAAAAATCGAATCTAGAGATCACCTGAGGCATTTGCCAGGCACTGGGAATATCCAACCTCGAGGCAGCGAAAATCTGCACTTATTGAGAACCGAGGTATCAGGGAAAACGACAATTGCGAAGAAAGAAGAAGAAGAAGATGTTTCCGAGAATTGATCATCACCTTTTTGGAAGGATTCATGAGACAGACACCGACATTTCTTCTGTAACCTTCGGGAGGAGATTCCATGGTCGACGACGACGAAGAAGAACAACGAACGGAGGAGACCGGAGACTGGCGGCAGTGGTGGAAGAATGGCAAGCTGGAGGATTTGAGCGGTTTCGAGGGGTAATTTCGGAAAAAGGGAATCACAGGCGGAGAAGTTGGATGATGTAAGAGAAGAGATCGGTACAATGCCATTAGACGAGACTCGATTTCGAGCCAAACCTATTTTCCACGCATCCGGGAAATAATATCTAATTGGACCGTTATGCCCTTGACTAATCAATAATCATTTTACAGGAAAAAGAAGAAGCCAGATTATTCTAAGGCAAAGAGATTAAAGTCCAATTTTCATATTAAGTGTTGTACAATTTACAAACATTTGACACCAAGTTGGAACATAGAAACAGAGGTATATATTAAGTGCGAGGCAAAAACCAAATCTTCTTAATCTTGAATAGACAAAAGATGATGATAAACAAAAACAAAGCGAGTGTTGTAACTTGTTAATTAATCTTGAATCGAAGAAGGAAACAATATTGAATCCAAAACACTCAACTAAAACCAAAATTTTCGTCTCTCCTAACTCATTGATTCAGACAGAACAAACACTCAAAAGCATTAGAATCGTCTTGCAGGACGGCCAAAGACAGGTGCGACAGCTTGTGGCTCGACTTTAGAAAACCCAGGAACATCAGACATACCCAAAGAAGCAAGCATCTCCAGAGTCTCTTTGTCGACCTTAACGTCATCGGTTTTGATGGCAGACTCGTCGGGAACAAAGTCCATTCTCCTTTCACGCTCTTCCTCCTGTAGCTTGAGGGAGATTCCACGGACTGGTCCCTTTTGGATACGTTTCATCAAGTGGGTTGAGAACCCAGCGATCTTGTTGCGTAGTCTCTTTGATGGGATGATTGCAACTTCTTCCAAGATCTTCTTGTTCGTGTGGAAGTCTAGTGTCATCCGTGAGTAGTACTTCTCGATCACCTGTCGTGATGATTTCTTCACTGTTTTGGTACGGACGCGACCCATGTTTCACCAACTTTTTTGACTTACCTGCTCAAAATAAGGCCAAAACATAAGATAGAAACATTCAACGACTACATATTCGATTGTATACAATCTATATCAAATCTAAGACTTCACACTAACTAAAATGTTGAGCTTAAAATTTACTATTTCTAAATGATTCTTCACGAGTGAGACCAATCTAACAGAGCTTAGGACTATCAATCTAAGACATGAGGCACAAATCGGATAAGTAGATTCGACATTTAAGCACAAGACTGTTGAATTCTCCTATGTGATAACGTACTTTCTAAGCTTAACAGAACGTACCTGAGCGGCTGGACGGATCTGGAGATCGGTGAAGCCTGCGGGAAAGAGGAAACGGGGCAAATACAGATGAAGAAGGCAAAAAAGGAGCCGTCAGAAAATTTTCTGTCTAAAATATACGAGTGTCTTGGCTTGGTAGGGTTTTCTCACGAGTCTGATAATACTCTATAGTCAGGACTATGTTAACATACTTGTATCTTAACCAATAATAGTATTACACGTCATAAACGAAATTGATAGAGTCCATTTAACTAATAAGGCCCATCATCTGACTATATTGGAGTTGTATTAAGCCCAACAAAGCTGTTGGACGTGTATATTGGCTTTATGTAGACCACTATTTATGGCATAACGAACACATGTTACGTGAAAGAACAGAAATCGAAAAGCTAAGAACAGTGAATCTACACCACAGCATTGTTTTCCGAGGCTCTTTCTTCCAAATGAACAAATCCAATTGAAAGATTTGGAATGTAAATTATTGATAGGCTTTCGTAGATATTAAACACATTATCCATGATTTAGTTGCATGGCTTTACTGATTGGACAACCACATTTTTCGACATAACGAATGGAATCAAACGTACTTTGTTTTTCCTTTTATTGGTGGAGTATAATTTTATCCGATCTTCCAAGTTGCCAACACTTTGTTTGCTGCCGTTTTGGTTTTGAGCATCTAATCAAAAGACTCATCCATTTTGTGGGGGAAATGAATCTCATCATATCTTAGGCATGATATATAATACAGTAAATATATATATATAACGGATATTTAACAAAACACTGTTAGATTAGCAGATGTAGTTATTAATTTATTATGATCATCACCTGGTATATAGTATATACTACCATCTAACCATTCAATATGCTATGCTGAAACAAATATTTCTAAGTTATAAATTTATGTAGTGCCTTTGAGTTTGGGTTTGTCTCTCTTTTAGTGCCTTGAGAATATTTGTCTTGATTACAAAATCTTCTACGTCAGTGAAAGCGAATGTCAAAAAAACTAATGTGGAAAATCAAAGTACAATCTCTGTAGAAAGGTAAAAGAAGTCAACGAAGATGAAGAAAGAGACACTGTCAAGTGTCAAGTGTCAATTGTCAAGTGTCAACATCTTCTAAAGGCAAGAAAAGTGAAAAGCCTATGACTATGACAATCAACATTCATTAGCTTCTACACAGCTTCCCTTGAATGCTTCAAAAGGCGTTTGACTTCGGTTTGAATTTCACACGTCTTTTTTCTTTATTTTAAAATCCAGAAACTAACCACATTTTTTAAAGCAAGTAGACCTAGATTGTTTTTCTGTCTATTTTTCACACTAGCAAACTATATACGTATCACATAATATATCAAGTTCTGTTAATTAACTAAAAGCATTTTGATTAACTCAAAACTCAGTTGAATCTTTCAAGGCTTTCCACGTCTTTGAAATCAAGAGACCCATCTCCTTCAGCATCATAGCTCGCATGAACACTATAAAACACATACACGAGAACTGCCAAGCCGGTGAAGAACCCGAATCTGACAAACGAAGGAGCATCCAACGATCCAAGCAAGAACACGTTCAAAAATATCGAAACGCACGGAGTCCACGGCATCAACGGTACGCCCCAAAACTCAGGAATCCGAGCTTGAGGTACAACACAATGGAATATCTGCACGACAGCTATAGCCGCAATGGCGCTGGCTCCAAGCACGAACCATTTAGGTGGGCCAGGCGGCGCGAGTTTCCACACTAAGGTGAACACAACTGAGGTTATGGAGAATAAGCAGAGAAAGGAGAGTGTAGGCCAAGGCTTGGTGTATCCAACCGCTACATAACGCCGGAATATAACGGCGTTTGCGACCATGTAGAAGACGAAGAGCGTTCCGATGGAGACTAGGTTTAAGAGGACGTTTAGGTCGGTGAAGAGTGCGAGAGCCGCCGTGAAGATTCCTGAAGAAACAATTAACAATACTTAGATAGTTAAGCAGAAGTATATGCTAATTAAGATCCATATTCTCTTTAGTCAGTTTAACCATTCATCAGATTAGTATTAATCACGCAGATATATTCGATTTTGTAATAAAGATTGAAGATATTGGAAGAATTAGTTCACTTGGTGGATAAGAAGAATCTTTTTGCGGAAAGACTTGAATATTGTTCCACGTTCAAGATCTCTCGTTGTGTAAAATACATTTTGATGTGTTAATGATTCCAAAAGTTAGTGACTTAGTGGAGGCAAAACTGGAAAAACTAAAAGTGGTTAATCTGAGTGTGATCGATCACATTTTAGTCAATAAAATATAGTATCCAAACTCTCTACATCAGCACTCACTTTTGTGACAAAGCTGGAATAAGTATACAAGACAAAACAATGCTTATAAGAAGATGCAAATAAAAGATAACTGTGGGTCTAGATTCGCTACCACGACTCATCCATTTTGGGGAAATTGTAGTATATATAATCATAATGATTCCAAGATCAAAACTCACCAATAATTAAGTAATGTATACATTATTGGCCAGGCTAATGACATGATCTAAAGATGTTATTCGCAAACGTTGCATAAAGTTCGAAACTTAAGAGCTTTGAATTGAAAGAAAGAAAACATAACTTAAACACCAAAGGACAAAAAGGGACCAAAGAAACCCAACAATATGTCGCAATCAAGACCGTTGAAAAGATTGAGAACCTTTAAACCTAGCTAGTGAACACGAGCACGACAATTTATCGTATTCTGTGTTCTAATTTAAGACCCAACACCAAAAATCACATAAGACTATGGCCTACATGAATATAGACACAGTCAGAGCTACAAGCCTACAACACAATCACTATCAAAAATTAGTTGGGAAATTTTTTGTTTTTATAAATAAATAGTGAATAAAAAGATTTGATTTTTTTTCTTTTTCTTTTTATCTTTCTCCTTCTAGACACGTATATGTATGTGTTCACGTGGAAAGTATGATCTAGATTACACTCAAATCCAAAAAGATCATGGAAACAAAAAAAAAAAACGTTCAAATTTGGCCCCCACTCCTCAATTTGTCTCTTTATCACTTCATTAAAATAAAACAGAGAGAAAACATGAACCAATCTTGACGATAGGAAAATTTCAATATAACCTTGATTTTTCTCTCCCTAATTTTACGTGATATATGTTGGTTATTAACTTATTCATAGATCATATTAAACGTCCATATTAATTTAAGGGATACTGAATAAAATAAATGTTAGAGAGTTAAAGACAAAACGTTACCAAGAAAAACAGAAGCGTTGACTGGAGTAGAAGTCTTGGGATGGACCTTAGCGAACCAAGCGGGAACCACCCTTGACCGTCCGATCACACACATGTACCGAGCCTGACCCAACATCGCTACCAACAACGACGTCAATATCCCAAAACTTGCTCCGATCCCAATCACTCTCGTCACCCACTCCCATCCTTCCGATTTACTAAACGCCGCCGAATATGGTGCTTCAGGATCTATCTGCGTGTACACACCCACACCTGATCATTACCCAATAGAGAAGAAAATTTAAATAAAAATTCAAGATTTAGCTACGGACCAGATCGTAAGGGAGAAGCATGGACATTGAAATGGCCATTAAGCAGTAAAGTACAATGACGATTGCGACTGAGCCAGAGATTCCCATCGGTATGTCTTTAACCGGGTCTCGTACTTCTTCCGCCATCGTCGAAACGGCGTCGTATCCAATGTAGCTTAAGTAAACCATAGCCGCTCCGTTAAACACTCCCGAAGCTCCGAACGGGAAGAATCCGGACGGGTTTTCCGGGTTAGCGGGTCGGGTTAGATTTTGAATGTCTCCTCTCCAGAAACCCATCGCGATCACGAACACTATGAAGGCAATGTGTAATGCCGTTAGCACCATGTTCAACTTCGAGCTCTCCCTCGTGCTGTAGCAGATGATGAACGTGACGGCGAGGACGACGGCGACGGCGATCGGATCCATCTCGTTGAATCCGTTCGGGAGACCGGAGACGACGAATCTCCACTGGGAGGTGGATATTCCGAATGCGGATCCGAGGTACGCGGTGAATCCTCTCGATACGGCGGCGTTTGACATAACGTAGTCCATTATCAGATTCGTTCCGGTGAGAAACGCCGGGAATTCGCCTGAAAGAGATTGAAAATTTGGTGATTTTTTTGGTTACAGAGACGGAGATTTCGATTTTGGCGGGAGAGTTGATTAACTAACCGAATGTGATACGGATGTAGCTGAAGGCACCGCCGGCAACGGGGAGATGGACGGCGAACTCGGTGTAACAGAAGGCGGAGAGGAGAGCGCAGAGGCCGGCCATTGCGTAGGAGACGACGATTGAGGGACCGGCGTAGAGGCGACTTGCACGGCCAGTGGTGACGAAGACTCCGGCGCCGATCATCCCACCGATTCCGAGTCCGACGAGGTCGTACCACCGGAGAGTGCGGCGAAGCTGTTCGCCGGAGACGGAGCGGACACGGCTCATCTCGTCGTAAGAGGTGGAAACGGAGACAGCACGGCGGGAAAACCGGGAGGGAGTGTCGGAGAGAGAGTTTAGATAGACACGGAGGCTGGAGAAGGAGGTGTCTCCGCCGCGGTTGCGGTATTGGGCCTCCATTTCGGATTCGGGTCGGATCAGGTCAATATTGATCGGGTTTTAGAGTTTGAGAGTAATTTGAAAGAGGTGGTTTTATAATGGGAGATTGTGAAACAGAGAAGGAAGAAGAAGCAGAAGAAAGGAGATAGAGAATCCAGTGGCTTTTTCGTGTAATTATGACGAACTTTAGGGGACTTTGTTTGGATATTTATATCAAAGTAGTTTCGTTTGTATTCATAATGATCGCATAAGCATCGGCTAAAATAATTAAATCACGTAAGCATATATAGTAATGTTTTTTTGTCGTTGCTGACTGACTAATGTCCAAATGAAAATTTAAATTTTAGTTCTTGATTCGATTAATACTTCTATGAAGTTACTAAATTCACAATTCAACTAGTTATATCATATTTGTTCAGCTTACTGTGGACGTGGATGATCCTTTGGATAGTAATATATACTGTATTTGTTAAATGGTTTTCGATTAATTTATAAAAGGATCCGATGTTGGGTCAAAATTGGATAAGCGTTACAAAATAAAACAAGAAAGATGGAGAAATTATTTTTAATAAATTGTGTGAGTTAAGAAATAGGGAAACAAAGATATGCAATTTTGACGGTTAGGTGTCAGAGGTAAGTGCTTCTATTGAACCAGAGTTGGAGTACTTGGATGCTGTGGCTAGTGAAGTCCACATTTCTTCTGTCTTTTTGCGACATACAACTACTCAAATATATTATGATAGGTTAAGTTAAATATCAGATTTTGATCAATTATTAGCATGGAGTAGTAATCAGCTAGAGACTTAGCCGTGCTAAAGATTTTAAATGTTAGTTTGGGTTGATCAGTGCTGTATGTTGTTTTGATCTTCATTTTAAGAAAAAGAAAAAGAGGAGACTCAGGTCCAAGTTTTAAGGTGATTATCCAGACGAATAGGCATGTTTCAACTTTCAAGTAGTCAAAGGTGGAAAAAAAGCAAAAAAAAATAAAAATTCAAAGGTTCAAAGAGAAGGTTTGCTGTTTTTCAAAATTTGCTTTTCGTTCAAATCAGGCTCGAACAAACCAAATAACTGAAAAAATACGTTGCATTATGCAAAAAAAATTGGCGCTTAAGAATTAAAATTAAAATCAGAACATGTAGAAAACTCATTTCCATAACATTCTCAAAAGTCATTTTGAAAATATGATATAGTAAAGAGAAAATGAATAGTAACTATAAGGTTATATCTTTATAATTGAAAATACATCTTAAACGAATTTAATGATCTTGATATTTGTTTGTGCTAATCTTTGTCATCTATATGTAGCTTTTCATACATAAACTGTTTAATTATATCATCTGTGATATGTTAAAAAATTATTAACTGAATGAGATTATCTGCTGTTCAAAAAAAAAAACGAAAAAAGAGATTATCTAAGAAATTTTGATAAAATTATATAATTTTGAGTTTTATAGTTTTTTGACATTGACAAAATTATATAATAGAGTTGACCTTAAACTATATCATTTTAGTTTGATTTATTATAAAGTTTATGCTGTTTCACTCTTTTCAGTTTTCATAAAACTTAGCGTTATATGTTTAATGTTTCAGTATTATAGGCACACCCCACTACCAGTCTACCCCACGGTACTCCATATTGGTCAATGGTCATATCGTCGGGATACTATAACAGTGTATGGTAAACTCGGCTTGTTTGTAAGAGCTGACCGATATGCCATGTAGCAGTAAGTAAGTGATTCTTATTTGTTTCAAGGAGATTTCTTACCTAAATAGCTTAAATTCTATTCGTGTTTTTATAAGATAAGAACTTCTTAATGATTAATATTCTTTTTCAAATTAAAAGTATTTTATTAAAAAATTGACTGGTTGATTTTTTCAATGGCATAAATTTGTTTCCTTTCTATAACATTTTGAAATATATTTATATCACATATAATCAAATTTTATATTTAAATTTCTAACACGTGTCAACATACAAATTTATTTGTACACATATCATAATCCAATTGATTAAAAATCATCCTTGTGGCTAGTATTTAAATGGGGAAAAAACTAAGTGGAAGAAATTCAACAAAAACAATGAATGCAACATAACAAAATCAAAAAGGTTGCCATTGTCATCCTTTACAAGAGTTCGTCTATAAATTATAGATAGTTCTCCAAATTCACATATTTTTTTTGGCTTCGTGGTTCCTTAATTCATTTTCAAAACTATGGTTGCACATTTATGGACAAGAGAGAAAAACGAGCAGTTCAAAGAATTATTGCAGCTTCACTCTGCGACTTCACGCTCTCGGTTTCATAATATCGCCGCGTATATACAGAAACCGGTTGTTGAGGTTATGGAGCATTACCAAGAATTGGTCGATGACATTTTAGAGATGGGGTCGACTCTATTCGATTTGCCTGATAATATGACAGAGTCAATGGCTCAGAATCTGTACCAGATGCAGAAAACTGTATGGAGCAGAGACGAACACGAGTAAGAATACAAATATAAATTTATACCTTATAGTTTGCGTTGCTTATTGTGATATACATTTTCATACACGTATAAGTGTGTGTTATAACATCGATAAGTACTGTATAGAGGTAATGTTTTGTGGATCTATATAGGGCATATAAATCGGATCTATATATGTTAGAAATCGAAACCGTTTTGATTTGCATTATCTTTCTGATTACTATAAAATTCATATAGTGGTCGCACGTTATCAATTTTTTTTTTTTTTTTTTTTTTTTTTTTTTTGTAATCTCATCATATGAGTCTTGATTAAAAATGAGATGATCTTACATTCATAACGAATAACGAATATGGTGATGAAAATTCTAATGCAGATGGTTTCTGATCGGGTTAAAAAGGTTTGGGAAAGATTATGGGAAAATAGCGGTCTTATTGGTTTCCAAGAACCCAATGCAAATTGCGATCTATTCTCATAACTATTACCAATGGAATAACTCAAGGAAGGTTATGAAGAAACGAGAGGGAGCCAATGACATAACTATGGTGGACACCAATGAGGACTCGATCAAACAAGAGAGCCTCGTTCATCAGCAGCCGGAGCCACAACAAGAGCTAAATGAGCTGGAGATCGGTCATGCTAAGTTTCCGACTCCAAGTCATATCTTCCATGATGACCATGACCCCATTGACAATAAAAGAATAAAACTTTTTTTTTGAAAACTAATTGAAGGTTGTTGGGCCATATATTGTGCGTGTATTAAAATTTTGGGATTTGCGTTGTCTACTTAATACATATGTTATTTATTACTTTTTCAACTAATTTATGTCCTTTAACCATGAAAATATTATATTAAATATATGGTAGCAAACGAGCAAAAAAAACCACTAAAACTTTTACTCACATTTATTTTTTTATTATCAAAAATTATATTTGAAGACTCTATGATATACAACTACAAAAGAAATACAGTGGTGATTTTGACCATGAAAACGGTTTAAAAAATTGTCAAAACAAATATATGCGACCAAATTTCGATCATACTATTTCCCTTAAAAATCGATGGTCGCAGATGAATAGTGGTCATTAATTGGTCAAAATAATTATGATCCAGACAATGGTCAAAACTCCGATCACTTACTATAGTTGAACAATTATGACTTAAAATTTGTCAAAAATTTATGACAAAAATTGGTCAAAATTTGTTTGACCAATACAATTATTCGAAATCTATGACTACTATTTTGGTCGAAATATCCGACATTGACGAAAATAGTAGATAGTTTGTGACCATTATGATCAATTTTTTAATTTAACACAAATTTATAAATCTAATAAAATTATACGAAAATAGTACTTTGAATATACACATTTGAATTTTTTTTTAAAGGGTCTATCATGTTTCTGGAAAACAAAGAGAGGTTTTTTCAATTTCAACATTCCTTTCACAACGATACAATTCAAGATTCCAAAAAAAAATTCAACATTCGATTCATTAGAACTGATATTTTATCCAAATAAAAAATCTATAAAAACATACAAACTTTTATATCCAAAACCATACAAACCCAAATTACATAAATACTTATCATCCTCTCGGTTTGAAGATCGCAAGATGGAAACTGTTGGAGAGACACTCTCCTAAAGTATGCCAACTCCTTCACGTGTTCTGCTTGGCCTTTTGCCTAGCAGCGTTTTCTCCATCTTTGAGATCTCAGTTTTCGCTGCTTGCAACTCTTTCATTGAAGTGTCTGAAAAAACATGACAGGAAGTTAGGAACCATCTATCTTTAAAGAACCAAGACGAAAACCATTTCTTTTAACACGTTGGAGGTCATGAAAGTTAAAAAAAAAACAATCATATAAATAGTTGCAGCTACAAATTCAAAAGTCCAAAAGCCAATATTATGGCAACTCAGATGATACACTTGTGCATCAAAAACAATTATGGCAAGGAAGTTTGTTTACATGGACATAAAGTGTACTAATCTCGGCTTGTGAGAGTGAGTTAGGCTGCACTAATCCATCATGTGTATGCTGAGAAAGTATAAGCTACTCCTGCTCCATCACAACATTTCCGAGTCCCTCAGCCCTTTTGCCAACCATTTTTTGGTTCTTTTGCTTGTATATATGTTCTTTAATCACAAATTAGGCGATTCCATATCGAGGAGGAGAAGACGATTCAGTGAACAAATCTGGTGGACATCAATCACTTTACTCGATTGGATTTAAGTTCCTTTTTGTTTTTTTGGTAAAATATTTAAGTTCTTTTTATTGGTTGAAGATGGCATTTTTCTCTTTTCAGATACAAACAGACGCATAAACGACATGATCAAATCATCAAAACTAAAAGAAGTATATTGGGTTAAATACAAAATAAAATATAGTAACTAAGTTTCTAATGTTAGTTAATAATGCAAGGATTAATAAATAAAAAAACAAAAATACTACTATTTGTTGTTTATTTATCCACAACTTTTATTTGTTGATTTTATTAGACTACGTAACCTGATTTTTCGCCTTCTTTTCTTTTCATGGCTTGGAGGCAGTGGAGGAAGGACGACGACAAGCTCTTTGAGACTGCTCTTGTGCTTTTCCCCGAGAATTTTCCGAATAGGTTTCAGGCTATCGCCGATCATCTCCAAATACCGGTGGAGGAGGTGATGTTCTACTACGACGCTTTGGTCCACGATATTGAGCTGATCGAATCGGATTGTTTTCCTATAGCCGATTACCCGGTTTATTGGGAGACGGGTCAGACGTCATCCCAGTCCACATACATCGACAAGCAGAGAAAGAGGGGAGTTGCTTGGTCACAAGAGGAACGCAAGTTAGTTCAAAGACTCTTGAATTAGCTAGGGTTTCTGTTTTTATTCTTCGTTTTCTGTTGACAATGGAAGGTGTAAATTTATAGTTTAAATCTTGCTAGGGATTAGGATTTAGGGTTTCTGGTTAGCTGAAAGAAAAAAGAAGTGATTACTATTGATTGGAAAAAAGATGATTATTAATTATCTTTTGATAATAATAACACGGATTTTCAGGTTGTTTCTGGAAGGATTAGACAAGAAAGGGAAAGGTGATTGGAAAGGAATAGCGAGGGACTATGTGAAGACAAGGAGCGCAACACAAGTCGCAAGCCATGCACAGAAGTATTACTTGAGGCAGCAAAACGTGGGGAGTAAGGCAAAGAAACGTGTGAGCATCCATGACACAACTTCGGTAGATGCTGACAATTCAACCGTCCCTCGGTCCGATTTCGGCTCTATGACGACGAACCAGCCACATTTCGGTCAGCAGATGCCTATAGATGATGACAAATATGAAGTTTTCGACTGACATTAGCTTTTTAAGTTTTGAGGTCTATGTTTTTTTGTTGGTCAAATCTAAACTTGTCTGTTTAGCTTTTGTTTGTCTAATCCGGATTTTTAGTTGGACATTAATGATGTTCAGTCTCGAATGATTATTAGGAAACCCCAACACTTTCGAGGGGATTCAATATCAACTCTATAAACATCAACTTGTAAATAGCCCTCAAGCGATGAAAGAAGAAACATACATAACAAAATCGGATGCAAAATTACTAGCTAGTAAAATCGAAGACTTTATTGAGAATAATGATTATACAGAGTAGTAGTAGTTCACACTAACTAAATGACCAATGATCATATTATACAATGTGAAAAGACCCCTTTTTTGTTGGGGATCATATTGGCTATTCAATCTTTAGTCAACCATTTGACTTTTCAATGAATCTTTGACCTTGCCACCTTTGCCTTTCTTATAACCTTTTGAATCTTCATATTTCTCATTTTTTCTATACTTAGAGCTCTTGAGTAACAAGATCTCGTCGTTGCTCCCCTCTATTGATCCTTCCGATATCCCAACACTAACCTGATCATGATCGATATCGTCCTTTCTATAAGGTTTTTCAGAATTTTCAGACCGATCGAAACAATGATGACTAGATCCTTCCACGTATTCAATCCAATCAAGATAATCTTTCTTCGATGCAAAATCACAAGGATTCTTAGTTGACCTTTCTGATTGTTCTACTTGACCGCTTGTTTTAGGAGTAATGTCTTCATGCTGATATTTCTGACCCTTCTTGCTAGATCCTTCGAGCTGGTCTACACGATCACGATCACCGTTTTTAATGGATCCTTCAATAGGGTCCGTACGTTCACGACCCTTAATCAAGTCTTCAAGATGATCCATATGACTGTAATTTCTAACCGAGCCTTCAAGCTGATCCATGCCATCACGATTCATGTTTCTAACCGAGCCTTCGAGCTGGTCCTTGCGATCACTACGGCCACCATTTCTAACCGAGTGTTCGGACATTTGGGATTGGTCGTGACCGTCCATGTCCATGTGTGTATTCTTTTTATGTGCTTTCTCTTTTAGCATCAGCTTACGATGCATGGACTCCATAATCTTTGTTACCTTAGGTGTCTCCTTCGTTTCATTGTTTTCCTCATTTTCCGGCGAATGATCTTCCTGAAAAAACGCTCCGTTGTCTTCCTCCAACTTCATGGATCCTTCTTGCCGGAGCCGGGACTTGTGCAGTTTCACGTACTTCATCGATAGCTTTTTGGTAATTTTCTTCATCTTCACCCTTTTGTTTTGGTACCGATAAGTACTCTAGATTATATATCAAAAATATGTTTTTAACTACTCGGAAACTTTTATCCCTGAGAACTTATAGAGTAAATGAATAGAAAAATAGAAGAAAATGTTTACTTATAACGATAATGAATACCCAAAAGAAGTAATTCGTTGTGTTTATTTGCTATAAAATTTCAGAGACGGTTAATAATAAAACGCGGTTTTAACTTTTAAACAGCACTTGACAACAATCAAGGCGAAGATTTAACACGAATTTTACAGCAACAAATATCTGTCATACGTGCCAATTTTACCAAAAGTTCAAGATTTTCTTGGCAACTACCAATTTTAAATAAAGACAAAATAATCCCACTTTGAATAATCTTTGTACAATTGACTAACCATATCTTTGTATTTTAGCGGTTTCTCCTATTTATAGAATTTAAAGGTCAGCATTTGTTGAATGAATACACAATTATAGAATAAATCTTTCCAGAACATGTACAATGTTTTTTCTATATTGCATGAACTAATCGAGCAACAATATAATGACTTTTTAAGTGCTGGCCATCTGTGAATCATGACACCCATTAATTTCTCATTGATACGGAAGATTGGCATCCAATATATACGATTTTTTCTATCATGATGGCCAATTTATACGCCCATGTTCCTGAATCCAACAAGTATGGACACTACATAGTTTAAAATTTCTTAGTCAAAATATCAGTTTACTCATTCACACAATTGAAATATCAATCAAAAACAACACCAGTAAAATCTATATTAAAAAAAAAAAATAAAAAAAAAAAAATAATAAAAAAAAATTGGAGCATCTTATTGTTTTTGAACTTTGCACAGCTCGTTTTATAGCTTACTTATTCGTCTCTTTTTCTTTTGCCTACCACACCAGCTTGCTGAATTTGAATCAAACTTGGAACATAATTAAACAAAAATGGCCAAGCTGATTCGACTTCTCCGAAATCCACTTGTGTAACTTCATTGTCCTCTCCAACAATGTGAACCAAGGTTTTGCCTTCGAGTTCATCTTTTCCGAAGTATTTATCACAACACACGAGAACTTTCTTCTCCTCATCGACCAAGAAGCTTATGCCATCCAACATATTAAGTTTAGGCTTCATATCCACTGCTAAGACCATGCTCCACGACACCACTTTGGTTTCACCAATCTGATTTGCCACCCATATCTCTGTCCTTGATGTATCTTCGCGCTGTAATAACACTGAAAGCTTATCTTTGCTAGCAACGGATAGAGACACAGTTTCATAACGAGGGCACTGATACGGAAGATGTAGACGTCCAAATCTTTCAGTTGTATAATCAAAACTGATTAAAAACATGCCGAGTTGTTTCTCTTCTTCTTCATCAGAAGCAAACCAGTAAGTATTTCCCTTGTGAGACACTCCGTAATCAGCATATTGTAGGAGGCGATCACTAGTGATATCAAGAGTCCTCCATGAATTAGAGTTAATATCACAAACTGCCAATTCATTGTTGTTGAAGCCACCACCATATCCCAGTATCTTGTAGCTATGATCGTGGGATTTGTTGTCTTGGTAGGATCCAAAAGCGTAGTAGTTGCAACCATTACAGGGCTGGATCCACCTGGTTTGACCAGTACACGGGTTCCAAACCACGATCCTGGTGTTGTAATCTTTGGTGCATAACAATAAGCCGTCGCAGTGAGAGACTTGATTAATCTCGAATGGATCATATGAACTGGAAAGAGGGTCGACTAGGCTAAGTTCACCTGTGACCTCTACAGATGGAAGTCCATGGAGATTAACGCTCATCGAACAAACCCTAGACTGCTTTAACATGAGAATGAGAAACTGCTTTGCAGCTTTATCAAACTGCTTTCTTGTGAATCTCCTATCGTGGAACAAACTGTTCCATCGTTTGCAACTAGGTCGTAATCGCTTCAGACTTGTGGCCGGAACACGACAAAGTATCTCCTCGAACAAATCCCTTGGAAGGTCTGATATTATCATTGTGTTTGCGATTTCGATCTCCACTGCTGCTGGCTTTGATTATTATTTAGGGTCTAGCTAGGTCGTGACTATTTCTTAAAGAAAACACTATTCCTTTTCCTATATGTGGTTGCTGTTTTCTAAGGTGATGATTGGTTCTCCCGCTACCACCCGCAAACGCAGCGTTTGCGGTTCGTAGCGGTTCTTAGCGTTTTATAACAATCACGACAACCGCTTTCAACCGCTCTATACCACTCTGTACCGCTCTATATCGCTGAAAATCAAAAGCTCCTTTCCGCAAGCGTTTGCGGTTGCGGGCGGTTGCGGTTTGAAAAAAAAAAAAAAAAAACATAATATCTCCAAATTTGGAATAAGGGTATATTTTTTTGAAAAATACCATAATTATGTTTAAAAATTTCGAAAATACCCTAAATTTTTTCTGTTTTGAAAAATACACTTTTAAAATGTAAAAAGTATGTTTTGACGTGATTTAAACAAAAAAATAATAAATAATTACAAATTATAAACGAAAATTTAAAAAAATAATAAACTAATAAGTTTTTTTTCAAATAAATATAGTATATGTTAAACTGAAACAAATTTTAATATTTTGGATCTTTATATAAACAACTTAACCTCATACACATTCAAACCAAATGAAACTTTAAATAAATTAAAACTTTACATATATTTAAAGTTTATAAATTATTAAAAATTTAAAAGTGGAGAAATATATCTTTCATTTTTAATGTTTATCTTTTGAAAAATTTAAATATTTTTGAAACTTTGCATAAACAACTTTAATCTCACCCCATTTAAACTTTATATAAACAATCTTATATTTTTATTAAATTGTTTAAAAAAAACTAAACAGGTAATTAGGATGTTAAAATGATACAAAATTATTATCAAATATTAATATTTTATATTTCTTATTTGAATTTCGTTTTTATTAAATTAGGAATAATCATTTTACATATAAAAAGTGTATTTTTCAAAACCAAAAAAAAAGGGTAGTTTTCAAATTAAAAATTCATCAAAAAATATATTTCAAAAAAAAAATTATTAATATGGTTATAAATGTTTTGAATAATTATATATTATTTTTATTTTAGTAACTTTTGGTTAAACCGCTCTTGCACCCGCTGGCTAACCAGTCAAAAATATCCCGCAAACGCAACCGCTATGAATTGCTATACCAGTCGTACAAACAGCTTTTAATCGCAAACTCCCGCTTCCGCAAACTCCCGCAGCCGCAAACTCCCGCAACCGCAACCGCAGCGGTTAAACCAGTCAGATCCTTAAATCGATTTTTATAATGCACTAGTATTTTATTTGTTTTGTTTTCAGCAATAGCGAGATTTTTTTTTTAATATATAATTATAAAACTTAGTAGACGAGTTTTTAATATTGAAAATGTAGCACATATAATAATTTTGGGGGATAAATCTAACGTAACACATAGACGAGGATTGATCCGGGACATACAAACAAAGCAAAAGCTGCAATTACTCGAAATAGGAAGCATCCATCATTAATATGTGATCAAAACTTACTCAAGGATTAGGATCATATATATACTTTAGACCTTTTAACAAAAAATAAAATAAAATAATCATATATATACTTTACAGTTTACAGTGCAAACTAATAATTATTACAAAATACTACTGATGAAAAGTTTTGTCCATCAAATTATGTGGCAGTACAACTTGATAAAACCACCTTTAGAAAAAAAAATTACACTCCGCTTTCATGTTTTCACAAAAATTAGCAGTTGGTCGTCAGCAAAATATTCATTTCGATAATAGGATCTGCAACTTAAGTCAACTTGCAGGTGCATCTAACGAAGGAGAGCTTTTGAAAAAAAAAAGAAGTTGACTGAAGTAAGTGAATTTTGATAGGCGAAACAAACAGAATAAAATTCATGAGGGTCTATGATTATGATGTAGTCATGCCTCGAAATAGCATTTTCATGAACTTAATTATACAAATAGAACATATAAAAAATGGGGGAATTGCTCAATATATTACATAATTTGATTTGAAATGCAAAATTAGACCGTTTATTGCATTTATGTCAAAATTAATCTTTTGGGTATACCAAATTACAAACACCACACTTATGAACAAAAAAAAAACGAGAGTCACAATGTCTGTTTTACCTCGTATAAAGTCTACTGATGAAGTCTACCACAATGAAGTCTACTTCATAATTACAATTTAGATTTAAACTATAATTTAAATAAAATTAATTTGATTAAAAACAATTATACATAAATAAGATTAACAAATTTTTGTATCCATTAAAAATAAAATTTCATAAAAATGAATCCATTCAAGTCAAGTAAGATTAATTATGTTTGTAAACTCTAAACTGTGTGAAGTCTATTCGAGAAGTCTAATATACGGTAAAATGTTAAAGTAAAATTTTAAAATTTATTTAAAATATTTTGGTAAAGAAAATTACACATATCTTTAACACAGACAATTACTATCCATGAAAAATAAAGTTTCATATAAATTGATCAATTTAAATATAGTAAGACAAACTATATAATCCAGAAGTCTACTAAATAACAAAATCGTAAATTTAAATTTTAAAATCTATAAAAACAATTTTGATAAAAAAAAATTATACATAAGTTATATAAGGACAAGTCTTATCTATGTAAAATAAAATTTCATGATAATGAATCAATTTATAAGTTTCATGAGCAAATGTATCACCAAGCTTAGTGTTTGAGGTATATTGTATAGGGTTTATGATTATCATTGTTAGGGTTTAGATAATTTTGATAAGAAAAAATGTTTGCCGTTCGTTTAACGATTTAAAACTTAGCAATTCCTAGTTTATAATGTAAATTGTGATTATGTGTACATAATTAATGTTTTCTACAGTTTTTTTCTTTTTTTTTTGAACTTCAATGTTTTCTACAGTCTTGATCTTAAAAATTCGTTGAAAGTTGGAGCCTCTAATAGTTTTTGAACTTTGCACAGCTCGTTTTATAGCTTACTTATTCGTCTCTTTTTCTTTTGCCTCCCACACCAGCTTGCTGAATTTGAATCAAACTTGGAACATAATTAAACAAAAATGGCCAAGCTAATTTGACTGCTCCGAAATCCACTTCTGTAACTTCATTGTCCTCTCCAACAATGTGAACCAAGGTTTTGCCTTCGAATTTATGATCATCTTTTCCGAAGTATTTATCACAACACACGAGAACTTTTTTCTCCTCATCGACCAAGAAGCTTATGCCATCCCACAGATTAAGTTTAGGCTTCATATCCACTGCTAAGACCATGCTCCACGACACCACTTTGGTTTCAACAATTTGATTTGCCACCCATATCTCTGTCCTTGATGTATCTTCGCGCTGTAATAACACCGAAAGCTTATCTTTGCTAGCAACGGATAGAGATATAGTTTCATAACGAGGGCACTGGTACGGAAGATGTAGACGTCCAAATCTTTCAGTTGTATAATCAAAATTGACTAAAAACATGCCGAGTTGTTTCTCTTCTTCATCAGAAGCAAACCAGTAAGTATTTCCCTTGAGAGACGCTCCGTAATCAGCATATTGTAGGAGGCCGTCACTAGTGATATCAAGAGTCCTCCATGAATTAGAGTTAATATCACAAACTGCCAATTCCTTGTTGTTGAAGCCACCACCATATCCCAGTATCTTGTAGCTATGATCGTGGGATTTGTTGTCTTGGTAGGATCCAAAAGCGTAGTGGTTGCAACGATTACAGGGCTGGATCCACCTGGTTTGACCAGTACACGGGTTCCAAACCACGATCCTAGTGTTGTATTCGTTGGTGCATAACAATAAGCCGTCGTAGTGAGAGACTTGATTAATCTCGAATTGATCATATGAACTAGAAAGAGGGTCGACTAGGCTAAGTTCACCTGTGACCTCTACAGATGGAACTCCATGGAGATTAACGCTCATCGAACAAACCCTAGACTCCTTTAACATGAGAATGAGAAACTGCTTTGCAGCTTTATCAAACTGCTTTCTTGTGAATCTCCTATCGTGGAACAAACTGTTCCATCGTTTGCAACTAGGTCGTAATCGCTTCAGACTTGTGGCCGGAACACGACATAGTATCTCCTCTAATAAATCCCTTGGAAGGTCTGATATTATCATTGTGTTTGCGATCTCGATCTCCACTTGCTGGTGGCTTTGATTTTTATTTAGGGTATAGGTCGTGACTATTTCCTTCTTGTATATTAAAGAAAACACTATTCCTTTTCCTATGTGGTTGCTGTTTTCTGAATCGATTTTTATGAGGCACGTATTTTATTTATTTCGTTTTCAGCAATAGCGAGATTTTTTTTTTTGTTAGATAATTGTAAAACTTAGTAGACGAGGTTTTTTTTTTGGGATGTTACACAATAAGCCGACGGACTAATGAGGTTGTCCTCGGAAATAAGAGGCACACTAGTAAAGAACCCGCACAAGGTGTGACGTTGTGGTTTTGTGTAAAAAATCTAAACTCTAAATTGAATCCGACCCGAAAACCCTAATCAAATTTTTAAAACCCCACTTTTTTAATATGTAAACCCGAAAACCCAAAATCCAAAAAAATCTTGAAAACCCAAAATCCAAAAAACCCCGAAAACCCTAAACATAACTAAAAAAACTCAAACTTTTTCACCCGAAAGCCGAACCCAACCCAAAAACCTTAATCAAAATTTAAAATGTCCAAACTTTTTTAATATGTCTAAACCCGTAAACTTAAAATCCAAAAAATCGAGAAACTCAAAAATCCAACTACTCGATAAATCCGAATCCGAAGGTATCTATCCAAACCCGACCCAATCATCCGCAAGTTTATGAAGAAATATGTGAATCGATCAATTAACATATTTGATTTATGCCTTGACTAAACCTTGTTTTAAATTATTATGTAGCTACAGCAGCAGCGCATGGGTTATGTTTTGGTCCTCATTTATTATATGATTTTGTAAAATTGGTTAAGTTCAGTTTTTTATTTTAAATTTTTATGAATTGTGAATCTTGTTTAATATTCCTTTAAGTGAAGACTTTTGTTTCTTGTGATATGTGTTATGTTTTTAATGAACGTCATTTATTAAAAAAAAAAGAACAATAGCTTATTTTTGCATTTCTTACAAACAAAAAAGGAAAAAAAAGACATGTGGTCCATTTCGAGGTTTCTTCACTTTCATTCCTCTTTCTATCTTCTAATTCCAAACAACTGGATTGATCTATCATCAATTATCATCAACTATAAATCCAAAGCTTCAGAAAAAGTAGAGACTGATCAATCTTTGCTGGGTTTCCCATCCATGTATTCATTGAGTAAGATTTTCGAAGTTCTTGTTGTAGATCTTTGCTTGAACGGTGTATAGATTAAGCCCATTATATGCTTCAATCATCTGTAACTGATTGGCAAGCTAATCGATAAACTTTCAAAACTTATCCGTATTAGAAAATGCTTTTGATTTGCTATTATCATCATTGTATTATTTATTTATTTTTGGTACAAGTTTGGATAGTGTTTTAATTGAACCGATATTATCATCATTGTACTATTTATTTATTTTTGGTACAGGTTTGGATAGTGTTTTAATTGAACCGATGTGCATTCAATCAATTTTTGGCCTACCCACTTTCGGTTTGTTTTAAGTGACTTACAGATCCGCGTGTTGACCCGATTCATTATGGATCGGATTTTTTTAATAATCTGAGTTGACTCAGTGGACTCGACAGTTTTAAGACAAAATTGTCCCTTGCTATACCTGTTTCCAAACAATATTTCTTCATAAGAGCATTGGTTTTTTGGTCCAAAAATTACCAATGTACTTCTCAATTAATAATAAAGAGATAAGCCACACTACCATAGTACCCAGGAGCCCTGAAAATAGGGGACCAGAAAAATTTAGTAAGGTATGAATAATTTTGAAGCCAAAAATAGATTTTTAAAAATTTGGGGGCCAAAATCAATATATTTCTTTTAAAAAAATTTGGGGACCAAGCCAAAAAGCTTACTGGGCTTGCCTCAAGCTGACCCTGATAATATCATGTCACATTAGTAGTGACTACCAAAAGCAATAAAAACCATTAGACCCAAACCACAACAGAAAAAGAAACCAACATAAGATAAGCTTTGTAGATGAACTCCTTGAAAGAGCAAATTTGTCTCGGGAGTATACAGAGAGAAACCAACCCGTCGCTCACTCATTCGGAGACCAATTGTGCAAACTCCATAGCCATAGACGGATAGAGCAATCCAAAACGATTTTGTGAAAACGTGAAGACAAAAGCAGACGCCAGTAGAGCTTGATACCTTCCATTCTCGCCTGATCTTCTTATGAATATGTCTAAACGCAAACCTCAATTCAATGGCTCAACCTCACACGAAGGAAGCTACCAAGGCAAAACGAACTCGAAGACCTCTATAAGAACATCTTATTTATTAACAAGGAAGCTAATAACAGAGAAATGCAGAGTGGAGAGGAGAAGCAAGTGAGGCAAGGTGAAAATGTGAAAACCGAAGTATTAAAGCCCAAGTTGAGTAGTCAAGAGACAAAGCCCATCAGAGAGTCCATGAATGCTCAAAGGCTAGTTTCACAAACAGAGGATACAGTAAAGATTGCAGGGAAAAAAGATAAAGCCGAGAAACTAGCAAAAGCAAAAGTAGCTAATACGACGAGCCTGCATAACAGATTTTTGTCTATGACTGTAGATGGCATGGATGAGTGACATCTGTCATTAGGTTTAAGAGGAGCCTAGCTCACTATGTCTATAAATATGAATAGCTTATGAAATGCAGTCTTTAAGCAATAATGAAATAAGATTCAGCTTCAATAAAACAGTTTTTACACAAGTTATTTGTTTACGTTTATGGTATCAGAAGCCATGGAAGATCGTTCCATGGATCTTTATCCGCCGCCGATTCCTAATCTCTCTAACTGTGTGACTATCAAGCTCACACTTGAGAATTACACAATCTGGAGAGATCAGTTCGAAGCCTTTCTCTGGGGTCAGCGTCTTCTGGGCTTTATCACTGGTGGAATCCCTCCGCCGTTGCCGACTCTTACGGTCACAGACCTCACTGGAGCAACGAGTCAAGCTCGGAACCCGGCCTACACCACTTGGTGTCAAACCGATCAGGTGGTCCGATCTTGGCTCCTGAGGTCCTTTTCTGACACTATCCTCCGTCTGGTGCACCGGTGTACTTCGTCGTACGATGTTTGGATGGCTCTGTCGAACCACTTTAACAAGGTGTCTTCGAATCGCTTGTTTGAGCTCCATGGTCGCCTCCAAAACATTACTAAGGCTGGTAAAACGATGACGGCGTATCTTCAGGAGATCAAGGATCTCTGTGACCAACTAGATGCGATTGGTAACCCTGTCTCTACCAAGATGCATGTGTACCATGCGCTTCATGGTCTTGGTCATGAGTATGAGCCGGTCAAAACAACCATTGAAGCATCGATGGAAGCCTCACCATGTCCGTCTCTCGATGATGTCACACCACGCCTTACAGCGTTTGATGCTCGGCTTCAAACTCATTTCACCTCTACGGGAATCAAGCCTCATCTGGCATTTCACGCGATGCAGATTTCTCAAGGTTACTACAGTAACAGAGGGCGTGGTCAGTCTCAATACCGTGGAGGCAGAGGTCGCAGCTTCTCCACAAGAGGACGAGGCTTCCCGCAGCAAGTAGCCTCCATCAGAGGTCCGACTACTCAATCAGACACCGAGAACAAGAAGTTGTGTCAGATTTGTGGTAAGAAGGGACATGTGGCTCTGTCGTGTTGGCATAGGTTTTACAATGCGTATCAGGAAGAAGAGATGCCAATGGCGATGGCTGCTATGTGCATTACTAACATCACTGACCAAACCGGACATGAGTGGTTCCCGGATACTGGAGCTAGTGCGCATGTGACTAACTCTTGTGGCAATCTCTAATCCTCTCAGCCGTATTATGGGTCAGATGCAGTCATGGTCGCAGATGGAAACTTTCTTCCGATCACACATACAGGTTCCGCTGTCATATCATCTTCTTCAGGTATTCTTCCACTTCGAGATGTTTTGGTGTGCCTTGCCATAGCTACATCTCTTTTGTCTGTATTTAAAGTAACAACAAACTATCCATGCTTTTTTAAATTTAACTGTGATGGTGTGATTGTTAAGGACAAGGTCACCAAGGGTCGGATTATTCTGGGAAGAAACAGTGAGGGATTGTATGCTCTGTCAGATGACAAACCTGCAGTTTTTCTCTCGATAAGGCAACAAGCTGCCTCGGATGTGGTCTGGCACAGGAGACTTGGTCATCCCAACGATCAAGCTCTTCATCACTTATCATCTATCAATGCTATTAGGATCAATAAAAGAACAAATCAAGTCCGCGAGTCGTGTAGTCTTGGGAAGAGTGCCCGATTACCTTTTAGTTTGTCTGAGTTTGTAGCTACTAAGCCTTTACAGAGAATCCACTGTGATCTCTGGGGTCCTTTTCCAACTGTGTCTGTTAAGGGTTTTCGTTATTATGTAATCCTGATTGACAATTGGTCAAGGTTCAGTTGGATTTATCCTTTGAAATTAAAGTCAGATTTCTTCTCTGTGTTTCTCTCGTTTCAAAAACTTGTTGAGAATCAGTTTAACACAAAGATAGGAACGTTTCAAAGTGATGGTGAAGGTGAGTTTACAAGCACGCAATTCCTGGCTCATCTACAAGACAGTGGCATTCAACATTATATGTCTTGCCCACATACTCCTCAGCAAAATGGTCTAGCTGAGAGAAAGCATCGTTATGTCACCGAACTAGGATTGTCCATGATGTTTCAGAGTAAGATGCCGTCCAAATACTGGGTTGAAGCCTTCTTTACAGCCAATTACTTAACCAATCTTCTTCCGACCACGACTTTAGCAAGTAAAGAATCACCATATCAGAAGCTTTTTGGCTCTCCTCCGGTGTATGCTTCACTAAGAAAGTTTGGATGTGCATGCTTTCCAACGTTGAGAGATTATGCAGACAACAAATTTGATCCAAAATCTCTCAAGTGTGTGTTTATGGGTTATTCAGCTAAACTCAAAGGATATCGATGCCTGTATCCTCCTACAGGTCGGGTATATATCAGTCGGCATGTGATATTTGATGAAAATAGATTTCCATTTCAGGATGAATATCTCTCACAACATTCACCTGCAACGACATCTCTGTCAAAGGCGTGGCTGCAAAGCTTTGTTCCGTCTGTGACTCCGACTACTATACCGGTTGTAGCTCCGGTAGTTGATCTTCCTGTGTCTCCTCCAGCTCCATCCACAGAACCTCCAAACCTGGTGTTGTTTGAAAGAGATCAAGAGCCTAGTGTTGATAATGAAGCTTATCAAGACATACAGCAGAACCAAACTACTACTTCAGAGGGACCATGTACTGGGCGTACGCCATGCTTAGATCATGATGCTATAGGCGACAGCGTGATTCCTTCTGCTAGTAGGACAGTTAGTTCAGCTGGTCAGTCGAGTTTGCTAGCTATAAACAGAGGAATTACGACAACTTGCTCAGGACATCAGATGATAACACGATCAAAATCAGGGATTCAAAAGTCGAATCAACACTATGCTCTTCACACTCAGAAAGTGACGTTTCCTAAACAAAGAACAGTGACTGAAGCTCTAAAGCATCCTGGTTGGAATGGAGCCATGACAGAAGGGTATGATACTTGTGGTATAACCAGAACGTGGTCGTTGGTTCCATATTCTCCTGGCATGAATGTCCTTGGAAGCAAGTGGATATTCACTCCGAAAATTAAAGCTGATGGATCTCTTGATCGACTGAAGGCACGTATTGTAGCTCAGGGATTTGACCAGGAGGAAGGTATAGACTATTTGGAGAGATATAGCCTGTAGTTCGATCCGCAACAGTGCGCGAAGTACTCCATACGGCTACAGTCATGAATTGGGAAGTTACACAAATGGATGTAAAAAATGCTTTTCTCCATGGAGATCTCACTGAGGTTGTATATATGAAGCAACCAGCTGGCTTTGTAGACAAATCAAGACCTGATCATGTTTGTTTACTTCATAAGGCCATCTATGGTTTAAAGCAAGCTCCTCGAGCGTGGTTTGACAAATTTAGCTCGTATTTGTTGGAGTTTGGTTTCATCTGCAGCATTAAGGATCCGTCTCTTTTTGTCTATTCTCGGAATAAAGATGTTATCATGTTATTACTTTATGTCGATGACATGATAATAACTGGAAACAATTCTGAGGCTATGGCAAAATTCAAACAGAATCTAAGTGGACAGTTTCGGATGAAATATTTGGGTCAAATGGCGTACTTTCTTGGTATTCAGGTGCAATTCCATTCAGAGGGGTTCTTCCTTTCACATCAACGTTATGCAGAAGATCTACTAGCAGTAGCTGCCATGAGTGATTGCTCTCCTATTCTACTCCACTTCCTCTGCAGCCTCATAAAGCTGCGGGACAAGGAGAATTGTTTGAGAATCCAAAATATTTTAGAAGCTTGGCAGGGAAGTTTCAGTATCTAACGCTTACAAGACCTGATATTCAATTTGCTGTGAACTTCATCTGTCAGAAAATGCATCAACCATCAGTCTCGGATTTTAACTTGTTGAAGAGGGTTCTCAGATACATCAAGGGCACAATAACTATGGGAATCAACTTCGCGAGAAACACTGATTTTGTGTTACGTGCTTACAGTGATAGCAATTATGCTGGTTGTCCTTACACATGAAGGTCTACAGGTGGATATTGCACATATCTTGGCTCGAACCTTATCTCTTGGTCGTGTCAGAAACAAGATACTGTTTCCAAGAGCTCCACAGAAGCGGAATACAGAGCAATGTCTGAAGCAGCTTCGGAAATCACCTGGCTTAGTCATGTGATGAAGGATTTGGGCATCTCTCTTATGCGGACTCCACTTTTGTACTGTGACAATCTCTCGTCAATCTATCTCACGGCTAATCCAGCGTCCCATAAACGGTCGAAACATTTTGAGACACACCACCACTATGTGAGGGAACGTGTTGCTCTTGGTCTATTAGAGGTGAAGCATCTTTCATCTCATATGCAGATTGCAGACATTTTCACTAAGTCCTTGCCCATTACAGCGTTTGAGTCACTTCGATACAAACTCGGTGTAGATGTTCCACCCACACCAAGTTTGAGAGGGGCTAATAACAGAACAATGCAGAGTGGAGAGGAGAAGCAAGTGAGGCAAGGTGAAAATGTGAAAACCGAAGTATTAAAGCCCAAGTTGAGTAGTCAAGAGACAAAGCCCATCAGAGAGTCCATGAATGCTCAACGGCTAGTTTCACAAACAGAGGATACGGTAGAGATTGCAGGGAAAAGAGATAAAGCCGATAAACTAGCAAAAGCAAAAGTAACCTAATACGACGAGCCTGCATAACAGATTTGGAGCTTTGTCTATGACTGTAGATGGCATGGATGAGTGACATCTGTCATTAGGTTTAAGAGGAGCCTAGTTCACTATGTCTATAAATATGAATAGCTTATGTAATGCAGTCTTTAAGCAATAATGAAATAAGATTCAGTTTCAATAAAACAGTTTTTACACAAGTTCTTTGTTTACGTTCAGAAGCAAGATAGAGAATGATACCAACCACGGCGAGAACACGCTTTCAAATCTTCTTCTCCTTTAATGAGATAGAAAATCGTTCATACTTCTCACGAAATCATCCTACCGATACTGCACCAAAACTAGAGAGAGAGCAACCATAGACATCCTGAACGCAGAGAGCCCGGAGTTTTACTGCACCAACAACAGGTCTTCTCACAGGAACCACATCTATAAAACCCCCAAACCAACACACATGTCGGCAACCAAGAAATCACGACACAAACAAACAGAAGCCTACCCCAAAAGATTGGTTCCGACGCTAAGAGAGCCGAGTAGACGAATTTTTAATCTAGAAAATGTAGCAAACATAATAATTTCCGGGGATAAATCTAACGCAACACAGACGAAGATTGATCCCATATTAAGAGGGACATACAAACAAAGCAAAAGCTGTACCTGCAATAGGAAGCATTAATCATTAAATATATGATCAAAACTTATTCAAGGATTAGGATCATATACATACTTTATAGTTTACAGTGCAAACTAATACTCCCTCTGTTCTCTAATAAGTGTCCTTTTAGAGAAAAAAATTTGTTCACAAATAAGTGGCTTTCTCATAAATCAATGCAAAAATTAATGTATTTTTGTTCTTTTGACTGTTTAAATTCTGCAGATTAGCTTTTTATTGGTTGAATTGTGTTGGAATTGATGATAAAACATGTTTTATTTTGAAAAAATTAAAAAGTTAATAATTTCTTAATCTGTGTGCATAAGGCTAAAAGAACACTTATTTGAGAACAGATGGAGTAATTATTATGCAATTAACAAAATATTACTGAAAAGTTTTGTCCATCAATTATGTGGCAGTACAATTTGATAAAACCGCCTTTAGAAACAAAAATTACACTCGGCTTATACTCGGCTTTCATGGAGAAAAATTATGTTCACAAAAATTAGCAGTTGGTCGTCAACAAAATATTCTCTTCGATAATAGGATCTGCAATTTAAGTCAACTTGCAGCTGCATCTAAACGGAGAGCTTTTGAAAAAAAAAAAAAATTGAGAGAAGTAGGTGAATTTTGATAGGCGAAACAAACAGAATAAAATTCACGAGGGTCTATGATTATGAATTTATATGATGTAGTCATGCCTCGAAATAGCACTTTTCATGAAGTTAATGAAATTTGTATTTTGTAAATACTTTACTTAACTATACGAAGAGAACATATAAGCCAAAAAATAGCAATTAATAAAAACAAGTATCTATCGGCCGGTGAACCTCCGTCACCGTCTCTGTCACTCTCTCTCTCTCTCTCTCTCTCTCAAACTATTGCTTTATTTCTCTCATGCCGCCACCGGAGACCACCGTCTGGGCGATCAACTCTAAGGTGCAGCATTATTATTCCGAATCAGAGAGGATGGAAGGTACCGGTAGTTGGGATTCGCTTCTAAATGGACCAAAATCGAAGTAATTGCTTCTTTCAATTCTCTCCCAATCCTCACATTTTCCCCTTTACCCACAATTCAACAGAGAAACACGTGAATTGCGATTTTGGGATGCAAAAAGTTCATATTCTGGATCTTGTACTGGATAATTCTAATGCTTTTTTTCGTTTGGTTCTCTGTCGATTAGTCGCAGCCGGTTTCAGCGTCAGCATCTTTCGCGAATTAGGGTTGCTTGCTGGAATCGGAGAAGGTCGTCGTCGAGGAATGTCTTCAGAGTTGGTCAAAGTCATTGTTTTTTCATTCGAATTTTCTTCCAATATCCGGATATTGTTGTTGAGACTTGGTATGCAATATGTTTTCACTCATGTTCCTTGTAAAGTAACGAGAAATCCAAATACTGGTTATGGCATTTGTCGATGATGATACTATTGTTTGAAATTTGTAACCTTTATCTGATTATGGACGTGTTTGTTTACAGGGTTATGGAGTTGTCCTTGTTAGCACATATGCGGCATGAACCCTGCTGGTGACAATTTCCGCATTTTGCCTTTCCTCTGTTTTCTATATGTGTCAATTCGTATAACATTTAAGTGTGTGCATAGATTCTACTAATTATATGCATTTTTGATCTATTTTGCTACCCAATGTAATTAGTTTCCCTTCTCCTGCATTAGGCCTTTTAGTACTTGCGATCAATAGACTCGTTGTGAAGAGTCCCTGCTGGTGACAATTTCCGCATTTTGCCTTTCCTCTGTTTTCTATATGTGTCAATTCGTATAACATTTAAGTGTGTGCATAGATTCTACTAATTATATGCATTTTTGATCTATTTTGCTACCCAATGTAATTAGTTTCCCTTCTCCTGCATTAGGCCTTTTAGTACTTGCGATCAATAGACTCGTTGTGAAGAGTCAAGGTACCAGAAAGATCACTGCACTTGGAACCATCCCATTGACAAGTTAAACAAATACAAAATGGTCCGTTGCTATACATGGGTGACGTATATAGGTGAATCAAACAACCGTCAGTCTTTCTTCTCTTCCACCAAGACGTCTTTTACAGGTCACAGGTCATAACTCTGTTTCGTTTTTTTTTGTTTTCACAGTAATGCTGGGTGAATTGTTCCTTGCAGCTCTAATTGGTAGCTTCTGTATCCTTCTTGACATTGTATGCTGTGATCACTTGCATTTTGCAGGCAAAGACATGAGAATAATTGTTTATGGATTTCGTCCTAAAAACAAGCAGGTAAAACTCGTACTGTGTTCGATGCATTACTGAGCAAACCGGAGAGACTATGTATGAGAGATCTTTATACTTTTGCATGCAGATTTGGTAACAGTAACCCCAAGGAAACTTTGCTTACTGAATGTTTCCGTCTTCTCTGAAAAAGTTCACAAAGATGGATCATTCCCATTGTCAAAGGAGCTGTGGCGGAAAAATGACTTGAGCTCCAACTATAACTTGTATCAGAGTTATCCATTTGCTTCTGTAAGGTAGGACACTGGAAACTTAACCCAAAAACTCCTCCTCGCTGATTTTTGGCATGTCTCTCTTTTCCGTATTGGAAACTACACCATCTCTCTGGTGAGTATTAGTCAAAACAAAACTAACATATCACTGTTGCTGATAGTGATGAAGAGCTGCTCCAGGCAAAAATGTCGCTTAGGTGTGATCACTTGGTGTCAGCCATGTAGAAATGCCATATATTTTGGGTTGCTTCCATTTTCTAAGTTTGGTGGTATCGCTTCCACACTAACATGCTGCTTTTGTTCTCGATTGCAGGCAGCGGAGCTGTAATTGCCTGTAATTAGCTTTACTTGGATTTCAAGTGAGAGATTCTCGAGTCTTGTTTGTTTTGACTGTAATTTTAATGAAAAACTCGTTGCTTCATTCTGCAACTGGTGCTAAGGGTGAAGAACAATAACTCTTACCCGGGGAAAATCAAATCTTCATAGTGGAAACCAATTGTTTGACTAAAGTTATAAAGAACAAAGAAAAAGATAACATTCCCTATTATACAAAAAAGATGAGTGAGATATCTATAAAGGGCCATCTATAAATGTCGACTTCTCTCAAGACTTGTTCAAAGTAGCCGGAGACACAAGAGACTTTCGCTGGTGAAGACAATAGCATGACCTAAGATCCAGATTAAGGATTCTTTTTTTGCTTCTCAATATAGGAACGCCCACGGTCTTTTGCTTGCCTTGCAGTCCTCGATTTCACAAAACCTGAAGCAATTCCAGCCCAGTCGATTCGACCATTCTTCTTTGGGCATTTCTTCATTCCCTCCAGTAGCAGCCTAAATCAACAAACAAAGCTTTTAGTTTTAATTTGACGAAAGGAAAAAAAAAAAAAAAAAATCTGTTAACTTACGCGTTTTCAGCTTGTGACCATTGTCCTTGGTTAATGATAGTCGGTGCTTGGGGGGCAACGAGAACGATCTCGTTGCCAATGATTGGCGCAGATTGTTGTTTCTTCTGGTAGTAGCTCTCAACATCTGACAATGGTTTCTGCAGGAGAAACGAGATGATCGTCGTCTTTTCATGAGATTCTCTGATATCGCTTTTCTCCCAAAGACTGCAGCATCTACGTAAACGTATTCAGTTCTGCAAGATTCCACGCCCTGAAAAAGAAGAAGAAAAATCTGTTAGAGATTAAGAAGAAGAAGAAGAAGAAGAAGAAGAAGAAGAAGTTACGTCTCGTTATTCTCGTTATTCGACATGATGGAGATTGAAGAATCCAACAGTGAGAGATTGTGATTCAAATCGCGGAAAGATTGAGTTACGTCTCGTTACTCTGCATCTATAACAGAAAGCGCGGAGAGATTTGATTTGAACAGAGTTGTTAGTTTATATACCGATCAAACTTGGGCTGAGAAGCCCATGTTGAAGCCTGCATTCGCTGTAACAGTTATCTGTTTGTCCATAAAAAAGTTTCGACTTGGGCCAAGCAATATCCTTTATTTGAGATATTTCGCATCAATTTTATCATTGCAATCTCTCTCTCAACACTTGCACGCGTTCACTGTTGTTGAAGTTTCCGGTGAGAAATTGAAGCTATGTCTCAGGTATTTCAATCGGGGTTTGATTATCTTCTATCAGTTCCTTTTCGAGATCTGGGTCATCGTAAAGACTCTTGCTTTATCTCAACTCTCTCGTTCGATAGAGATAAAGTTTCAAACTTTTTAATCCGTAGTACTTCTGATCTTATTGGATTTATTCTCATTTCAGATTGTAACACTTATCTGTAGTTGCATCGATCTATTGACTCTCAAGTTTCCAATCGAATATATCGACACCTTGATTTGGAAAATTCTCGTGATGAAAGAACAGAATTATGAACTCGGATCCTAAGTCTGCATCACGAGAGCAGAAAATTTGTTTTGGTGTCTTTTGCTCGTCCCTGAGATGACTTTCTTTTTCACAATGATCTGTGTTTTCATCGGTCTATAAATTGAAGTTAAGCTGTGTTTTTTTCTGGTTTTCCGATGTAGACTGTTGTTCTCAGAGTGGCTATGACATGCGAGGGATGTGTGGGAGCTGTGAAAAGAGTCCTTGGGAAAATGGAAGGTTAGCTTTTCTATGAATTCCGTTACTATTTGATGCTGTGCTCTGTTTTGTAACTTGTTTTGCTTCAAACCTCTGTTTGTTCTACACCAAAGACTATACAAAGATCATTTTATTAGAGTAAGAACATCTCTTCACTCTGTTTTTTTTTTCAGGTGTGGAGTCATTTGATGTGGATTTAAAGGAGCAGAAAGTGACTGTCAAAGGCAACGTCCAGCCAGAAGCTGTTTTGCAGACTGTCTCAAAAACAGGAAAGAAATCTGCTTTCTGGGAATCCGAAGCTGAATCCGCCAAGGCCTAAAAGGAAGAATCAGCCCATTTCCTGTGACTCTGTTTTAATAAAATCTCCTTTATGTTACTTCTATTTCCTGTGTGTGACTTGTGACTGAGCATTGCTCTCTGGAGCTACTTTCATTTTTTCATTCAAGTCTTGTCGTTTAAAACAGTATTGTATGATCATACCTATCATGTCCCAATATATGATCTTTCATCAAATACAAAATGCTCTTAACTATCTTCAATGAAACATCTTCACTTTTATTCAAATAAGCACCAAGAATACATGGGATGCTGTTTGTTGGTTTATCATAGAAGGAAATTCTCAGACGACCTTATTCTATCAATGGAGAGTAAATGAATCCACAACACACGCTTTTGAGTAGCTAAATATAAGGTGTGACAAAGCCTGCTGAGCCGAGAGCTAGATATAATGAAAAATCAGGTATATGGTCCATCTTCTAGACTGTGGGGACTGTGCACCTATTGCCTCATGTTGCGGTGCTTGGTATGGATTGGATAGCTGCAAGAGGGTTCACTTGGTATGAAAACGCTAGCTTCCAGAAATCCAAAATTGCTTTTTTCATGGACTCCATTTGTCGGCTAATGATCCTGAGTCATGTAAACAAACGCACACAGCTTATTTCTGTATCAAGTAAATCTCGGATCATTCAAGTATTATAAACAGGACATGGCTTAGAAGAATTCTCACCGTAAGAAAGCAGCTCGTTTTCTCTTCAAAGCATAACAGATGATTAGTCCAACAAGGCTAATGGCAACTTTTCCCTTGGACATGCTATATTGGGTATCACCAAGCTTGATGCTTAGAGAATGGGATGACCAAATTGACGACTGTTCACGTTGTTTAGAGAGTTTCAGGAGCGAATCAATCTCATCATTCTTTTCACTACCCAGAGACTTGTTACTATTCACTAAAGCATAAGAAGAATCATTGGGATCTTCCTCTTTAGAGCTAGCCTCAGGAGCATTGGCTGTTTTGAGAGAAAGTAAAGAATGCAATCTTCTCAAAAGCCCCTGAAAACAGAGAGTTTAGTCTTAGCATCTTTAGTTGGAATAGACTCACAAGTTCATACACAAAAGCTCATGAAGAGACTCAATAGTTTACCTGTCTTCTTTCCTCAGGCAGTGCAGCTTTCTCAACCCATGAAATGGCTACACCCAAGTCGTTTGAAACTTTTCCAAGAACTCCAAAGGTATACAGTTCCACAACTTCCATGTACTCATCAATCTCCAAATGTCTTGTCCCATGGAATCTTTTTGCACTTAATCCAGTGTCATTTAGAACATAGTGGTCGTCCTTATAAACCCATACGCTAAAGAACTCTTCCAGAATCTCACGTACACCCGAGTAGGAACCGTTTGATACTTGAAGGCATATTCTAAAACAGGAAAAAAGAAACAAATATTCAAGATCAATACAAAAGTAGACATCTACTACGATCTTCTACTGTGAGTTTTCTCTATGCTAATAGAGTCAGAGAACAAGAAGGATACCCAGTGAGAAGAACTTGGACAGGAATAGCTGCAATCTCGCCAAACACTTCTCTCAACTCATTTACAATCTCAGCTGTCCTGCATGAAAATGGCGTTTGTTGGAGAAACTATCACAGAGCCAAAACTACAACAAAGAGTACTAAAATCTAGGGAAAAGAAATACTCGAACTAGATTGTGTACCACTCATCAATTAGAATAGTCATGAAATACCTGTTGAGTCCATGCAAGGATTGGACTAAAACCATGCCCGTGGATTCCAACATGTCATGAAACTGATGATCACCAAGAGCTTCTTCGGTTAAAGCATCTGTGTTGCCAAGAATTTTTTCCAGTAAGGAGGAAGATTGTGTACTCACTCATCAATTAGCAAAGTCATGAAATACCTGTTGAGTCCATGCAAGGATTGGACTAAAACCATGCCCGTGGATTCCAACATGTCATGAAACTGATGATCACCAAGAGCTTCTTCGGTTAAAGCATCTGTGTTGCCAAGAATTTTTTCCAGTAAGGAGGAAGATAGTGACTCTGCCTCTTCATACATGGAGCAGACGAGGTAACTGTGCACAGCAAACAAAACACAAGCAACTTGTTAAAAACCAATATGAGATTGAGCCACATAAGAGTCATTTCAATTGGAGATGCAATTTTTCTAGGATATCTGTTTCTCTAAGGACAAAATTAATTTCATTTCTTCAACTTGAATGCATAATTGAATCAAAATCCGACAGATTGATAGCATTCTCTTGGAAATTTACTGAAGAAAACTAAGGATCCCTACATTTACGGAAGATTCTGGACCAAATTTCTTTCTATTATCACTATAGGCATCGCCGATTTTAGTACAGAACCAATAAAAACTAGCAATCATGGATATAAAAATATATTTATAAGCCAAATTTTCAGAAGCACCTCTCAGAACGTTCAATTTCTCCCCAAATAGCAGTTGCCTCCATGTCAGAAGTGTCGGAAGAAGATTCTACAAAGCTTTGATTGCAGTACAAGCTCTGCAAAATGAACACACTTAGCGAGGAGATTGATTACGCTCGTGAAGGAGACGAAGAAGGAGAAGAAGAGATCATTATGGGTATTTAGTATTGGGCCAAGGAAATGGGCTTAAAATATTATTTCAACCAGTAGCTAATAAATTTTTGGATCAAATTATATGATTTCAACCTCAAATTAAGATTACCAGAGAAATTATTTGTTGTTAGATTGTGAGCATTAATGAACAATATGATTCACGGTCAAAATCTGAGCTAAATTCGGCGGCTCTTAAACGTCAATTCAAGTCACTCAACCACGTCCCACATGTATGTCCTCACATCTACTTTGTTGGCTATCTGAAAATCTCGATTATATAGGTCTCATTTTTGTCATTCATAAATTTTGATGCTGACTTCTCTTTCATGTGACATTCTGCCGTTAGCCCGATCAATTCAACTGGCAACTGAAAACCACATTTAATTAGCATCGCCATGCAACTGAAAAAAAAAAAAAAAAAACGTCAAAATTAAGAATGTAAACATGTTGCACAAGCTCAAGAGTAAAATATATGTTTTTTTGTTTGAACTGCATCAATAGGCATTACTGATTACTCATTAGTCATTAGACAGTTAAAATACTATCTTCTACCAAATCAATTTCAGCTTAATTACTATTCTTTTCTTTCGTATAATCGTATGTATATTGCCTAAGCACAATATCAAGATAATTCACCTTTATGATAAAAAAGGAGTTTCTTCATTTATTGATCACATGATTGGCAATAAACGAAATCTTTTAGTACGAGAATTCACAAACCCATCGACAAATTTAAGAAGTATAGGTTCCTCTAATTTAAGCACACATCGTTTTCATAATTAAATAATAAAATTAAAATTTAAACTCTTGGCTTAACCATGGCTCTCAACGGTGTCTTCATCACCACCGTGAACTCCAATTTCCCGGCGAAATCAATTTCGCTTCCCGCCGGATAAGCGCTCCATTCAAATTCTTGAACCATCTTCGCAAGCATCAAGTGCACGTGTACGGTCGCCATCGCGAGACCCGGACAGATCCGACGGCCAACGCCAAACGGCATCATCTTCACTCCGGTTACGCCGGTTATGTCCGCATCCTCATTACCCGAAATAAACCGATCCGGGTTGAATTTCTTCGGTTCAGACCAAAGTTTCGGATCCTCGTTTATACCAGGAAGATAAAACTCTACGTTGATCCCGACGGGAACATCGTAGCCGGCGACCGTCGTCGGCTCCGCCACGGTGTGGGTCAAAGTAAAGTAAGTCGGAGGGTGTTTCCGGAGAATCTCCTTGACGAAGGCTTGTAAAAAGACCATTTTGTCCACGTCTTTTTCCTCAACCGCACGATCCCCAACCGTCGATTTAATCTCATCGTAGAGTCGAGATTGAATCTCGGGATTCGTGATCAACTGCGCGATGCCCCACTCGATCGCCGTCCCCGTCGTGTCCGTACCTCCGTTGAGAAACTCAGAGCAGAGCGTCACGAGCTCTGCGTTAGACGGCGTCGTTTTACGTCCTTCGATTGTTAGGTCGAAGAGTGTATCGAGGTAGGAGAAAGACGACGCCGTTTTATCAGATCCCGGAATTTTAATCGCTCTCCGTCGTCTCTCAATGAACCCGACGACGAGATCAACCTGTTCCCGGCGAACCTCGAGAGCTCGTTTTCTCTCCTTGGAGTAAAACGGAGCAAGCATCGGGAGATAATCGTCGAGTCTTGGATCGATTGTGATCAACACCTTCTTCATCATCTGATCCATCTTCAAAATCGATTCTTCATCCATTTCAATACCGAAACACATTTCCAAGAGAATGCAAAACGCAGCGAATCGAGCGTTTCTCAGGACCCAGACAAGCCCGTTATTGCCATCAGCTTCTGATTTGATCCTCTCGGCGAGCTTATCCATGGCGGCTTGCCGCACGGACCCGAATTCCTTGAACCGGGTCGAGCTCAGCATGTTCTGCACCATGTTCCGCCTCAGCGACCGCCATACGGGCCCGTACACGGAAGCGTTAACGGTGAAAGTGTTGGAGCTGAAGATGGTCCGGGTCGGGTTCTCTTTGGGTCGGGTCGCGAACATGGGTCCACGCTGAATCAGAGCATCATGAGCGAGAGTCGAATCAGAGATGATGATCATCGTCCGACTCCCCATCCTCAGCGTGTAAATCGGACCGTACTTCTTCCTCAGATCATCGGCGTACTCGTAAAATTGCTTCCCGGAGCGCGCTTTTTTAGCTCTCTTGTTTATGTTTTCTGCTTTACACTGAGCTTTGTAGCTATGGAGGATTTATAATGAGTGAGAGAGAAGAGAAGAGGAAGGTATAAAAACAGAGCAGAGCATGAGAAATTAGGTGAGGAGAATTTAAATTTGATTGGACTCTTTTTTCGGTTTTGTGATTCAAGTCATTTAATTTTATCAGGCTTGAGTTTGGTATGAGAAGTACGATGAAATTTAAAGCCTTATCTCTTTGATCATTTCATGAATAGTTTGTTGTAAACATGATTAGGTTCCGTAATCGTGGGGTCGATTGCTAACACAGTTCTGCAGTTTTTATTACCCCTCTGTTCATTTGTAGATATTATTTTTTCTTGCGTGATTTTTCCCGCGGCTTTCAGTTTTTTAAATCCTAGGTTTGACCAAAGCTCTCAACGGCTTTTTCATCACCACCGCAAACACCAACTTACCGGCGAAATCCACGTTGCTCTCCGGTGGATAGGCACTCCACTCGAATTCCTGAACCATTCTCGCTATCATCAAATGGACGTGAACCGTTGCCATTCCCATGCCAGGACAGATCCGACGGCCAGCACCGAAAGGCATCATCTTCACTCCGGCCACTCCTGTTATATCAGCGTCTTCCCTCCCTGATACGAACCGATCCGGGTCAAACTTTTTCGGGTCAGACCAGATCTTCGGGTCTTCACTGATTCCAGGAAGATAAAACTCCACGTTGACTCCAACAGGTATGTCATAGCCGGAGAGAAGTCGTCGGCTCCGTCACGCCGTGGCTTAACGTAAAGTAAGTCGGTGGGTGTCTCCGGAGAAGCTCCTTGACGACTGCTTGTAAAAACACCATTTTGTCCACGTCTTTTTCCTCGACATCACGATCTCCCACCGTTGATTTAATCTCATCGTACAGTCGAGATTGAATCCCGGGATTCGCGATCAGCTCTGCGATGCCCCACTCGATCGCCGCACCGGTCGTATCCGTACCGGCGTTGAGAAACTCTGAGCACAGCGTCACGAGATCTTCGTCAGACGGCGTCGTTTCGCTTCCCTCGATGATTCTGAGATCAAAGAGCGTATCGAGATACGAGAAAGACGACACCGTCTCATCGGATCCTCCTTGATTCCGAATCGCCTTCCTCCGTTTCTCGATGAACCCGACGACGAAATCCACCAGCTCCCGGCGAAGCTTCAAGGCGCGGTTTCTCTCGCCTGAGTTAAACGGCGTTAGAATCGGGAGGTAATCGTGGAGTTTTGGATCGACGGCGTACAGTATCGCCGTCATCATCTGATCCATCTTCTCGATTGATTCCTCCTCCATCTCGACTCCGAAACACATATCTAACAAAACGGAAAACGCGGCGTATCTGCTGTTATTCAGAACCCAGACGAGTCCTTCGTTGTCTCTCGCCTCCGATTTGATCCTCTCGATAAGCTTATCCATGGCGGATTTTCTCGCGAAACCAAATTCCTTGACCCGATTCGAGCTGAGCATGTTCTGAACCATGTTCCGCCTCAGTGACCTCCACACGGGTCCATACATGGCGGAATGGACCGTGATTTCACTAGAGCTGAAGATTTTCCGGGTCGGAGTTTCGACGGGTCGGGTCGCGAATTGTGCCCCGCGCTCGATCAACGCCTCGTGTGCGAGACTCGCGTCGGAGATGATGATCATAGTCCTGGTTCCTAACCTCAGAGTAAGAATCGGACCGTAGATCTCTCTCAGCTCCTCCACGTACTCGAAAAACTGCTTCCCGGAGCGTACAAACTGAAGCAGGTTTCCGATCACTGGCCATCCTGGCGGGCCCGGCGGGAGGCTTTTACGGTTTGGACCCCGGTACGTGATGATGATAACTAAACCGGATATGAGAATCGCTAAAATGGTTAACAAGACATTAGGGAAGAAGTCAATAGAAGTATGAGAGAACGATGTGAGTGACATAATCATTTTCTCTTCCTAGAGGGTTTTTTAGCATTTGACGAAGAAAGAAGAAGAGAAGAGAAGTCTTGTTAAAACAGAGTAAACGATAAACGTTACTAACCACTGCATCAATCGTAAAACATTATTATAACGATACTTGACATGTAAATCTTTGATGATTGTTTCCATCTTTCTTCGTATTGTTGCTTACCAGTTACCATCTACAATTGCGAATTTGCGATCGACTTTGATTTATCTACATTTCGACGTTGATCAAATCATATGTGCATAAATTAGCAATCTGTTATGTCAAATGGTCATATGAAGTATGAAAATCAAAAAAATTGAATACTCATACGTTCTCTTGATGGGAAAATCCGTTCAACATACAAAGCTGATTGAGTATATATAGCATCCTAGATGGGAATGTTTGATTAGTTACTAGTTGTATCAAAATCTTTTTTTGACCAAAGACATTAGTTGTATCAAAATCTTATACAGTAAAAACCACCCATGATTGCAAAAAAAAAAATCAGAAGAAGAAAAATGCAGATTTGGCTTATTAGTACTAGGTTACGACTTACGAGCTACAAAAATGGTGTAAACATGTAATGTGTTTTTCGTTCTGGTCGAACCATGTGCGATGTGTTTACTTTAGATCTGCTTTTTAGGGCAGGAGAAGGCATCAAAGGCGGACCCACATGTAAGCATACTGGTTCATTTGACACCCCTAAAGTTAGATAAAGTATTGATTTGTAAGGATATTACACATTAATGCAATAGCTTGATTGGTAAAAAGCTTCATATTGACACCCTTGACATGGGTTCAAATCTCCCCAATGACACTTTTCTTGATTTTTGACCCCCCTAATATTAAATCCTAGGTCCGCCACTGGAAGGCATCATGGTATGTGTTTCGGTAGACTTAGGTTTTAAAGTTGTTAATTAAAATTGTTGACTTAGGTTTGAAAGTTGTTAAAACTTGACAAATTAGTTGCAGGAACAGAAAAAATATCAGGTTTCACAACTAGCAACACTGCTGGACTGAGAAGTTTTGTTAAGGCATACGAATGAAATGTTAACGTCAGGTTCTGTTCTACTTCAAACACAACTTTCCATTAACATTATTGACCATGGTTCCTGAGCTTTTGTGCAAATAGCAAACACATTAGCATTCCCAAAAAAAGATGTAATTATTTTGTCCATACAGCAATCAAACATACCCAAAAAAGAAAAAGAAAAAAGCTAAATGCTTATTGGTGGTCTCAAGTTTAACTCAAGTAAAAAAGTACAGAAAACTCCATCAAATACATAATCCTTCTGCGTCAGATGTTACCGAAGAGTAACACTCCGACAAGAGAACAGATCCTTTGTTTTGTGTTGTGTAATTCCAAAAGAAGAGCTTTTCTTGTTCTACTAAGCAGATGCTTCGTATGTATTTATCAGCTCTTTGAGTTTCTCAAATCCCTGAAAACCAATTTAACAAATTCCATCTCTCAGCTCTTTAACACAAATTAAAAATCATTAGAATTTAACGGAAGTCGTGTTTAGGAAACTCTTACCATGCGAGTTGAGAATTCTCCAAAAGATTCCTTGGACGATTGTCTCCCGATTTTCCAGTTGTAAAACAATGGCTCAAAGACCTTCTCAAAGTCCTGAATCTTCACCTTATCCATGAAGGCCCTAGCTATCTGTGTCTGGTTCGGTGTTCCTCCTAACCAAACCTGCACGACACAACAAGAACACAAAGAACCACCACTTAGCTATTGTCTATTGTGGAATCCACTGAAGGAAAGCTAACCAGAAATGTAATTTACCTGATAGCTGTTTGGACCATCACCGACTAGACCAACTTCAGCCATGTATGGTCTAGCACATCCATTAGGGCAGCCAGTTACTCTCACCACAACGGATTCATCATATTCAAGACCAACCTGAAACAAGAAAAAGAGTTTGTAAATCAACCATTGTCATGGCGCAAAACTAAACTGGAGTTATCCTTTTCCATGAGATCTTACCTTTTCAAACATTGCTCGCACTCGCTTTAGAATGCTAGGGATTCCACGCTCAGCCTCGGTTATAGCCAGAGGGCACAAAGGAAACGCTGGACAAGCCATTGCAGTTTGGTTGAGCGGGTCCACAAACTCTGGTTGCTGCTCAAATCAACAGTCTTTGTCAAACTTTATTTCACAATACCAAAAACTGTATAAAAACCAGCTTTGACCTCTAATGGAGAAAACGAACTGCTTACCAGTAGACCAGCCTGAGCAAGCACCGTGGTGATGGGACGCTTCCATTCGCTCTTGATGTCACATAACACAATGTTTTGGTTAGGCGTGATACGCACATCAAGCTTGTACTTCTCTATCACTTCCCTCAGTGTCTTCTTCATGTTACCTCCAACGCGTCCACTGTCTACATGAAGCCCACAAAACCAAGCACCATCTCCCTGCAAGAAAGGTAACTGATAAGTATTGAAGACAAGAGAAGCTCTGTATAAAAAAGGCAATGGTAAGTGACTAACCTGCTCATGCCATCCCAAATGATTCTTGAACTCCCACTCTGGCAAATCACGGGAAGGCTCAAACTTCTTACCGTAATACTGCTCAACCACATCTCTGAACTTTTCAATCCCCCAAGAGCTGATCAAATACTTCATTCTACTGTATTTCCGATCATCTCTTCTCCCGTGTTCTCTCTGTGTGACAACAATGGCCTTCACAGCATACAAAATATCCTCCTTAGGCACGTAACCTAATGGCTCCGCAATACGTGCAAATGTAGACTCCATTCTGTGTGTCCTTCCCATACCTCCACCAACCTGAAAACAGAGCCAAAAAAAACAATCTATGAGAAGACAGTTTCAAACAAAGACAACAAACGTGGAGATAAGACTTACGTATATGTTGAAACCCTGGGGCTCCCCATTTTCATCAGAGACAACAACAACGCCAATGTCATTGGTGAGAAGATCGACAGAGTTATCCGTAGGCACAGTGACAGCGATCTTGAACTTTCTCGGCAAGAACTGCGTGCCGTAAATGGGCTCAGGAGAGTCGACAAAGTTAGTCCCATGAGAGTTATCGTTTCTTGCCTTGACAACCTCAGGTGGCTCAGCTGTCAAGAACTGCTCACCATCGACCCACATGTCATAGTAAAACCCTGACTGAGGACTGAGAAGAGCCGCGATGTTATCGGCTGTCTCTTGCGCAAAGAGATAGTCTTTCTTCACAAAAGGAGCAGCAGGAGAAAGAACGTTTCTGTTGAGATCACCACAAGCACCGAGCGTGCTTCCCATGTTCTTGATAATCGAGCTCATCACGGTCTTGAGATTCTGCTTCACGACGCCGTGAAGCTGAAACGTTTGTCTAGTAGTCAAACGAAGCGTGCCGATGCCAAACTCGTCGGCTAGGTCGTCCATGGTCAGGTAGAGCTGGTTTGGGACCTTGCCGCTAGGGTTCTTGGTACGGAGCATGAAGGAGTAGGATCTTCCACCACGTTCCTCTCTGTTGTACTGTTGGTAGCTTCCGTGGAACTTTATGAGCTGCACGGCGGATTCGTTCACGTTTGGAGCTTCTGTCAAAAGCTCCTCGTTGAGAGGATACCTGATGAAGTTACTCTTCTCCTTGATTATTTCGACTTTACTCCTCTTGGTTGTTTTTGCTGTCTCAGTCTTCGCCGGCTGAATAATATTTATAAAAAATCACAGAAGATCAGATAAAGAAAATAACTTCTCTCGTTGCTGGTCTAATCTAACATCTTAACACAAAAATCAATCACCAATCGAATACAAAAATCTATTTTTCCAACATAATTGTCACAAATCAAACAAATCTCAGAGAAATTAAACATTTTCGATTGGCAAAAAACAAAATTTACTCTAAGCAAGGAATTTACTGATGCTACAGGTAAATCAGGAGAAGGTGTAAATTCTCACCGTAGATACGGCTTGGACTGACGAGGACGAGGAAGACGATGAAGATGGAGCCACCGAATGAGCACCACGCACATTTCTTCCCAGGAAAACCGTACGAGAGGACTTCAGAGAGTCGAGACTCCCAAGGCGGATCTTATGATCGGCGGAAAACACAGTGGCGGCGCCCGCCGGAGATCGAAACGGCGTCGTCATCGTTTCAGATAGAGAGATATTGAGAGATAGACTGAGAAATCTTTGGGATTTTTAGTGGTCATATAAGAAAGAAGAAAAAGAAAATTGGCATGAATTAATTAATTAATTCGAAAAAAGGAAAGAAAACCAAAATTCAGAGACAATGGTCAAAACTAATGTGTATGGCACGAGACTTTAACACCAGAGATGGCTAAAGGTGAGAGAGCGTGAAGAACACGAACGGTCGATGATGAGGAGATCGATGCGCGTGTGTGAGGGGGAAGGTGAAGAGGCGCGTGAGTTTTATTTCTGACTGATACTGAAGAACCTGACCGGTATCTTTTACAGAATACAAAGTTGATGGCTAAACTCAGTTATTCTTCAGAATATTATGATAATCAATATCTGACGTGGCAGGAATGGATTTGGCTAGTTGTTGAATCACAAACACACACGTGCGGGAAAAGCTGTGACTGTGAACAAAAGATTCTCACCTACTTAGCTGCTCGTGAGCTCCAAGGGGCTAATAGGATCCGTGGTGGGCACATGCTATAATTTGTAGTTAGCTAGCTCAAAGTCTCAAAACATTTTTCATATGGATTATATAATTGTTTATATTCTGATAACTACTGTTATGTCGTAGGTATAACATTTTCGATAACATTGCACCCCAAAAACAAAAAAAATCGATAAACAAATTTTTTTTTACTTGTTTAATAAAATAACTATGGTTGGTGTGGACACTGACACACACTCACATCTTTAACATTAAAGTTGCGTTTTTTAGCCCAAAAAATGGTGGCCTGATGGATTATTGGAAAACGAAAAATATTCTTTTGCATAAAAAGCTTTTTGAATATTAATGGAGACTAAAAACGGGAACTTTCGGGAAAAAAAAGAGGTACAGCATTTTTAACCC